AGAGGGCGGGCGGCTGGCCGCGGGTGAATTCGAGGCAATTATTGCTCATTTGCTTGGGATTTTAATAGGTCTTTCTACTGATTTACACGACCACCAGGAAACAATAACGCAAAATTAGTATTGTAATTTTATCCGCATTGCCGAAAAGAAGTTGTATGCTTGTGAGACTTCAGAAGTGGCGCCTACCCACGGCGCGGTTTGACACCGGGAAATGGCTCGTGTTCCACGCCGCTCAACATTTACACCCTTCTGCTCATTTGGCAGCACTGTTCGCCGTCTCGGCGTCGTTCTGCCTCTTCACGGGCCTTCTCTCCGCCGCGCGACTGATGCACTCCCACCTCCTGAGCAATGTGCTGCGGCTGCCGATGGCGTTTTTCGACACGACACCGCTCGGCCGGACCATAAACCGGTTCGGAGACGATGTGGATACGTTGGACAACGCGCTGCCTATGGTGATCTCCGACTGCATCGTGTGCTTCTGCACCGTCCTGGGCACGCTGTTCGCTATATGCTACGCGACGCCCATCTTTCTGGCGGTGGTGGCGCCGGTGTTGGTCGTCTATAACCTGGCGAGGGTGAGTAGAGAGGGAAGGAGTGAGGTGGACGGCTGTGCATGAAGAAATGTCACCGCGCTTTTTATAAACTCCTCCATTGCATTTTGTGGTGCAGATGCTCGCCTCGTAGCCCTCCTCAACAGGCGCCGATGACCACTGCGGTCCAGGTATCCATAAAACAAATGCATCATCACTGCAGTAGCCTGCTTTGGTGCTGGGGCTATGACGATGCACCGTGTTCTGGTATCTCCCTCAGGTAGTTTACGTGTCGACGTCTCGGCAACTGAAGCGTCTGGAGTCGGTGTCTCGCTCACCGATCTACTCTCACTTTGGTGAGACCATCAGCGGTGAGTGGATGTGGCCCGGTTGCTGAGCCGACTCGCACTGGGTCACGACTGAGGGATAATGGGGAGATCCGAGATCTAACTGTAGCTGACGTCTGAAGATGCAGCTGCTCTATAATTGTTGGCGACAGACTTCTGTCAAGGGGTTCTAAACCGATCGCCAATGATTTTTGTTTGGTATTGTTTTAGTCATGAATTTCCAGCGTATATACAAGAATGATTTGTTTTGGGCTGGTTCACCTTTCATTGATGTGTGTGCATTTGCAGCGTCTCGTTTTGTCGAATGTTTTTTTTTTTCATTACGCTGGTCGCATATGTTATAATTGTTACGGGGCATTGTCTAGCAATCGTGCCACAGTCCCGTCCAGATTTTGGGCTGTCTTCCCGTGTAACGTCCGGTGATCTGGGCTGCTGTAGGCGCCGCCACGATACGTGCGTTCGGCAAGGTACCCGAGTTCACGCTAAAGTCCGAGGAGCTGGTGGATGACAACCAGACCTGCTACTATCCGTCCATGATAGCCAACAGGTAGGTGACCAGAGGTGCCCGCCTCCTTCAGAGATGCTCGCCTGCCACTTTCCGTCAGTGATTACCAATTGGGGGAGGCTTTAGTGAGGCATTGATAGCTAACGCCCGAGCGTGCTTTGTACGTACATATTGCGTATAGTACTGGAAGGAGTGACTTTCTCTATTACTTTCGTCCATCGTTAGTAGTAAATCTTCATCGCTTTCTTCCTCATCTTGTAGGCCTAGTTATAGACTCAGCATTGCTCAATGCAATGCTCAGTTAGCTTTATTTCACTGATGGACGTTAGTTTAATTATCTACATTGTAGCAGCCAACTAGTCGGTTGCAGACGATTTGACTCTCCGTCTGATACTTCTCTCGCCGTTCCAGGTGGCTGGCCTCGCGACTGGACATGGTTACGGCTGTCATCATCTTCTTCGCCGCCGTGTTCGGCGTGCTGGCCCGCGACACGATCGAGGTCGGTCTGGTCGGCATGTCCATCAGCTACGCCATGGTCGTCACCCAGGAGTTCAACTGGTTCGTGCGCATGACGTCCGACGTCGAGACCGACATCGTGGCCGTGGAGCGCATCAAGGAGTACTCTGAGACGCCGCAGGAGGCCGTCTGGGTGGACGAGAGCCGGCCCCGTCCGCCGCCCGAGTGGCCACAGTCGGGCCGTGTGCAGTTCAACAACTACCAGACGCGCTACCGGCCCGGACTCGAGCTCGTCCTCAAGGGCATCGACGCCGACATCTCCGGCGGCGAGAAGATCGGCATCGTCGGTCGCACCGGCGCCGGCAAGTCGTCACTGACGCTGGCGCTGTTCAGGATCATCGAGGCGGCCGCCGGAGATATCACGCTGGACGGTATCCGCATCAGCGACATCGGCCTGCACGACCTGCGGTCCAAGATCACCATCATACCTCAGGTGCGGCGGTCGGCCCGGCGGCGGGGGGGGGGGAAGAGTTGAAGGTCAAGGACGGGGCATATTGCAGACTGGCTGGCAGGGGAGGGATATGGTGACTGCATGTGGTTGGGTTGGAGGAAACATAGTTTTCTGTGAGCAGGCCATTGGAGTGGCGTTGTGGGTTGCACATTAATGATGGTACCTGGTCTACCTATTTTGTCAACGCTATACTTGTCATATTCAGACGAGACCCATTTCGTTCGTTGAGTCTCTCGTCTCTCGTCTCGTCCCTGGGAATTGATGTCATCCCCTATCCGCTCATGTTAGTAAACCCGCGTTATTCGACTGGTGCCACACCCGTACCGTGGACCCAACTACTGACCCACCCCTTCCCGGCAGGACCCGGTGCTGTTCTCGGGCACTCTGCGCCAGAACATGGACCCGTTCGACCAGTACTCGGACGACCAGGTCTGGGCCGCACTGGAACACAGCCACCTGAAGACGTTCGTCAAGGGACTGGACGCCGGACTGCAGCATGAGATCAGCGAGGGCGGCGGCAACCTCAGGTCAGCACAACGGGACACAAATGCGACCTAAGTCGGTCAGAGACATTGTATGACAAGTTTGGGGTAGAGGCTAATTTGGATAGATGGCTAGCGGCCACTGTCTTACTACCTTATTGATCCAGCTTGATACGGAAAATATCATGATATTCCTATTTCTTATTGACACAATTTTTGTGATAGGTGAACCCTTTTGCCGCTCCGTACGGACCTGACCTGGCCTGTTTTCCCAACATACAGTGTGGGCCAGCGTCAGCTGATCTGCCTGGGCCGCGCGCTGCTCCGTAAGACCAAGATTCTGGTGCTGGACGAGGCCACTGCGGCGGTGGACCTGGAGACGGACGACCTGATCCAGGCCACCATCCGATCAGAGTTCGCCGACTGCACCGTGCTCACCATCGCACACCGGCTCAACACCATCATGGACAGCACCAGGTACCCGGACGGCCATGGTGACACCACCGGGCAGCACCAGGGTGACACCATTGGGCAGCACCAGATGGGGGGGGGGGGGAGACGGGGGTCACGCCACCAGGCACGTTGTGGGCGAGTTGTGCGAGCTCACTCTGGGTTAATAGCCAGTACCAAGCGTGAGTATTGGCAAGTTCCAAGTCGTAGACTTCAGTTAGCCTTATTTAGAGCAGGGCCTCGTTTCATAAAGCGAGTCCGTAACTTACGCCGGTTTAATTTGGTCTTGTATTGCAAGTGCATGTGAAGCGATGGCGAGTTTGAATCGTTAAATTTATTGATCTTGCAAGCAAGAACAGAAGGGAGAAGGGGAAATAAATGTATCGTTTCACATGCGCTTGCAATACAAGCCCAAAAACTGGCGTAAGTTACGGACTAACTTTATGAAACGAGGCCCAGGTTACGTTTGGAAGCTGTACGAACAGTCGAACACCTTTGACGGCCGATATTGTTTTCTTCTCATATTCTCGCTAAAAGTTCTTTTGTATTTAACATCTATGTCGATTTCAGGGTGATGGTTCTGGAATCGGGCCGTATCACGGAGATGGCGCCCCCGTCTGAGCTGCTGGCTGACAAGGCCTCCGTCTTCTACGGCATGGCCAGGGCGGCCGGACTGGCCTGAGAGCCGCCAGGGTGGCGAGGGTGGCCTGGCTGGCCTGAGAGCCGCCACGGTAACCGGAAGGCCGGGCTGGCCTGAGAGCCGGGACCCGGCACCCCATGTACCGCCGACGTTCACTGCCTGGGTGACGGGTGATCCCAGAGGTTCTCAGCATGGAGACGAGATCTGATTTATCAGCTGAGTGAGAGGTTGGACTAGTCAGTGGAACATCATGTTCAGGCTGTTACACAGACGGTGCTTATCGTGATACTTCTGCTAACACAGTCAGGTTGATGCTTTTCGACGTGATTTCCGTGCATTAAAAGGCAGGTACTTAATACCAAGACAAGTTAGGGCAGCTTGCGTAACCGTTGTTTGTCGCATGGACCCGATCGTTCATAACCGTCGCATTACTGTGATGTGATTGTCAAGTTTTGTCATGTGGCTGGTGTTGTAAAACTGTAACCAAGACGAGATAGCATGCTACGTGGTTTCTATTGTAACTTGTAAGCGGGGTCAGGCAGACAAGACTGGTCAGGGAGATACTCTGTGGATACTTAGCGACTGGTTGGTATTTGTTAATGACACCAAGTCGGCAAGCCAGCCACTCGTGTCCAGAGGGCATTTTTGGGACTTGGCCCCGTCCCCATTTTGGGACCTTTAGCTCTGTGCAGGGAATCTCAGTGGCCTTGGAATGGAACAATGTGATCTGATTCGATCTTTTTGGATGTTTTGTGATCGTTACTTCTCTGGAATGTAGTTTGCAAGGCAGCTCTTGTCATCTTTTCATGGACACAACTGTCCATAAACCGTCTCAGAACTACTGTGTTGTGACTTTGTGACTGTGTTAGGTTGTCGTTTGGTTAGTCTTTGTAACAAAGACAAGGCAGCATAATAGGTGGATTTGCCGTTTGTTACTTAAATACACAAATCATTTTCCGAATTCTCAGACTATGGAACTATCAGTAGCATGTTATACCTGCATCATGACTGAAATTTCAATGTTAGGTACCTATGAATTGCTGATGGACAATTACGTAACCATTACGTAAACCTGGCGATAACTGGTGAAGATGAAATATATTTAACGATGAACGTCGTGCGCACACGTCACATCCAACCAAATGATGAGCAATTCTCCACTCACGCGGCTACGTTTTAGTTTGTACAGCTTTCGCAGCCAAGCCGCGACAAGCGGAATAAAAAAAAAGCTTAACAGACTCACGAAGGTTGTGATCGATTGGTGATGAGATAAAATCATGTCGCCTAAACTAGTCACCATTATTCTCCTGACTTCCGCACTATGACAACTATTTACACGACTATGTTTTCTCAGTCATTGCCAGCACAGATGGTGGCAGAACTAACCGTCCACACGGTCTTCTTCTGCCGCTCAGTGCTGGGCTGCTACACAGCGTAATCCACATTTCTGTACTTAGCTAGAGGCTAGCAGTGTACGTGTTAACGCGACTGTCCACCGGAGCACTGCAAACGCGCTCAGGTATCTACAGCATGCCACCGAAACATCGCTTCATGCCACCGCACAAATGGCCGCTCTCGCCGAGACAGGCAGTTGACTGACATTTCAATCCCGTGATCATCAGTATTCACAAGCCTACAACGCAGTGTCCTACAGCCCCGGCACGAAGTGGTGCCCCGCCGCCGGCCTGCGGGGGGAAGTTCGGCCGGCGGCGGGGATCGAACTAATGACTAGGGTTCGATCCCCGCCGCCGGCCGAACTTCCCCCCGCAGGGGGCTGACCGTGGTCAGAGCCGTTGCTTGGCCGGGACCATTGGGCTCTGGCCTCGCGGCGGCTGTGACTTCGGCCAGTAAGGGGAGTAGCGCCCCCTCGGCCCCAGCTTGACTTGCGTTTGACCTCGGCTCTGATTTGATTGTCGGATGGATTTTCTGCAAGATTGGCCCCGCAGGGGGCTGGCGGTGGCCTGGGTTCCTTGGGCCCGCGTCCTGCGGCGGCCCTGACCTCCGCCAGCAAGGGGAGTAGCGCCCCCTCGGCCCCAGCTTGACTCATGCTCGATTACAACCGGACTCGACCCTGGATTGATAGACGACAAGTCAGACCTTTCTTGGTTTCTTTTTTTCCCTTTGTGTCTGATGAGTGTCTTTTTTGCGCCCGGTTCCGCTCCTTCCGGGTGTTTCTCCTCACTGCCAGCTTATACTGCCTTGCCGTCTTCTCACGTGGTTTGCACTAAGTTTTTGCTCTTGTCTGTTGCCCAGCTTTCTTGCGAGCATTTTCATTGGTTGCCTTTTCTGCATTCTCACGCACCGCACGGACACACTCGGGTGAAGTGGAATAGCGCCCCCCCCCCCTCAGCCCTAGATACACATATGTGTAATCTTGACCTTGCCCACATTTGCTGGATTTGATGTTTGCACAATGCCACTGCCAGTCGGCCGCGTTGCCGTCTTCTCACGCGAATTTCTCCTGGCTGGTTTGCACTCATTTGGTTGCCTACCTCATCGGTTTCGCACGCTTCCCAGTTTTTTTTTTTTAACACTTGCTCATCTTCTCTGTGCACGATTCCATTGCATAATGCGATTCCAGTCTCTAATCGTGCCATCTTCTCACGTGAATTGCTCTTGGTCGTCTTGTACCCGTTTGTTGCCCATATTTCTTTTGCGGTCACCGGCATTGGCTGCGTTTTCAGTCTTCTTGCGCTGTACCGGTCTTGCAGGCTGCTTGCCTCACCGGTTCCGCACGCTTCCCCAGTTTCTTTTTTTTACACTTGCTTATTTTCCTTGTGCACGATTCCATTGCCAGTTTGCTGCATTGCACTCTTTTCACGTGAATTGCTCTTGGTTGTTTTGTACCTGTCTGTTGCCTTTTTTGCGGATACTCGCGTTGATTGCCATATGTGTGATCTTGACTTTGCCCACATTTGCTGGATTTGATGTTTGCCCAATGCCATTGCCAGTCGGCCTCGTTGCCGTCTTCTCACCTGGCTGGTTTGCACTCATTTGGTTGCTTACCTCATCGGTTTCGCACGCTTCCCAGGTTTTTTTTTTAACACTTGCTCATCTTCTCTGTGCACGATTCCATTGCATAATGCGATTCCAGTCTCTAATCGTGCCATCTTCTCACGCGAATTGCTCTTGGTCGTCTTGTACCCGTTTGTTGCCCATATTTCTTTTGCGGTCACTGGCATTGGCTGCGTTTTCAGTCTTCTTGCGCTGTACCGGTCTTGCAGGCTGCTTGCCTCACCGGTTCCGCACGCTTCCCCAGTTTTCTTTTGTTTTTTTTTTTACACTTGCTTATCTTCCTTGTGCACGATTCCATTGCCAGTTTGCTGCATTGCACTCTTTTCACGTGAATTGCTCTTGGTTGTTTTGTACCTGTCTGTTGCCTTTTTTGCGGATACTCGCGTTGATTGCGTTTTCAGTTTTCCTACGCTGTACCGGTCTTGCAGGCTGCTTGCCTCATCGGTTTCGCACGCTTCCCCCAGTTTTTTTTTGCACTCGCTCATCTTCTTTGTTCTCTGGTTCCCCTGGTTTTATCGGTCTAGCCGTACCTTCGGCCCAAAGACCGGGGAGAGGATGTCTGGGCGTTGAGGGGGCTGCCCTGCGGGTTAGTCGGGGCAGCCTTCCAACACATGCCTTTGGCGCCAATCCCCGGATCTGCGGGATGCCCCATGTTGGCCTCGCATGAGGGAAATCGGCCGGTCAGGCGTCGCCCTGTGCAGCACTGGCTAATCGGGGTCAAGGGGGCTGGGCGACGGGTATGCGGGGGGCTGCCGCCGGGTGCAGGGGCCGCCTGATTCCTTCAGCGCGGGGCTTAGCGCCACCGTATCCATGTCCGCGCGCGGGATCAGGTCCGGTCCCGTGCCGCATGGCTCTGCGGCGGCCGCGGCTCACGCGGCCCCGTACCCGGCGGCTTCGTCTTGCTGCTTTTGGCGTCCCGGCCCCCGTATAGTCCTGCAGTACTCCTGGCGGACCACCACCCTACGGGGGAGTGTGGCCGTCCCCCAGTTGGGCTCCGAGGTGGGTGGGAGGCTGCGGGACCGAAACAATTACACTTTCCATGGATTCTCACTTGGCACCCCCACGGACCACAGCCTCGGCTGAACCCCTTGCACCTAGTGCAGTCGGTGGAGCACGACCAAAAGTTCTTATATTCACATCCGACGAACGAAAACTCGCGTCGCTGTCTCCCTTTCAGAGACGAGAGGGCTGTGACAGATTTGGTAAGATTGCGAGGTGTGAAAAACTTAGAGACGGAGGCATCGAAGTAGAGTTTGTTGACGATAGAGAGGCGGAAAGGGCCCTGAAAGCTACTCACTTCACATACACAGTTAAGGATCAGCAGGGCAGAAAGGAAGTAAACCTTTCGGTCAGCGTTTCGCCGCATCGCACGAAAAATTCCAGCCGAGGGGTCATTTTTTGCGACGATCTGGAGGGCATGCAAAACGACGAGATCGCCGAAGGCCTGTCACAGTTTGGGGTCTCCGCCGCCCGCCGCATCTACACCAAGAGAAGTGGCGCTCTCGCACCCACGCACAGTATCATTTTGACTTTCAACTCGCTGGAACTGCCGAGGGAGGTGATGATAGGATATCTGTCCGTGAAAGTTCGACCATATGTCCCGAGTCCCATGCGTTGTTTTCAGTGTCTCCGATTCGGTCACACTCGAGACAGCTGTCGGAACAGACCAGCATGCGGGAGCTGTGCGGCAAATGACCATAGCAGTGCCGAATGTTCGTCGTCCGAGTTGAGATGCGTCAATTGTGACGACTCTCAGACTCCACATTCCTCGTTTGATGGGCGATGCCCGGCCCTCCAGAGAGAAAAAGAAATAATGTCCCTGAAGGTCACCGAAAGGCTGTCATTTCGTCAGGCCCGAGACCGCTTTGCTGCCCTCCATCCCAAGCGGTCTTATGCTAGTGTGGCCAACGGTTCTAGACAGCGCTGCCCCACTGAAACTGATACCAACAACAGCATCGGTCAGTTAATAGCGATTCTGAAGTCATTCGGCTTCTGCTTTGTCCCAGATGCCAACAGTCACAGCAACTCATCAGTTCAACAGGAGCCCCCTAAAGCGTTGTCGTGCTCCGCCACGCAGACGTCGCCAAGCAGGAGGAGAGGAGTCTCGTCCCCCTCCCGTGGGGGAGGAAGAGAGGATGAGACTGGGGCGGGGGTGGAGGCTTCAGCCGCCCCCGAGGATACGGCCACGCCGCGGGGTGGTGAGTGGACCCTCGCCCGGGGTCGTCGCCGGGGCCCGCCCCCACCGCCGCGCTCTGTCGAACGGACCCCGTTCACGTCTCCGGAGATCCGTCGACCCCCGCCCAGGGAGACTGCAGTCATGGCGGCTCTGCGCCGCGGTCGGGAGGAGCGGCTTGAGCAGGACGCCAGACTAGGGCGGAGGATGGCCCAGGCTCTTGAGGAGCGTCGAGCGTCCTCTGTCCGTGGAGGTCCTGGTGGGCCGGGGGCGGCCCCGTCACCTCTGATGGGACCTCCCCCTACCCCTCCACCCCCTCCTCCACCTCCGCCCCCTCCACCTCCTCCGCCCCCTCCACCTCCTCCGCCCCCTCCACTTTCTCCCCCACCCCCGCTCCCACCGCCACCACCACCCCCTCCACCCCCTCCACTTCCTCCACTCCCTCCACCCCATTCACAGCGTCCTTCTGGTGCCCCTCCGGTGCCCGCCTCGGGCGAGGGGTCGGGACCCCGACCCCCGCCATGCACACCACCATCGGAGCCGAGACCGGCGGGGCCGCCGCCCGCCCCGGGCCGCCCCACGAAGCGCACACTTCCGTGGGAGTTATCTCCGTCAAACGATGGTAGCCCCCGCTCGCGGCTGAAGTTTCAACCGGGAGCTACGGGCCGGCCTAGGTCGGCCGATGGACGGCTCCGCGAGGGCCATCCAAAGGTAGCCTTTGGCGGTGGCCCGGGCCCCGGTGGCGAGGAGCATTTTTAAGTCCCCGCCTTTTTTTAACTCAAGTCAAAGTCGCCAGTTTTAGACACCTTTCGCTTACCCCAAGCGCTCAAAACTACAGCAATAACACGTTTTATCCTGCAGTGGAACTGCAGAGGCTTGCGTTCTAGCACTCCAGAACTGCAAGCACTAATCCGCTCTCAGCGACCTTTGGTTGCTTGCATCCAAGAAACCAAACTCAGATCTGAGTCCAGGTTCCCCATGAAAGGATTTTCGGTTTTTCGCAGGGACCTTGCTACTGAAACCGTCGCGCACGGAGGTGTTATGGTTCTGGTCCATAACGCCGTGCCTGCGAGATGTATTGATTTAAGCTCGCCCCTTCAGGCGGTAGCGGTCCGCATTCATCTAGGCCAGCGTGACATCACTGTGTGCTCACTTTACTGTCCCCCTGGCGCAGCTCTTCCTCTTCTGGAACTACGCCGGCTAATTGCCGAGCTCCCTCCACCTGTGATGCTTCTGGGTGATTTTAACTCTCACCACTCTGCATGGGGATGTGATTCTGTGTGTACACGCGGTCGACTTTTAGCGTCCTTGATAGACGAGGAGGGCCTTTGTGTTTTAAACACTGGTGCTGCTACCCATTTCACCATGCCGTCGGGACATTCATCAGTTCTAGATCTCAGCCTTGTCAGTCCACACCTTGTGCCGCTTTTTACGTGGCGAGTGGACGCGGACTCTTTTGGTAGTGACCATTTCCCCATATGGCTTGAACTGCGTGAGCGGCCCTCGGTTGGCTGCCGGCCACCGAGATGGAACCTGCGGAGGGCAGACTGGGAGAAATTTCAAACGTGCTTGGAGGATGCTCTCTCATCTGACCCTACAGATGATCTGTCAGTAACCGATTTCACCTCCTTACTCATTGAAGCAGCCAAGGCATCCATTCCTCGTACATCGGGGGCGCCTTCTCGCCGGCCGGTCCCATGGTGGTCCGATGCGTGTCGAGACGCCATCAGAGCGCGGAAACGAGCGCTGCGCGCTTTCAGGCATAACTGCACCACCGCAAACATGATCGCGTTTAGAAAAGCCAGAGCGTTCGCTAGGTGGACGGTCAAGAAAGCTAAACACGAATCCTGGGTGGAATACATCAGCCAGCTTAACAGATTCACGCCAATCTCCGAGGTTTGGTCCCGTATAAAACGTATATCAGGTCGTTTCTCCTCATCCCCTCTTCCTGTTCTGAGTGTGTTTGGCAGAAATGTGTTGAACCCAGCTGATGTAGCGTACGAAATAGGCCGTGCGTTACATGACCGCTGTGTCGGTGACTGTTCTGACCCCGACTTCGCCCGCCATCGTGCTCGGTGCGAATCGACTGGCGTCAATTTTAACACATCACAACATTTTAGCTACAATGATCCCTTTACTATGGAAGAGTTAAAGTCCGCTATAGGTGGCCTGAAGTGTGTCGCAGAAGGCCCTGATCTTGTACACAATGAGATGCTTCGGCGTCTCCCGTCACCGGGACTTGAAGCATTGCTCCATCTTTTCAATGCGCTCTGGGAAAGAGGGCTGTATCCCGAAACATGGCGGACGGCCATCATTATCCCGGTGCTGAAGGCTGGTAAAAGCGGGCTTGATCCGCTTCACTACCGCCCTATTGCGTTGACATCTGCCCTGGGCAAGCTGCTTGAGCGAGTTGTAAACGCGCGTCTCGTCTGGTTTCTGGAGGAACAAGGTGTTTTATCTAACTCGCAGTGCGGTTTCAGAAAGTATCGGAGCACAGTAGATCACATTTTAGCCCTTGATACCGAGGTTCGTTGCGCATTTAGGCGGAAGCGACACATTGGTGCATTGTTTTTCGACATTGAGGCTGCGTATGATACCACTTGGCGTTTCGGTATTTTACAAAAGCTTTTCAAGTACGGTATACGCGGTACAATGGGCCATTTCCTCGCCAGCTTTTTATCTAACCGGTCTTTCAGAGTCCGTGTCGGTGGCAACCTCTCAGAGCAGTTCCCCCAGGTCAACGGTGTCCCCCAAGGAGGAGTCCTAAGTGTTGTGCTGTTCGGGGTAATGATTAACGATATTGCCGATCACCTGCCCCCTTCCATTGGCCGTGCCCTTTTTGTGGATGACTTCTCTATCTGGGCCAGTGGTGCAACCACACGTATAGTAGAGAGACAGCTCCAGTTGGCAATTAAAAGATTAGAAAACTGGAGTGCTGTTAACGGACTACGATTCTCGACAGCCAAAACTGTAGGTGTCCACTTTTGCCGTTTTCGCCGTAATTGCCCTGACTTCTCTGTCAGGCTAAGGGGTGCAGTGATCCCTGTGAAGTCGGAGGTGAAGTTTCTTGGGATGGTAATAGACAGCCGTCTTACCTACCGCACTCACCTGAAAGAGCTCCGCGACCGATGTTTTCGAGCTATGAATGTTTTGAAATGTGTTGCGCGTACCTGCTATGGGGCGGATCGTAAGACACTGCTCTTGCTTTATCGTGCTCTTGTCCGTTCTAGACTTGACTACGGCTGTTTTATATACGATAACGCCACGGAGACCTCGAAACGTATTCTGGACTCTGTGCACCATACTGCTCTTCGTATTGCCACTGGTGCGTTCCGGACCACCCCAGTAGCCAGCCTCCTTGTAGAGGCCCACGAGCCACCTCTTGCCTTGCGTCGCCAGCTACTGGGCATGAGATATACCATAAAACTCCGCCAGTTGCCTTCCCACCCTGCCTATGATGCAGTTTTCTCACGTGCCAACCTGGCGCTTTTCAGAACCGGAGAAGGTGCACGTACTGTCCGCTACCCCCCTTTCTGCTCTCGTATGCAATCGCTGCTCTCGGAAGCTCAAATTAAACTTCGGGGGGTCATGCGTAAGGAGTGGCCATCTGTCCCACCGTGGAGACAAGTCCCGCCAAAGGTGGACCTTTCCCTCACCGATGTGAGAAAAGGCGACATCCCTCCAGCTGTTTTAAAGGCTCGTGCGCTGGAACATATTTCAAGGTACTCTGACTACATAGCCTGTTATACTGACGGCTCAAAGACTGATGACGGTGCCGGGTGTGCTTTCGTCTGCGGCGACGCTGTGCGGTGTTTTACCTTACCTAAACATGCATCCGTTTTTTCCTGCGAATTGGTCGCTATCCTCAAACTCCTGTGTTTTATCGAGATTAATCCCGCTCGGTCATATGTTATTCTTTCTGACTCATTGAGTGGTCTCCAGTCCTTGTCACAATTCTACCCTTCTGACCCCCTCGCACAGGAGATTCTTCTTCGTGTGACAGCCCTCGACCGAGAGGGTACGTCGGTGTCTTTTTGCTGGATCCCTAGCCACGTCGGTATTCACGGCAACGAACGGGCGGACCGAGCTGCGAACCATGCTGCGCAGTATCTGTGCTCCCGCCGATTCCCTCTACCCGCCAGGGACTTTGTACCGGCGGTGGGCTCTTTCCTCCTCGGAAAGTGGCAGGAGGCCTGGAGCCAATCCCACGGTAACAAACTTTTACGTATCAAGCCAGGTTTAGCTACCTGGTTGTCGGCCTCACGCAGATCGCGACGCGAGGAGGTGGTCCTCTGCCGGCTTCGTACCGGGCACACTTATGGCACCCATGGGTTCCTTATCGGCGTTGGCTCCAGGCCTATTTGTACCAGATGTGGTGACCGACTTTCGGTCCGACACGTCTTGGTCGAGTGCCCGAGACTGGACGCTGAGCGATTGCGGTTTTTTGGATTGCGTGGCCCCCAGCTCTCTTTGAGAACACTTCTCCGCGACGACTCCCCTTTTCTCGATTCCGTTCGCCTCTTTTCGTTCATCACGGCCTCCGGGCTTCAGGTGATTTTTAACCCCCGACTTTGAGGAAGATTGGTTAGATATGGGCGCCATATAGCCTCGTTGCTGGTGCGCCCTAAAACACCAAATCATCATCATCATCAACCGCCACCCTACAGCCCTGGCATGAAATAGGCGATGTTGTCGAGCGTCTTGATGAGATCCCGGTCGTCACACCCATCCAGCTCGGGGACCTGTTTGGTGAGCGCCACCAGTGGCACCAGGGCGCACAGTAGCGAGTCGAGAAGCACGGAGAGGCTGCCCGACACGGCGATCTGGCCCTGTCAGACAGAGACACGGGGTCAGTCAGTTATACGGCGATCTGGCCCTGTCCGACAGTGACACGGGATCAGTACGGCTATACCCTGTGCGGCAGACACGGGGTCAGTACTCAGTACGGCAGTCTGGCAATCAGGCCGAGACAGAGGGTCCGTCAGTTATACGGCGATCTGGCTCGTCCGGCACAGACACGGGGGTCAGTACGGCAGTCTGGCCCTGTCAAGACAGACAGGGGGTCAGTATGGCAATCTGACCCTATCAGGCAGTACGGCGGTCGCATAGGATCGACAGGCCGGCGGGTAGGACGAACGTCGAACATAGTCAGACGGGGGCGATATTGCCAGCGTATGGTTGGTTCTGTTTGCTCTCATACTGACAATAATTTTGACCATAGATAACATGAATCATGTTATCTATGTTTTGACATTACCCCTCGCTATGCTCGAAAGTATCTCAAAATGAGTATGACATTCGACTACAATAAATATCCTTCTCTCCCTCCCTCCCACTAGAATGAACACCGCCCGGTTCTCTTACGTCGTGGTCGCGCAGCTTCTGTCCGATGACTCCCAGCGACTCGCCGAGAAGCACCATGTGAGCGGCCAGGTCGATGGGCTGTGTCGTACACACCCGGTAGTTGGTGGGGTTCACCAGAGACGTCGCCTCACTCATCGACGGGGGCGGCCTGCGGGACGGCGCGGGTCAATCCACACTCATCCCACCGCAATATGACCTCACTCGTTACGTTATACGGTGAGCAGCGGATACGGGGGTTGACAGATTACGATCGAAGTAAGGAATCGAAGAACGACGATCTTAAGAGCGCCAACCTTTGAATTTGTTGTCTGGAGAGTAGCAAAGAGTGGACCTTATCAGTGCCTGACATTGCTACGTACCGACACTGGGATTATATTCCGGCAGGTTCATATTCAAACGTACTCATTCCCTGCCCAATCGGCCCACACTAAGCTAAAGGTCCACAGAGACGGACAATGGGTACCCTCCCTTCTTCCCCACTGTGTCACGTGCTGTTAACTCCCTCCAACCCGACGTCCCCTGTCTCTGGGTTCTCTGAGTCTCACATACCGATCTCCCGCTCCATTTTCCCACACAGCCACTCACATGCTGGGGTGTTTGCCGCCCATCTCGGATGTGGCAGCCTCCGCGGCGCCCTCCAAAGCCTTCTTGGAAGGCCGCCCCTTGGGGCCCTTGCCGGTGGACTTCATCTTGGCGGAGGAGCCCGAGGCCTCCAGGACATTGTGGCGGCCGTTAATTCTCTGAGCGCGTCGTTTGAAGTTCTGCGGGTGGGGCAGGGGTGGCGGTGAGGTGGGCTGGATGGGAGGGACAGGTCACGGCACAGTAGCGGGCTTTGACCCGGGCGTGTCTGTGACTCCGATAATATAGATCGTTATAAAATGAATGTGTCGTGAATATATCAATGTGCGAGTGCCATGGTAAAACTTGTTCCACAATCCACTCGCTCACCAGACCAGACATCCCAGTAGTGTTTCAGTGGTGATGGAGAACAATTAACCTGCCACAATGTTTTCTGCCACACATATTTTCATCATTATCCGTTTTACGTTAAGAGATGCGTAGCGTCGACTATGTGGTCAGTACCGTAAACCGGGGTGACAATGATACCCGGGTTGACTTTGATCATAGACCAATTTTGGGCCTCAAATGAGCAATTAGCTGCTGTGAACTGTATTTTCTATGCCAATAGTTAAATAGAGCAATGAAGCATTATATCAGACACTTTGGGTCCCAGTTAGAATAATCACGTTCATGTCACAGCTTGTTTTTTTGTTGTCATTGGCATGAAGTATAAATTCGCTAGCATCTCCAGCAAAAATAATGGTAAAGATGAGAAAGACCCAGATAAAGAAAGAGAAAGGAAAGCCTTAGATACTGATGATGGAGGATGAGCATTGAGCTGCTCTATCTCAGTGGTAATTGGAGCGTCAATGGGAAGTGAAAAAGACAATTAGCTGGGAGGGGCATGAACAGTGTGGCAAGTGGTCCCACAGCCACCAGCAGACAAAGTGTGATGTAGAACAGGTAGCCTGTGGCTTAGGACATCTGTGACTGTTACTTAATCTTGAAGACAGAGGTTAAAGTAGCTAATTTTGCTGCTTATAGCTCTGTAATGTCAGTTTAGACCCAGAGCATGCAACTTTATTTTAATACCTCAATGATTCATAGTTTTACTGTAAAATGTGTGAGTTTTTGTCAAGCAAAGCCTTTGATTTTATTCAAAACATGTAATTTTATCACACAAGCCCCTTCTGAGGGCTCCTATGGCACACATAAGGTGATCTTAATGTAGTGATCATAGTCACCCCGACGTCTGGGTGAGAATGATCAATTTTTGGGTAAAAAAATAAAATATTTATGATAAATTTCAAGGCATTTATTGTACTCAGTTAGATAGAGAATTGTCCAATTGGTATGATGAAACAGTTTCCAGAGTGAAATCTCAAGTGATATACAAGATATTGTACCAAACTGGTCAAAAGTGATACAAAGTCACCCCGGTTTACGGTACCGGCTATACGTACATATTTCTTGGCGTCCGGCAGGGTGTTCCACATGGCGCCGAGCCGTTTGTTGATCTGAGAGAAGTCCATGTCCGGGTTGGCTTGCGCCACGAAATCACGGACCTCTCGCGCCCACAGCAGGTAGGCGGAGATACGCGGTTGCTGTGGAAAAACGGGGCACCTCGTTGTTACGCGATGGTCGAACGTTTCTATAAGTGATCATGAGTAAGAGTTAGCAATGCGACAATACGCTTCTTTGCTGAATATGGCGTGGCAGGCAAGCCCAATGAAAACTGGAAATCCACGTAGGCAATCAAAACAATACAACTGAATCCATTCAAAAACAAAACACTTGTGTCAAACAGCACCAGAAACAGTCAAAGCGAGCCCGCTAGCCAGATATGGCCATTTTCATTTTGCGCTTTATCGATATCCACCCTTCCTGGCGCGACTTACCCCCTTGTCCTTCCTGATCATCCGCTGCTGCCTCCACATCTTGCTGACGTTCTTCGGACGTGGCCCCGGCTTCCCGCGCTGGGCCTGTTTGGTGGCCATCTTGGCGCCCTTACCGCGACGCGACGCCGAGCCGCGCGCGGGCGCCTCATCGATCACGAGCGGGTCCTGGTCCTCGTCAGAGAGCTGGCCCCGATCCGGATCACCGTCTCCCTCAGCGTCGTCGTCGTTAAAGCCCTCCTCGTCGTCATCGTTGGCCACCATGATCAGGTTGGAGAAGTCGTCGTCCTCGTCGCTCTCGGTCTTGACCTCGACGTTGTCGGCCACACCGACGGCGGCCGGGTCGTACGAGCCGTCCGCTGCCGTACCGTACGACGTGTCCCCGGTCTCGTACGGCACGCCGCCGTCGTACGCGGCCGCGCCGCCGGAGGTGTCGTACCCGTCCACCTCGTAACCTGGGTAGTGAGGAAGAAGGCATGATCATACAACAGCCAGGTGGTGAAACGTTTACAGGCTTCAAACAGGCCCGCAGACGCTTTTGAAGCTCTGAGAAAGCACAGATGCTGTTTTAAGCTTTCTTCATCAATGTTCGTGTTGGAATGAGCCGTAAAAAAGACGAATCTGACTTCATGCTCACGTTCGCAGACGGTATGGCCGTTTTCTACCCCACTCTCTGAGCGCCAACCGCGCGTCTCGCCTATCCGGCCGTCAGTTGCCACTTACCCTGGAGCTCGTTCCACTTACCCTGGAGCTCGTCCCACTTACCCCGGAGCTCATCCCACTTACCCTGGAGCCCATCCCACTTACCCTGGAGCTCGTCCTCCGAGCCGAGATCGTCGTGAGGCTCGGCCTTCATGTCCGGAGCGGTCGGAGTGACCATCACCTAAAGGACAACAGGCGGTCACACATCTGTCACGTCACGACACTCACACAGCGGCACCGTGAACAGCGGGGAAAAACCGGGAACTTGGCCGCCTACGGGAAATTTAGGATCCGCAGTTTACACCGATCGCCCCTCCTTCCTTCCCTCTTTTCCAATACGCTCCACTCGAATCTTAAGCTAGTGAACACGGTCTGCCCACCTTGGTCTTGCGTTTGCTATACTGTCCGCTGTCGCGGCGCTCCTTGCGGGAAGGCTTCACGTCCAGGTCGTCCGTCGGATCGTAGTCGGCCAGCTTGCTGGAGCGTTTCCGAACCCGACCCGAGCGAGAAACATCGCCGCTATCCACGTCTGCCGCAGAGCGGGTCAGCGCAGGTCGGTAGAGGTCAGCGCAGGTCGGTAGAGGTCAGCACAGGTCGGTAGAGGTCAGCACAGGTTGGTAGAGGTCAGCACGGGTCGGTAGGAGTCAGCACAGGTTGGTAGAGGTCAGCACAAGTCAGCAAAGGGCAGTAAAGGTCAGCACAGGTAAAATAAGTCAGCACAGAGCAGCATAAGTCGATACCTACACATCCATCGCAGTCCCCAAAGGTTGGCAGAGGCCAGCGCCAGTCCGTAGAGGTCAACACAGTTCGGTGGAGGTCAGGACAGGTCAGTGAAGGTCACGGTGGGTCAAAAGAGGTCAGCACAGGTCCGTATAGGACGATATTGGTCTTCAACTGTTCAGGGAACATTGGGTGGGTACTGGATAAGGTATAACAGGTCATATATTGTTAGGGAATGTCAGTGCAGGAAGACACCTGATGCCATCTATGTATGTCATGACTACAGGTCAACAAAAGGTGAAATGGGACACTGCCGGTCAACATACTGATCGGCAGCCTCAAGATTACCTGGTGACCTGGCCCTCACACTGCTGGAACTTCAGAAGTAAATACCTTACATTGCATGGCTGATACACAAATGTGAGCTGTAACTCCCTTACTGAAAAATGAGCTGCAAATGAAAAATAGCATACAAACAAATGTCAAATTGCAAACTGTGATGCATCTGCATCTACCACAGAACTTGCAACAAGTGCATCTTCATCCTTTATTATTTTGCTCATCAATACAGCATGGCTTATCATGACAAATGTCAGCATGCACAGTTGAGATGAACACAGAACACTTAACGTCCTCACCAAAGAAGGATGAGTTCATGTCTGTCTCAGCTTTTCTCAGTACCAGTGTTGGTGTTGCTCTTCTTCAAAGATCAATAAGCATCTATCCACTGTGCACAAAGTTCTCTCAAAGAAATCTGGAAAGTCAAAACATGGGGTTTGGGACGTGACACTCGAAGGGTTCGGACGTGCCCGCAGATGCCCCGCTTTCTAGTTCGCCGTAACGTAATTACTTATTTTCTACGCCGTGTGATGTATATAAAAATGTTCCTATTCTACATAACGTAGAATATTTTGGTCACATTTTCATAGTTTTTTAGTCATCGTTTTACACAGTATAAACGCCTAAATATTGTCAATTTTTTACCTAATTTCTAAAAAACGCATCGGGTCTTAATCGGGTCTGGAAAGGTTTTGCCCTGTATGTTGTAGTAATCTTGGTTTTGCCCTTTGATTTTTCCATTTGTGTCTCGTGTCAACTATCAAAAGAAGATCCCGCTTTGGGAAAAGATAAGATGCATAAATGGATACTGATGATTCTGATTCACCAATCGAGGGCTTTGACCCCAGAGACGGAAATTGGGTCACCGCGTCGAGAAAGAAAAAGCCCAAGAGAAGAAGGGATCAAGCAACTAACGAAAATGCTCATCAACGACAAACAGCAATCGGACGCAGCCGCCCACCGGCCACCACCCAGCTAACTGCCTCGCTCAGCTGCCAGGCATGCAGAAGCCGGAGTTCAAGGAAGGCCGCAATCACCTGCAGCCTCTGCGGCCAGCGCTGGCACACGTCCTGCGCCAAGCTGACCATCCAACAGGCGCGAGCTCTCTCCGTGTGGCATTGTCAGCAGTGCCTTGGCCGCCCGGCTGCCACTTTGGAACCGCCCACCCAGACATCAGAAGCCCCACTCTGCGGGATCGCGGCAGGTTTGTCGAAACTCCGCGCCAGCACGAAGGTTATCGCCCGGATTCCGAAAGCTGCGCGGTCTTTAGTCGCCGATTCCCTGTCAGAAGTGGTGAATGAGGCAGTCAACAGTCCAACCTCATCATCATCGTGGTGGAAGTTTCTGTCGTTTGCCTTTGTTGCTCTACGCACACCCGACTCGACCAATAGCGGGGAACGGGGCCCATTACTGGCGTCACACATACGACGTCAGGTGGCCGGGCTAGACTCCGCCGCTCCGCCCTCGCGGACGGTGGAGAGGCGCGCCCCTACTCCACGGACAACGACTCCTGACTCTCTTGCTCGTTGAGTTCGTGCTAAGTGCGCCGACGGGGATATCCGGGCCGGTCTCCGTCTCCTGACCTCCAGCGACACCTTCGTCGACCCTAGTGCCGAGGTCATCGCCGCGCTCCGACTGAAACACCCGCTCGCACCACTCGACCAGAGCCTACCGCCACCTCCCGCGGCCTCCGACCCTCCCCCGCTCACTGTCACGGAGGAGCAGGTGCGGGCCGCCATCTTCAGCATGCCACCAGGATCGTCTGCTGGTCTCGACGGCATCCGGCCATTACACCTACGACAGTTGCTCTCCCGAGAGACCGCCGAGTCCGGCCGGCGCCTCCTCTCCTCCCTGACGGCCCTCACCAACCTGGTTCTGCGCGGCCTCGTGCCAGAGTGTGGTCGCGACGCTCTATTCGGAGCATCACTCTGCGCTCTGAGGAAGAAGGACGGTGGTCTGCGCCCGATAGCCGTTGGAAGCGTGTTCCGCCGCCTGCCAGGACGCATCGCCGCGAGACACATCGCTGACATTATCGGTCCGGAGCTACGCCCCACCCAGCTCGGGGTCGGCACCCCGCTGGGATGCGAGGCCGCAGTGCACGCAGTGCGGGAATTCATCAGCTCCGACTCCACCAGCTCAGACACGCCGCGAGTTATGGTCAAAATCGACGTGCGTAACGCTTTTAACACCATCCGACGGGACGTCATCTTGGCCAGGATTCACGAGCGCTGCCCGGAGGTCTACCCGCTGGCCTATCAAGCCTACCACCTCCCAACACCGCTGCACATCGGGGACCAGACGGTACTGTCAGCGACCGGAGTCCAGCAGGGGGATCCTCTTGGACCTGCCGCCTTCGCACTGGGAGTCGACGCATGCGCCCGAGCCATAAGATCGCCTTTGAACGTGTGGTATTTGGACGACGCCACGATCGCCGGCCCGGCTGATGTCGTCCAGTCTGACCTCCACTCACTCGCCAAGGCTCTGACAGAACTCGGTCTGCAGCTGAACCCGGCGAAGTGCGAGGTAGCCATCATCGACGCGGCGCCCCAGCTAGCTCAAAACGCAGCGGTCGACAGCATTCGCAGTGTCCTGCCGGAGATAACAGAAATCCCTCTCCACAGCGTCACTCTGCTGGGCGCACCACTGCAGGACGCCAGCCTAACCGCAGCTGCCAATGGTGCCGCCGAACTCATCGGACGCCTATGCACCCGACTGACGCACCTGGACCGACACACTGGACTTTTCTTTCTCGTCCACTACGCGTCAGCGCCTCGCCTCCAGTACCTGCTGCGCTCAGCGCCCCTGTACAAGGTGGTGCCCGCGCTCAAGCTGGTGGACGAGCTGGTGCGAGAAACTTTGGTCGATAGCGCAAACGTAAATATCAATGACCAGCTGTGGGAGCAGGCAAAACTGCCATTCAGACTGGGAGGTCTCGGAGTTCGCTCTGTCGAGGACCTGGCACTGCCGTGCTACATATCTTCTCTGCACGCTGCTCTGCCACTTCTCCGCAGCATCTCTCCGGGGCTGCTTCCGGCCAGCGGTGTGCCACCATCCCTGCAGACAGCAATTCACCGGTTTTCTGAGGTGACGGGGACCGAACAACTGCCGCCCGCCTCAGCTGTCAGCAGCCAGCGGGCCTGGGACACCCTGTCAGCCACAGCGATTCGCGATAAGATGGTCAACTCCGCCAACCAGCTGCACCGGGCACGCCTGGTCGCCGCCAGTCAGCCACACACGGCCGCCTGGCTGCAGGCTGTGCCGGTGCCGAGTCTCGGCCTTCACCTGGACGAGGAGTCGGTGCGGGTGGCAGTGGCTCTCCGCCTCGGAGCCACAGTCTGCGAGCAGCACCGGTGCCGTCTGTGCGGACGTCAAGTGGATCAGCTCGGCCACCACGGGCTCTCCTGCGTGAAGAGCGCCGGTCGTCTCCCACGTCACGCCCAACTGAATGACGTGGTGAGGCGCGGACTGGCAAGCGCAGGCATCCCCTCCATATTGGAGCCAGTCGGCCTCGACCGGGGTGATGGCAAGCGACCTGATGGCCTAACGCTGTTTCCGTACAGCGGAGGCATGTGTTTGACATGGGATGCCACATGCGCAGACACATTTGCCGACACTGTGCTGATTCAGACCGCCCTAGAGCCTGGTGCCGCCGCTCGGGCCGCAGAAGACAGAAAACGGCGCCACTACTCAGAAATCAGCTCCCGCTTCAAGTTCGTGCCCATCGCAGTGGAGACCTCCGGGGTACTCGGCCCCGCCACCTCAAAATTCATCCGCGAGCTGGGCCAGCTTATCACCACCCGTACCGGCGAACGACGCGAGACCGAATGGCTATTACAGCGTCTCTCGATCGCTGTTGTGCGAGGCAACGCCGCCGCGGTTCTCGCCACAGCCGCCACAGACCGGGCGAGGGCAGACCGCCGACAGCAGCCACCACCAGACGTGACAGGGGTGCGCACCCGGCCTTCGCTTCCTCCGTCTGCGACGACCGGCCGAGCCTCAGCAAAACAGACAGCAAGGCAGGCCTCAACCGAGTTCTTAGCTGACGAGCCGCTGGCACTCCCGTCGGAGGAGGCCTCTGCACCGCCCAACACCAGACTGTCTCACCACTCACTGCCCGGCAACCCCAGCGAAGACGGCGGCGGGACTGGCAGTGAATCTGACGGCAGACCGCTCGGTCTCACCGGCCTCAGGAACACGGGCAACACCTGCTTCCTGAACACAGTCGTCCAGTGCCTGAGCAACACACGCGCTCTCCACGATTACATCCTGCGCGATGGACGCTCCTCAGATGCCAGCATGCCTGCCGCCGCTACGAAGGGGTCCCTCATGAACACATTCAGCGCCCTGATACGCGACATGTGGACATCCTCGGACGAAACGGAGCGGGTGCTCACCACCGCACCACTCAAGTCGATGATCCAACGGCTCGCGCCACGCTTCATGGGCTCCCAGCAGCAGGACGCGCAGGAATTCCTCAGATATCTGCTGCAGGGACTTCACGAGGACGTGAACCGGGTGACGAGCCGGCCAAAGCCGATCACGACCGACATCGACGACTCACTGAGCGCCAGTCAAAAGTCAATGGAGGCCTGGAAACGTTTCTTGCGCCTGGAAAACTCCAAGTTCGTGGGCCAGCTCAAGGCTACCCTGCGGTGCACGGTATGTGGCCACGCATCGGTTACCTTCGACCCGTTCTGGGATCTGAGTCTGCCAATCCCGTCACGAAGTGGCCAGGTGCGCCTACAGGCCTGTTTTGACCTGTTCACCAAAGAGGAGGTGCTCGATGGCGACGAAAAACCGACCTGCTCAAAGTGCCAGAAGCGCCAAAAGTGCACCAGGAGCCTCTCGATCCAGAAGTTTCCTCGTATCTTGGTGGTCCACCTGAAGCGGTTCTCGCCGCAGGAGAGGTTCCGCGGGAAGCTGAACACCACTGTCGACTTTTCGGTGAACGGCCTGGACCTGTCGCCCTACTCGGCCGGACAGACGCCCTGCCGGTACAGCCTATACGGTGTGGCGAACCACTCTGGCACGCTGCTCTCAGGACATTACACCGCTCACTGCCGACATCCGTACATGGCAGAGTGGTACGAGTACAACGACTCGCGGGTCCACGTGATGGACCAGAGAAACGTCAACAGCGGAAAGGCTTACGTGCTGTTCTTTGAGCTGGCCGGCTCGAAACACCGCTCTGGCTCGACCCACGTCTAGTCATCCAGTCACGGGAGAGGAGCCTGCGATCGTCACCCGCTCGGGCCTTGTGTAGTCACACCGACCGGCGCACATTCTGCTCGGACAACTCTAGCCAGCGGCCTATTGTGATTTGTGATATTTATTAACAGCGATGTAAGAAAGACAATGAATAACTCAAAGGTCTGAAGTGCTCGTACCGAAATAAAGTTATTCGAGAAAAAAAAAGTAGGCACTTATGAATTATGAGTTAAAAACAAAGCTGGTTTCTTTTGTTTGTGCTGTGGTGAACATCAGATAGGTACCCATACTGTGCTGTTGTAAACATCAGATACCTATACTGTATTATTAATACGATCAGTTTCTTTCCCAAATCCTATGTGGGCAAAGCTGGAAGTCTCTGTATATTTTGAACTGGCATCCAATCAGCCTGTTCTGTTGATGACTGATCACCACACAATACACATCCAGTGGCATTCCTGGCAACGAGGCGCACTGCTACCATGAGGCTGAGATTTTAGGTTAACAAATAACATGTGCCCACTAGTTATGGTGCTTGAAATACTTGTACTCAGTCAGTAGCGGCAGAACACCTTCAATTAGGGGGGGGGGGGCACTGCCAGCTTTTGGTCCCATTCTTTCCATGTAACGCCCATAGGGCTAATGTTAAAATGCCAAAATCAAAGGCAGGCACAGTGCCCCTGTGCCCTCCCCGTTCCGCCGCCTATGTAATCAGTCTAATACAGCAGGTAGGCCGTAGGGGTAATGCCTGTATTTAACTAATATCTTTCAGTGCACCATGCTCAGGTTGAGTTTAAAGAATAGAGAGCACTTGGAATAAGCAATAGTTTGAAATAAATTTGAATCGTTTTGAAATATTCAAATTCAAACGCATCAAAAATAAAACATTCACCCGAATCTCCTATCCTCAACGATGAAGTCGCTTAGCAACCGTCCACGCTCAATGAGACTGACTTGACTCGGAACTGGGAGTAGACGCCCAAGCTCAGCTCAAGCTGTTTTTCGGGTTTTTCGTTCCATATTTAAAACTGCATTTTTCCAATTTACACAATTACAGGTCATTTTGATGACTAAAATGTATGGAAGACGTAAAGGTCTTCTGTTTCACTTCTAAGTTCATAAAACCCATAAAACCGACGACATATAGCTCAAGCTCTTTCCACAATAAATTCATATACAAGGAAAGTTTTGTTTTAGCTGCTGTGACTTGTGAGCTTCGGCAGATATATGGCGCAGCAAAGACGATAGATGACTGTTTTATATGTCCTGTTCGCTTTCGTTTCGGGAAAGCTAACGAATAGGGCAAGGAATATGGAAGACGTTTCTGCTATACTAGCATAAAAAACGTAAACGCGTGTTTGATCGAATACAAAACTCATTTTTGCTCTTATTTTCGTTCCACGTCTTCGTGTTTACTACGACTTGACTACGACCACGTGTTCCGGTAGTAAGAGTTGTGAGATGTTTTCCAACTGGAGATATATATTACTTACTTACCGTAAACCGGGGTGACAATGATACCCGGGGTGACTTTGATCATAGACCAATTTTGGGCCTCAAATGAGCAATTAGCTGCTGTGAACTGCATTTTCTATGCCAATAGTTAAAGGGACTGTCCCACCTTAACATTAGATTTGAGTTGAGATAGCCATCTTGATGGACGTTCTTTGAAAATCAGTGCCGTGAAAACCGTTTCTCCAGCAATTACTTCATCGCAAAGAAATTTGAGTTTGATTTTGACATCTGTGCAAATAAGTGCCACAATGTATTGGTATAGGCACTTAAATCTGATGACGTCATCAGGCTTTCGAAAGTCCGTTAAATGTTTGACTAAAACGTTTTGTAGCACGCGGTGGTATATGCTGCGTTGCGCGCAACAAATGCCGCACTTTTAAATAAAGTCGCTAGGAACAGCGGAGATCCCAAAAAGTAAACAAAAGTAAAAGTCTAATATCTTGAAAACCGGTGAATATTTTTCGGTGAAATTTGGTAGATATTCGTTTTCGCTCTTTCTGAACCGAGCGACATCACTTTCATGCCAATTCATAAACTTTTTTAAAGGTGGGAGGGTCCCTTTAAATAAAGCAATGAAGCATTATATCAGACACTTTGGGTCCCAGTTAGAATAATCATGTTCATGTCACAGCTTGTTTTTTTGTTGTCATTGGCATGAAGTATAAATTCGCTAGCATCTCCAGCAAAAATAATGGTAAAGATGAGAAAGACCCAGATAAAGAAAGAGAAAGGAAAGGCTTAGATACTGATGATGGAGGATGAGCATTGAGCTGCTCTATCTCAGTGGTAATTGGAGCGTCAATGGGAAGTGAAAAAGAAAATCAGCTGGGAGGGGCATGAATAGTGTGGCAAGTGGTCCCACAGCCACCAGCAGACAAAGTGTGATGTAGAACAGGTAGCCTGTGGCTTAGGACATCTGTGACAGTTACTTAATCTTGAAGTCAGAGGTTAAAGTAGCTAATTTTGCTGCTTATAGCTCTGTAATGTCAGTTTAGACCCAGAGCATGCAACTTTATTTTAATACCTCAATGATTCATATTTTTACTGTAAAATGTGTGAGTTTTTGTCAAGCAAAGCCTTTGATTTTATTCAAAACATGTAATTTTATCACACAAGCCCCTTCTGAGGGCTCCTATGGCACACATAAGGTGATTTTAATGTAGTGATCATAGTCACCCCGACGTCTGGGTGAGCATGATCTATTTTTTGGTAAAAAAATAAAATATTTATGATAAATTTCAAGGCATTTATTGTACTCAGTTAGATAGAGAATTGTTCAATTGGTATGATGAAACAGTTTCCAGAGTGAAATCTCAAGTGATATACAAGATATTGTACCAAACTGGTCAAAAGTGATACAAAGTCACCCCAGTTTACGGTACTTACTTACTTACTTAGAAGTACAGAATTTTGATAGGCCACTTGGCCTTTACGTCCGTTCCATTTGAGCTGCTTAGTGTGGGTTTTACTGGTCTGTGTAAGGAATCGCGTGTACGAAGTCCGCCCAGTGGGTGTCTAGGCTGGGCCCTGTTTCACCGGTGATAGCAGCACGCTGCTTTTGCACGTGTCAAATTGGGTTTCCATGGAAACATCAACAGGCCCATTGCTCCAACACTACCACAAGTGTGACGTCAGCTCGCGCAATTTGATAGCAGCGTGGTAGCAGCGTCCCGTGAAACACCGCCCAGGTCTTGAACTGGTTGAGTGTACTGGCGTCGACGACTTCTGGCGGTAGACTGTTCCAGTCGTTTATAACCCTTACTGAGAAGGCGTCTCGACGGACTCTGGAGACCGCGTGCGGCTTCACGAGGCGCCACGAGTGACCTCTGGTTTCACGGGCGGTTGAGCGGTCGAAGAAGACACGCGAGTCCAGGTCAAGGTCGATACCTCCATGTAGCATCTGATATACCGCAATCATGTCACCGCGCCTTCGTCGGTAGTACAGGGATGGTAGTTTCAGCGCCTGCAGGCTGCAGTCTCTCAGTGTAGGGCAGATGGCGCAGCTCCGAGACCTTCTTGGTCGCCCTCCACTGGACGCGCTCCACTCGTTTCTGGTCTGTGCAGCTGAAAGGGCCCCACACTATGTTCCCGTATTCAAGGTGGGGTTGGACTAGGGTCTTGAACAGTAGGGGCAACATTGATTTGTCAATCAGCTGGAAGGACCTCTGAATCATGGAAAGTATCCACGAGGCTTTGCTGACAGCCGCGGCAGCTTGTTTGCGAAACTTCAACTCCGTGTCTACGTAGACTCCCAGATCCTTCTCTGCCGCCACCTGCTCCATTCGAGCGCCCTTCAGCTGGTAGACTCGCTGGGGGTTCTGGCGACCAATGTGGAGGACCCTGCACTTTTCTGCATTAAACTCAAGCTTCCATTCATTCGCCCAGTCTGATGCAGCGTCCAGGTCTCTCTGAAGGGCTAGAGGGCCGGTTAATATATGTTATTTTAATATATTTATTATATATTATTAATATATATTATATATTAACCCTCGCATGTGTAGGGGGGGGGGGGGGTCGGATGGACCCCACATGGTTTTTCGCAAATAACTCGCGTAAAAAGCGGCCGATCGCGACGAAACTTTCAGTACCCTCGCATTGATCAATTTTACACCTACCCTGAAAATTTCATGACCCTGACCCAAATGACCTTTGACCTGTGACCTCTTTTCCGAGACCATGTTTGGCCGGAATCGCGATTCCGCGCATGTCGGCTCGCATTAGCCGCGCGTTTGCAAGCTTTTCGTGGTTTCAAACGTTCAAACATGTGATTTGATGTTGCTCCCATGCATTAGGGTGGGTGTCAAGGTCACCTGAAGGTCAGGTCAGGTCATTGACCTTTGGTGACCTCGGGTGACCTCGGTTCACTTTTTCGGGTTTTACATGTTTCTAGGCTAGTTTTTGGAGCTGAATTCGAATTTAGCAACCATTTGAACATTTACGAAGTAGTTTTGGTGCCTTCGTAACATGTTACGAAGCTGTCAGAGGCGGTTGACACGTACTACGAATACCCGTCACGACGCCTACTGGTTGACCTGACCTGACCTGACCCGACCTGGTCTAAATGCTTAAAGTCATTATCTGTGATCAAAACTAACACGATATTCGTGATCAGCACCCCGAAAAACCCCTTAGCAGCTACACTTTACGACTTTCTAATAGGTCCCGATTTTCCCGACTTTGGGTCATTCACCTGACCTGGAAGGTCAACCGATGACCTAGGACCTTAAAATTGGGTATCATCGGCTTCCTCTCCTCACGGGCAACACGCTCGTTTTTTCCGCGAAGCTCTAGATCGATCAGGGGCCAAACGGCAAGGGGGCGGGTCCAACCGACCCCCCCCCCCCCCTACACATTAGAAGCTGGCAAACGCCGCACACATGCGAGGGTTAGTATATATAGGTAATATATAGGTATTAACTATAATATATATTATATTATATATAATAGGTATATATTATAATATATATTAACAAATAAATATTAACATTTTTGTTTTTATCCTTTCCTGTGTTTGCGTGTGTGTGTTGTTGTTTGACTGGTCTCTGTTTTGACGCTAACTCAGTTGGGGAAACTACGAGGAGCCTATGAGTAGGAAACTACGAGTAGGAGGTAGGCGAAATCCGCCCCCCCCCTTCCACTGCGCGTGTTAAGACAGGTCACCAGGTCATGAAGGTCAATTGTCGAGGGACGGCGCCTCAAAAAAAGTTGTAATGCTCTCCAGAGCTGCACTGACTGGATAATCACTTAAAAACTTTCAGAATTGATGAGAGCAACAGCAAAGTTAAAACATTCATCTTGGAGGTTTGATATTGGTAACCTAAGGTCAGGTCAATTCTACAACTTTTCTTTTGAAATTTGAAAATCATTGGGATTAAATTGAAATGTTTTTATGGAATTCATAGTTCATTCTAGGCACTCTTAAACATGGTAGAAGATAAACACGACACATCAAATTTGAAAAATGCACCCTTGGGCACCCATTGGTCTTTATGCTCCTGAGGTCATCTCAGGCCATGGAAGACCTAGCAGGTTTTTACAATAACTTTTGATAGGTCCTATACATGCTAGATAGATGTTAACACCTTGGATTTATCCAGCTTAATGATTCAGTTAGAATAATGTGCAATATGACCTTTTCTGGTTATGTCAAGAGAGGTCAAGACCTTGACCTTAGGTCAAATTTTCAAAATGACCTTTTAATGTCAAGTTACAGTTCATTTGACTCGTTTTGACAAGAGGAACACAATGTCAGCAAAATAAATGACCAAGTTTTTAGTCGAAAGCTTTCGCAGAAAAATATTGCAGGGGCCCTGTTTCACCGGTGATAGCAGCACGCTGCTTTTACACGTGTCAAATTGGGTTTCCATGGAATCATCAACAGGCCCATTGGTCCAACACTACCACAAGTGTGACGTCAGCTCGCGCAATTTGATAGCAGCGTGGTAGCAGCGTCCCGTGAAACACCGCCAGGGCGTCGTCCCCGGCTGTGTCACGAGGTGTGGGGTAGGCTCCCACTTCAGCCGTAGCCTGGGCCCTGGGGGGGGGGGGGGGAGAACAAGGATCGGGAGGAGGAGGAGCCCTCCTATAATTGAGACCAAGTGCCCATTGGAGGCAGGTCCGAATAAAAAAGGATGTTTTCCACAAAAATGTCTATTTGCTAGTAAAGTTTCAGTCTTCCAGTTCCAAAGACTAAACTGTTAACCTCACATCAAATCTAAGAACAGCACTCTGAAAGAGCAATAAAGAAGCTATCAAATGGGCTTTTCCTTGGCGCTGTAGCCTTTTCTGCTTCTTATTTATGCACCGATTTGTCAGAAATTGTCGAAATCGGCGAAACTTGACCTTTGAAGATATCTCGTGACCTGACCATTGATCTGAACAAAAATCTGATTTCGTCATGATTTTTGACGCTCTTCCGGACGTTACTTACCGCGTCTCTACGTGGCCCAGGAGTCGAGTTAGAATGGATTAACGTCCCTTCCATCAGAGGAAGGTTTGACAATTTAATACCTATTTACTATTTTCAGATCTTATGGTCAAGACACTTATTTTCCAATACACCAACCTCTTGAACATGTCAGCTGACCTAGAAGACATGCCTGACCTTGAAGAATCTGCTCCTGCCGACACTGCTTCAGTCACCACTGTAAGGCTCGGTGACCATCAGTCACCAGCCGCACCTCCTGTCTCAGCTGGCCACGATGTCGCCGGCGTTGATTCAGACGATGATGATGATGACGAGGCCTGGGAGGAGATGGAGGAAGACTGTGAGCCGCTGCCTGCGGCCACCTGTCTTTTCTGCCCGCTCCAACTGCCGGCCTCGGACCTCGTGGCGCACTGCCGGTCGGAGCACAGTCTCGACCTGGCCGGCCTGGCGGTGCGCCACGCCCTCGACTCGTTCGGCTACATCCGCCTGGTGAACTACGTGAGGTCGACTCGCGTGACGCCGTCTGAGCTGGACGGGCTGCCGGCGGCCGCGTGGGCGGACCAGGCCTTCATGAAGCCGGTGGTGCAGGACGATCCGCTGCTCATGATCGGTGAGTGACGGCGGGGAATCTGTTTGTCTATTCTCAATTAGTACGTATGTGTGTGTGGTGGGGGGGGGTCCCTATTGTAGATATACAGACCATTTTTTAAAACCGCGCTACATTTATCTACATGGTGCCTTAACCACCTAATTCCCCCATCCCCAGACGTGGACGACCTGCTGGCGGCGGCCGAGGGCGGCGCGGCGCCGCCCCCGTCGGAGCCGGCCGAGCCCGTGGTCAGCTACGAGGGTGACCGGGTCACCCTGTCGACGCAGCACTACGAGCAGCTGCAGCGGCAGCTGGCCGCGCTGCGCCGGCAGCTGCAGCTCACCGAGGATAGGGACGAGCAGCTGGTCAAAGGTGGGTGGGCTAAGGGCTACAGTGCGTGCAGTGGTGCTCGTGAGTACTTGAGTAGCCAGCGGTTACTGGACGAGACCAGGGGTGGGTTCTACGAGTTGGGCCTTGTCTCGTGATCACTTGAAAGGTTTTCCGAGAACCGATGCCTAACCTGACTAGAATTCTGCCGAGCTGAGGCATGATACCGGTAGTGACATCTGTGTGATCTTCTCGTTGGCCGCATCACTGGACGTGGTGCTAGTTATCAAGTCATACCTTTCACGATATCATGCCTGGACGCCCCAGAATTTGTCACACTATCTTTTTACGCCAAATAGAGCATGCATATTCACGAACGACGTCGCTTCTGTTCCTTGCGATGTTCTTACCATCTCACCGCTAATGGGTCTGACGGTCTGTCAGCAGCCTGGCGGTTATTCTGACCCGTCAGTGGACAGTGACTGACTTACTTATCCTGCCTCCTATGTATCCCTCTAGACATGGCCACGATGCGCGGCACCATGCACCAGATCCTGCGGCTGGACGACGAGGAGGTGGAGCAGGGGCCCGTGTCGGCCGCCTCAGCCGCCGGAGACAGCGCCAGCTACTTCGAGTCGTACGCCCACTTTGGCATCCATCACGAGATGCTCTCGGTGGGTATAGCGGACGTGCTGGGTGCGACAGAATGAGAAGGGACAGATACAGACCCAGGTCCCTCGTCGGGGACGAGTTAGGCATGACTTCATATTCGGCTTTAGATGTGTTTTTAAATGCCGCATTTATGGCACGATTCAGAATGCAACGATTTTGTGTGAAATGGAAGATAAAAACAATCGATGCGTTCGATAAGTCATTGTTAGCGCTGTGTAATATTTGCAATCGTGGGAACTAAATTAATGAGACGAGAAAAGAGACAAAATTATTATGTTGAAAATGGTAATTCACTACCCGTGCTGTCACGCTGTAAATTTATCAACATTGCCCTATAGAGTGGTTGAGCCGCAGACATGTTTGCATCCATCCACCCTGTGCCATCGTCGGAGGCATGACTCCGTACCGAGTCGTTCAGGGACGCATCACCCCCTCTCCCTCCCCCCGCTACCCCAGGACCGCGTCCGCACCGAGTCGTACCGGGACGCCATCTGCCGTAACGCGGCGCCGTGCGTGCGCGGCCGGGCCGTGCTCGACCTCGGCTGCGGCACCGGCATCCTGTCGATGCTGTGTGCGCGCGCCGGCGCCGCCGAGGTGGTCGGGGTCGACCAGTCGGAGGTCATTTACCACGCCATGGATATCGTCAGGTACGGGCTTAAGGCGACCGAGGGAGGTCTAAAGAGGGAGTGGGTGTTCTGAGTGCCAGAACAGTCCTGGAGATTTGAACATCGCAACAAATTACTGTAGAGTGACGACCCTGATGTTGTTTGTTCTGCTCGTTTGTGCAAAAGGACTAACTTACGTTACTCTATTGAGGTTCAATTGCAGTAGCTATTGACTATTTGTTTGTCCATAGTGCCGTACATTCCCTAAAATGGCTGTGAAGATTGAGATCATTTGAGCAACTCATTTGGATACTTTTTGGCTGTGCATTAAAAAAAAATGTATATTTCACACCAGTAAGCAAAAATTACATGCGCATCCGCATTGAACTCCGGTCCGGTCGTATCTAACCTCCCTTGTTTCCGGCAGGGAGAACCGCCTATCCGACATCATCACCCTAGTAAAAGGCCGCCTGGAGGACGCGAAGCTGCCCGGCGGGCCGGACCGCAAGTTTGACATCATCGTCTCCGAGTGGATGGGCTACTTTCTGTTGTTTGAGGGCATGTTGGACTCGGTGTTGTACGCGCGGGACCGACTGCTGGCTGACGGCGGCCGGCTGCTGCCCAACCGGTGTACCATCAGCCTGGTGGCCGCCTCCGATCAGGGTGAGTGAGTGAGTTAGTGAGTTGAGTGAGTGAGTAAGTGAGTGACTGAGTTAGTGAGAGGGAGGGAGAGAGCTGCTGCCCAACCAGTGGAGCACCAGCCTGGTGGCGGCCTCCGACCAGGGTGAGCAGTAGGCGAGGGGTGGCTGGACTGGCGACTGTCACCATGGAACTGGTCTATGTATTGGTGTGCCATCAGCCTGTGGGCAAGGAGTGGGTTAGGGTCTTGGGGTGGATGGACTAGTGGCTGTTCTTCTAGGTTATTGTCACTGTGTTGACTGCTCATGATTTGGGTAAATGTGATCGGGAACTGACGACGGTTAGCTTGGAGCGTTGCCGATCTGCCGGTCAGCTCAGCGTCCCTCCCTCCCTCCGCTGCCCCGCAGAGCGGTACGACAACCTGCTGACCTTTTGGGAGGACGTGTACGGGTTCCGTATGAGCTGCCTCCGACCGGAGGTGCTCCAGGAGGCCAGCGTGGAGGTGGTGCCGGCCGCCGCCGTCTGCTCCCAGCCCTGCCTCCTGAAAACGCTCGATATCAACACCATCAGGTGGGCGACGGAATTTGTTACATCCATCTCGTTAGCGTGATGATTCATGATTGAAGTTATTTTTTACAGCTCAGTCACCATTTCATTCGATGATGATGATTCAGGGGTTTAGGGCGCCGGTGACCTATCGACAATTGGTCGTTTTTCCCATAAAACAAAAGTAAAGCACCTTTAACCCGCGAGTTGCTGGGGGGGGGGGGGCGTTAAACGCCCCCACTTTTTTCGCCGGGCCATAGCATAAAAACGGCGCGCCGCAGTCGTGCCAAATTTTGGGTACCTGTAGGGAATTGATTGAAGTTTATTGTGACAAAGTTTCAAAAAAATCGGTCGGAAAATTTTTGAGATATCGAGGTTTGAGTGACGTCATGATTTCTGAGTTTTCGACCAAAAACGGCATATGTTAAAAAAAAAATCATATAAAATCACAGAACAGACATACAGACATGCCGTAAACGCCATTAAACTGCCAATACCATGAACAATCAAATGGCTATCTTCGATTATTGATTATTGCTCCGCATTTTCCAAAATCTTGAACTGAATCTTGGCAATTTCTCGTGACTACCTCACGACCATGATACATGCATTTCTTAATGAACTTTTTGAGCCAAACGCGTACACATATGATAAAATGAATGTCACCATCGTGTTTTCGCCCCAAATTACCCATAAAACATGTGTCACAGGCTGCGAATATCAGTTTTGATTTTCGGGGATATGTGCCTACCGGGTTGACCTGACCTTGACCCTGACCTATGCTTGACTGACCCCTACATGGAGCTGACACTCTTGTAGGCCTTATATGATGGATTGTGCACCGTTTTGACAGAGTTTATGACGAGAGGCGCCCATTGCGAAGTCCTGAAGTCCATGCTACTGAAAGCCCGATTTCAGGTGTTTGACCTGACCTTGACCCGACCTGTGACCTCAAAATTCAACTTTAAAGTACTCATCTGAAGCGTCTCGTCGCGTTCTTTCGTTTGCCGCCTCGTGCGTTTCGCTGCGCCTATTGGTTCTCGAGTTATCGGCTGGGGGCGTTTAACGCCCCCCCCCCCCCCCCAGCAAACGGTGGGTGGCGAAATACCCCAGCAACTGCCGGGTTAAAGCACCTTTACATATTTGGCCTATCTAATTATGAATTATGATTCTACTGATGCTGACAAGTTAAATTCAAGCTCACATTATGAGGGGTGGGTCGTTTGCGTGCGTGAGCTACTTTATGGAGCGCGTGAGCGGCGTCTGTGAACCGTCCATTTTTCAATTCGGCTTTGTTGCTCTCATGATCCTCCTCGTCCCATTCTCGCAGCTCAGTTATCCCTGGAATGAGCTGACCTTCATTCAGCAGACTTCCTTTTTCGTGTACCGGCTCCCCTTCTATTTCGAGAACTCATTTATCTTTGTAAGAACCTACCTACCATATGATGACAAATATCGGCGTTTTTTTCGAGTAAGGAGTTCCTGAGTTAACACTAAGTAGTCTTTACGACCCAAGTCCTGGCAGCTACCGTCCGCTCGAGAAAAACGTCTGCGGGACACTGCCTAATCAGCGCGCTCATAACTATACGAGCGTCACCGACTCTGAACTGGGGCACGACCCATTCCTGCTACTGCATATGGCCCGTCGCATGAGCCTCAACAATGTTTCTTCGTGCTGACTCTCACGCTAGGATCTTACCACCATTCAGTTCAGAATGCCAGTCTTTTCCCCTGTGCTCTCCACGTGTTTGATGTGTTTGTGTTGTTTGTTTCCCCAGGGTGGAGGACACAGAGTTCACGTCTCCGTTCCGTCTGCGCGCGCTGCGCTCGTGTCGCGTCACGGCGCTGGTGGGCTACTTTGACACGCACTTTGACCTGCCGGTGCCGGTGGAATTTAGCACGGGCCCGCACACGACGCCCACACACTGGAAACAGACGGCATTCTACCTGGAGCGGCCCATCACCGTGGCAGAAGGTGTGTCTCACGAGGGAGGGCCGGTGGGAGCGGGGTGCTTAGGAGTCGCTGTGAGGTGTAGAGGTGTATCTTTCACTGACTGAGAGGGTAGAGGTAGGGGGCTATCACCTGGAGCAATCTGCTACGAGCAATCCATATCGATCACAGTGGCAATGCCGCAGATTTTAAGTTAAAGTAAAGAATAACAGTAAACGGTTTTTATGCCTACAGTAGCTAGTCTTCCAGAGTTTCATTGGAGTTGAAGCGATCTTGTGCTAACAGCTGATCCTGTCCGTGCTCCCTGGAGCCAGTATCGTCGTAACCCGACTGTGTGCTCCGCTTACAGGTGACACGATCGAGGGCAGTCTGTTCTGCGGCCGGGATCGAAAGGACCCGCGATCACTGCGAGTCACCATCACAATCGCCGGGAAGAGTCAGTCCTACCGCGTCTCGTAGCGCGTGGGGTGGACGGCGCGGTGTGAGGACGTGGCTGCCGACATGTCAGGTCAGCACGGGTTCTGCTGCGACACTGGGCGCCGAGATGTGGTCGAGGCTGCTGAGAAATGTCTCCAGGAATGATGGTCATGAGGGATTGTCGCAATTCGAATGTCCAGTTCGCTGTCCAGTGATGTATTGAAGTGACGAGCAAAACGTAGGTGTCTTGTTTTGGGACAATGTGCATTGGGGTTTATGAAAAACGGAGAAATGTTTTTTACCAATATTTTATCGACAAATGACAATAAAATATGGATAACACGCAACGCTCTTATTGATTTACAATTCACGATTTACTAATAATCACACAATTATTCATTTATATGAAATGTCTGAACAGGAATACACTGCAATGGCATCAGAAAGACACGATCCAGTCACAAGCCTTGTACAGTGATATACAATTTTTCAGCCTGCATGTCTTGTCTACATGGACTATGCTGCTGGGTAATGAGCAAGTAATAAGCACATTGTTGGCGTTAGGTGTTAATTTGACAGCACGAGATTCTTATGTGTCTTGCCAGCTGGCGGTTTCATTACGTGCCATATTTCATCATCAGCTGTCCTAAGTTTACATTACATCTTCGGTTAACTGAAGACAGCAATGCATTAATTAAATTAGTATTGGACCGTATGACATCTGACTAATTAATGACATTAAAATCTGGATTGTGCCTGGGTTGTGTCTGGTTATAAAAAGTATCGTACTTACATTGAAATCGCATGACTTTATATAGCAACATCGCCACCAGGGCCCTGTTTCACCGGTGATAGCAGCACGATACTATAAAATTGCGCGAGCTGACGTAATGTGATGACGTCACACTAATGACGTTTCGTGTAATCCGTGAGCTTTTTCATAGCTACGTTTGGAACAGAGTTGCCGTATCCTTGAATGCGTTTGATACATTCGCACGGCCGTGAAGATGTTAGCAGCAATATTTGATGACATCACACAGATTGACGACGGCAAGGTTTGTTGATGTCTCCATGGAAACCCAATTTGACACGTGTGATAGCAGCGTGCTGCTATCACCGGTGACACAGGGCCCAGAGCTACCTACACCTGTATAGCCTTGCGGCAGTCATTTCTCGCGTAGCTAACTACACAATAATAGGTAAAATAAGAATCTGTGACATCATAGCCCTTCTAACAACAGAAACTACATGAGAGTAACTTATACTGACGTGTAATGGCCTGCATCTGTTTTCCTCCCCGGCACACCCCTCCCCTCCCCTTCCCCTTCCTCCTCCCCCTCAGTGGTCCGACTCTGGGGCGGAAATAGCCCCGTTGGCGGGCGGTTCGGGGCGGAGACCGCGCCCAACCGGGACCGTGTCTCCGGCGCCGCGCGGGCGCGCTGTTTTCGCGCGGGTGGTGGGCGCGCGAACACGGCTGGCTGAGAGCCAGGCGGCCGGGACCGAACCGTACGCAGCGACCCCGGCCGCGCAGTGAGCCGAGCCAAAATGCCTTACTATCACATGGGCAGCTCGTGCTGCGTGGCTAGGCGGCGAATTTTTCCATTTGCAGCCAGTCTTTGACAACATATTTGTCTAAATTGCGTTTCCTGGAACTGGGAAGGTCATAATGAACATGTGTGTTATGGGTACGCTAATTAACCATGGTAAATTACGTCATTGTTGTAATCACCCGTCGGTATCTGTAGCATGCACTGGGCATTCACTGCCCGTAGTCTGCCCGCCTCCCCAGTTGTTCTGGCATCCCTCGCCCGTCTGTCTGGCCCGTACCCGTTGTCGGGTCAATCAGACGTTGACAGGCTGTTGACGGGTGACGGGGACCGCCTGACGACGAGCCGTCTGCCACAGTGTGGGCCGTAAACATCACGGTCTTTGTGCCGGGGTACTGGCTGCGTCGGACTGTCAGGGAGAGAAACTGGGGCATAGAATGTGCGACTTGCGGGTTTGATGATGACAAGAATCATGTGTTAGGTATTGGCTCATATAATGCACATATTACATGCTAAGTAGGCCAATTATCGTCGCAAGAGCCTGCGCCTCGAGCGCAGAGTGGAGTTGTGATAAACCAGTTTTATGGTTATTCAATAACTGTTATACCACATTTGTGCTGAACAAACTTGTATGGTATGACAAGCCTGATAATCCCAATAGCTTTATGAAATTAATGGTGTGAACTGTGAAGTGCTTTAGCGAGGAACACCGCATTAAATATAACTTTTGCATTGTTTTTACATTTTCGAGGAAAAGGACAATGATTCTTCACGTATATATTCCCAATAGCTTTGTTCGCATTTAACACCCTTTAAGCTAGCGAACCAAACTATTCACGAAAACACCAATTTTCACAAGCAACTTCTGTCATACCTTATCTACCGTCTCGTGACTCAGCCCTCGCCCGTGCGTCCCCTGACTCACACGCGCGCTCACGCACACAAATCATCGTCCAGCGGTGCCGTTTGGTGGCCCATGTTCGGATGGCGGCACCCTCACCCTCTCCCGTGCCGGAAGCGTCAATCGGGTCCAATCAGGCGTGTCCGGCCGGCCAGTGCAACGGCCGGCGGCGCCGTCCCGTTCCCACTGCTGTGGAGCGCCGCCCGGGTCAGCTCCGCGGGCTCCGGCCGCCGCCGGCACCGGTTTCAGCCGGGTTTCGGAGGAGGGAGGGGGGGGGGGGGCGACCAGCTCGGTGCCAATACGGTAGACAGTGGACTAATGCTCAGAGAATGTGTTGCTAAGCAAGCAGGATAACGAGTCTGATGTGGGTTGACGATATTGCCCGCCGGGGGGCGAAATCATGATCCGTCGAATGTGTCTTCCGCCAAAGTATAACCGGGTTATGAGCCGATCTGTCAAAAAGTCGATTGAAAAAATTGATAACCTCTGGTCACCTGACCTTTGGACTAATCTTTGGAAATAACCAAAAATGTCTCAATGATTTTGACGACTTTTCGAGGGCCTCTTACCGCTTGACGCTTTTTTTACCGGGGAGTTAAATGGGAAAGAGGACGTAAAAATGCCCCCTTCTCAATGCGTTTCGATCGGACCACCGCCACAGCACAAGCTAACGTGGTAAATATTATTTATTGGACGTAAAAATGCCCCCTTCTCAATGCGTTTCGATCGGACCACCGCCACAGCACAAGCTAACGTGGTAAATATTATTTATTTCCTTTGCACATCTCACAAATATGATGAATATAAGCTGTCATCTGTAGTAGAAAAGTATGTCGGTTCGTACCCGCTCAGACGTGCCGCCCCCTCCCGCCCCGTGCTCTGTTTGGCCCGGAGCGGTCGGTCGGGACGGCGCTCAACTGTTGACGGCGGCCCGCAGTACGAGTATACCCGGTCCCATATCCACTATCCAGTGCTGTCTGGTGCTAACTAGCTGCATGGGAGCGCCTCTAACCGTATGCCGCGCATACTGGCCGTCTTTAGGAGCGGCTACCGGTCTCTATGCTGGCTAGCTCTTTTTATTTGTTGCATGCTTCACACTCACAGAAGGTCGTTACTAAAATGTCATTTTTTATTTCGCTTACACCAACTTGATAACACAAAGCATTAGTAATCCACGTCAAAGTGTATCAACGGGAAACGTCTATTTGTCTGAACGGCTTGAATCGCTCCATCGTCACCTCTTATCACGTCCGGTATCAGTATGAGCTTTGCTACGGAGGGCAGGGCTGGGGACTCGGTCCAAGCTGGATCGCCCAACCAAAACGTTGGAGAGGGTAGCAGCTTATGTCCATCAATAAGCAGATATTTGTGTATGTGCCAAATACGTTTACCCCTTGAATATACGCCTGAGATCGTGCAACATCATGACAAATTAACAATAGGTCACCTTTGCAACAATAGTTGCGTTAACCCTATTACTGGTGGGGGGGGGGGGGGCGAATCGGCCCCCACCTGCAGTTTTTTTTTTGCTCTGGACGGAAAACCACTCTAGCTAGGGGCTTAAAATTTGGTGACTTTTCGTTGCCATTCATTGGGCACATTGTGTCAATTTTTGAGTTTCTAGCTTGCGCAGAGGCGTCTCCAGGACGAGTTTCTCGGGGATAGTTTTGGCCCAGATTTGACAGTTTCGACATTTGCCGCTAAGCAGCGACTTACTTAGGTTTATACTGGTGACCAGTGGCACCACCCGTCATATGTATGCGCTTTAAGACTATGTGACGTCATTCTACAATGAAATTATTGGAATAGGCGGAGCCAGGTACCTGAGAAAGGGGGGTAATATCAATGTACTGCCCCCCGTTTAAGCGTGCATTAACCCGCCTATGCTTAACGAAAACGTGTACCTATTTTGTGCTCACGTTGCATATTTTACATGATATATGACACATCATGTCATAAGACACATGACATACCATGACAAACACTCAAAACATCATCCCAAGCTAGGTTACCTGAATCCGCCTATGATTTTTGAAATATCAAAAACGCCGGAATATATATGATAGACCAGTTCATGAAGAAGGGTCCCCTGAAGTTTTATCAAAATCGGTAAAAAAATAAAGAAGTTATAGCATTTTTAGTGATAAAGTGTAAAACGCGTTTTTCGAAACATTTTGCTTCCAGGACCCCCAATTTCGAACTTTTTTTACTTTTTACAGCGAATCTGAAAGTTCACGATGAGAGCGATCGAATGGTGTTTGTGCCATTAAGATCGGACATTTAGTTTTCGAGATATCAAGGGGGGGCCGAATCGCCCCCCCCCCCCACCAGTTAACGTAGTCCAGAAAGACCACCAATAATAGGATTAAGTCTATTCCTGCTGCGGCGATCAAAGAACATAAATTTGTTGATCATAACCATACGGGTCGACTGATTGCCGCACAAAATTCCACGCATAGATCATGACCCTATCATCAGGTTATGTTGCGTCGTAAAACGAAAATATCAGTTATAATAGAGAACCCAGTGCATTTTGTGTAAAGCTGCTTTAAGTGGTCGTAATAGGACATCTAAAGAAGCTTTCAATCACCAAGCGTATTTTCGTCGCTTAGACATGCAGTGTGCACGAGATTCAATTAAAAAAATGAAATAAGTATCGACCTTCTTCACAATCGTGAAATGTGTTTCAAACGTCGCGTAGTATTGTTAGATGACGGCAAATTATACCGCAACTTATTCAAACATGGGACTTAATCAATTCACAGGATTCCATTTAGAATAATTTCCCGCAATGTCAAGTTGTGTACACCTAAGAAGTCACCGTCAAATGACGTTACCGATTCGGGTGCCCGTGACGTGACGTCACTCCGGGAAGACTCTGTGACGTCACTGGAGGGGTCGGGTCGGCGACGGGCCGCCCGTCGGGGTGTCGGACAGTAGTCCGTCGGCCGTGGCTGGAGTCGGCCCGAGCCAGTTCTGCCGCCTACCTCCGGACTCGCTGTGTCGTGCTGAGCGTCCTATCGTCAGTTCGACAGCGCCAGAGCGGCAATCCGTCAGCCGAGAGTCCCGGTTTGTCTATTTGTTTACCTACTGTTTAGCCATCTCCCGTCTGAACTGAACGGAGGCGCTGCTCGGTCTTACCGGGCGCATCTCTGCAGTCTGCATCGTGCTGCTAGTTTCTCGGCGTTCATCTACTGCAGCCATGGACGGTCCTCAAAAGAAGTTGATGGCGGAACCGACGGCGTCGGACACCAGCTCCGACACCTTGGGCTCCGAGAGACACTCCATTTACAAACAGGTCAGACGGGATGGACACCATTTACAACAGGTCAGACGGGGACACTCCATTTACAAACAGGTCAGACGGGATGGACACCATTTACAACAGGTCAGACGGCAGGCACTCCATTTACAAACAGGTCAGACAGGAAACACTCCATTTACAAACAGGTCAGACAGCAGGCACTCCATTAACACACAGGTCAGACGGGAGACTCCATTTACAAACAAGTCAGAGTCAGACGGGAGACACTCTATTTACAAACAGGTGAGACGGGAGACACACCATTTACAAACAGGTCAGACAGCAGGTACTCCATTTACAAAAAGGTCAGACAGGAAACACTCCATGTACAAACAGGGCCGACGGGAGATTCCATTCACAAACAGGTTAGATGCGATACACTCCATTCACAAACAGGTGAGACGGGAGACATCCCATTTACACACAGGCCAAGCGGGAAATCCTCCATGTACAAACAAGTCAGACGAGACACACTCCATTTACAAACAGTTGAGACGGAGACACATCATGTCCAAAAAGAAGAGACGGCAGGCACTCCATTTACAAATAGGTCAGGAGGAAGACACTTCATTTACAAATAGGTCACACGAGAGACACTACATTTAAAAACAGGTAAAACGATAGACACTGCATTTACAAACAGATCAGACGGCAAACACTCCAGTTACAAACAGGTCAGACGGGGACACTCCATTTACAAACAGATCAGACGGGAGACACTCAACTTACAAAGGTCAGACTGGAAATATTCCTGTTACAAACAGTTCTGACAAGAGACAGTCCAATTGCAAACACTTCTGACGGGGCATACTCCATTTAAGCAGACGACAGACATTCAATAAACAAGCGGATCAGACGGCAGGTACTCCATGTATAGCAGGTCGGATAAGATACACTCCATTTACAAACAGGTCATTCGGGAGACAATTCATTTACAAGCTGGTGAGACGGGAGACACTCCATTTAAAAACAGGTTAGACTCCATTTACTGACAGTTCAAATGAGATACACTCCATTTCCAAACAAGTCAGACGCGAGACACTCCATTTACAGGCAGGTCAGACGGTAGGCACTCTTGGTTAGACGAAAAACTCCATTCACAAAGAGGTCAGCCGAGAGACACTCCATTTGCAAACAGGTTAGATGGGTGAAACTCCACTTAACAAACAGTTTTCTCTCTCTCCCTCTCTCTCTGTCTCTCTGTCTCTCTGTCTCTCTGTCTCTCTGTCTCTCTCTCTCTCTCTGTCTCTCTGTCTCTCTGTCTCTCTGTCTGTCTGTCTCTCTCTCTCTCTCTCTCTCTCTCTCTCTCTCTCTCTCTCTCTCGCTCTCTCTCTCTCTCTCTCTCTCTCTCTCCTCTCTCTCTCCTCTCTCTCTCTCTCTCTCTCTCTCTCCTCTCTGTCTCTGTCTCTCTCTCTCTCTCTCTCTCTCTCTCTCTCTCTCTCTCTCTCCTCTCTCTCTCTCTCTCCTCTCTCTCTCTCTCTCTCTCTCTCTCTCTCTCTCTCTCTCTCTCTCCTCTCTCTCTCTCTCTCTCTCTTCTCTCTCACCTAGTTGTACTGGAGAGAGATGCAGCCCACGGGAAGTCTCAGAACATAGGTCCAAATCATTCACCTATATGGACGTGCTTTGGTCATTGGCCTCGTGGTTTGTCATACTTCATTCGGTAGCGTCATTTTGCGTCGCCTCTATCAGAGAAGGGAAAACTTAGCTGCGAGAAGCTTAACCCGCGCCCCGCTGGGGTCTGCCGAGCAACGCGCCCTGTTGGGGGTGGGGGTGCAATTGCCCCCCCCCCCCCCCAGATCTCGAGAACCACGCAAGATAGCGACAAGCGGCAAACGGTGTTGGATAGCCCTACCAAGGAACTACCTTGTGACCCAATTTCATTGACCTAGGTCAAACCGATGACGTCACAGTTTAGGTCAAATGTCGAATTTTCACCGTTTACCTGCATTTCAAGAAATGCGTTGTAAAATCGATTAAAATGCATTTTATTGAAAATCGTAGGTGGGGAAATGTTAGTCAAACACATGTTCTGCTATTTGAGGTCACTGGTACCAGATCAGGTCACAGAGGTCAGGTCACTGAGGGTCACAATATGAAAATATCATATGATGCATGTTTTATAGTCCATTTTATATGCCAAATACGATTATATGGGTCAGGCCGCCTTTGGGGTCAGGTTAGATTATGTTCTGGTGAAGGTCAGGTCAAGGTCAGGTCAAATTAGGTCAAATTTCAAAGTTAATATTTTTGCATAATATGGATATTGATTCGATGCAGCTCGTCACGGGGAGTTCAATGGTGGTCTTTTTTGCGCTACGTGGTCTAGAATTGCCAAAAATTGAGTTCAAAAATTTGACGTCATCAATTTTGAACAGTTTTTTTTTTTGCTATAAATTGGCCAAAAAAGGAGGTACCTATCGATCTAAAATTTGGTATGTATAGGTATAGAAGATGGTAGGGACTATCACATGTATTCCGTTTTTTTTTTTCGAGATTCGGGAACATTTTGTTTTTTGTTGCGTTTTTCTTAAAAAAAAAATCATTTTTTGAATTTCTGGGGGTAAAAATCCAAAAATTTTGAAAATCCGAGATAGCATTTTTGTAGCACCGCCTTTTGTCTACATGACCATACAAAGAACTTTGAAATTGCTTGATAACTGTAGCTTTTGTGAGCGTTTCAAGATTTCATGTTCTTTGCTCATTTTTGCTCGAACATGACCTCAGTTTGACCTCAATAACTCCTGACCTAAGGTGACCTTAGACTTGAAATTTTGTGTGGAGGTGTCAAATTGATGCCCGGGAAGGTATTGTAAATTTGGCGGTGCTGCGCGCCGCCGTTTTCTTGCTATTCAGGAAAAACCACAGGGGGCCAAATTGCCCCCCCGCCAGCAGGGCGAGGGTTAAGATCAGTAGAGACAAGAAGCGATCGAAAGCTGAATGAATGACATCAGTAGCGAATATAGACCATGCGACTTATTTAGCACGCCGCACGGGCATGTAGGTATTATAGATATATTTGTACCCCAAAGGGGCCCCTTATATGCCCGATGTACCGGAGGCTCTGTCAAAGCGTGGGTCTGTGCTACTTTGAGTAATGTGACGTCTGATTAGTCGGCCGGCGAGACGTCTGTTCGCGCTATAAATATTCCTCGGTGCACGGCACTGCTGTCCTTGGTGTCTGATAATTATGTAGTTAATCAGCTGCATTTTGTCAAAGCTCACAATATTTACATCCTTCTGCGGCGCCTGGCTGACCGCAGTAACGATACTGGCAACCGGGTCACGTGAAATGAGATAGACACTCGCATGACTCCTGGCTAACTGTAAATGTTTGCGCTCATCAACCTGTCCCAGAAGTGCTCCCCAGTAAACATGCCGACGTCGGCCCGACGTCGGCCGACGTCGGGGTGACGTCGGCAACTCGGCATCGGCATGCCGACGTCGACCCAAAGTCGGTCCAACCTCGGCACGACGTCGGCTGGATGTCGGATATGCCCGCATGTTTCGACGTCCAGCCGAGGTCCAGCCGACGTCGGGCCGACGTCGGACCGAGATCAATTGCTGAGGTCCAGCCGACGTCGGGCCGACGTCGGGGCGACGTCGGACCGACATCGGCCGCTGTTTTGACCGTTAAAATAATATAAAATACATGTTTCATGTTTCATAAAGAGCTTCTGTATTCAAAATATCCTCAGGAAACTCAAATCTTCCTCCACGCCGCAACCCCCTGATCCGGACTGGACGGGAAACTTTATCCCATTTGGGATTGCCCGTAAGCCGAGCTCGCCCGTAGCCGGGTGCGGTGAGTGCTTGGGGGCTGCTCGGCCTATCCTTTGGTCAGGCTCAGTCCCGGAAACTCACCAGGGCCGGGCCCAGTTCATATAGAAAGGCCAGTCGGCAAGTGTCACTTTGCCAAAGTGCCACTTATCAAAGGGACACTTTGGGAAACGTTGGTGCATGTGTGTAAGAGTGGCTATATGAATCCATTGTGGGCTCGCCCTTTCCAATAAGTGTCACGTAACAGCAATGGGACCAGGGACTCTATATGAACTGGACCCAGGGTGCTCGCCAAGAAGACCAATGTCTCCATCCTATGATCCTTCCGGCTCTGAAATGGTCTTGTCAGACCGAAAGGGCATAACCCAACAAAACAAACCGAGTTCGTTAGCTGGCTGAGTGGTGTAGTGGTTATCGCGCTAACCTCGCGTTCGAATGACACTGGGTTTGAATCCCATCGCCGGCTGATGCTTTTGACGTGTTGTCCCAGTAAACATGCCGACGTCGGCGACTGGGGGGCTCGAATCCCGCCGCCGGTTGATATTTTTGGCGCGTTGTCCCAATAAACATGCCGACGTCGGCCCCGTCGGTCCAACAACAAACGATCTCGTCAACCTCGGCAAACGATCTCGGCCCGACGTCGGCTCGACGTCGGCTGGACTTCGGCTGGACGTCGGAACATGCGGGCATATCCGACGTCCAGCCGATGTCAGGCCGAGGTTGAACCGACGTTGGGCCGACGTCGGGCCGAGCCTCGGCCCGACGTCGGGCCGACGTCGTCATGTTTACTGGGTCGTGGGCGGCGTGGTCACGCTGCAGTGCACCCCAAACGCTGAAATGAAACGTTCCAGCTTCTGAAATGTGATGATAAACACAGATAGAATTTCTGGAATTGCAACCCTTTTTGGAAAAAAATATCGCTCAAGAATGCCACAATATGAAATTATCAACTAGCTAAGTTTAAATAAATAGGCATTTTATCTTTTTCCTGTCGAAGTACCTTCAGTCCTTCCTTCGGAGTACTGAAATGAGAATGTTATAAAGCTTCACTTGTCTGCAGTTTGCTCAGGTATTTGCTGTTCTCGGTCGTTTTGGCGGTTCCCGTAGCTTACATACCTAGTAGGTGCACCACAGTCATCCATGTCTCTGACTCTGTCAACTGCGCGGGCCTTATCGATCTATAATTATCGCTCACTAACAGCAAAAACACCCGTTCACGATGCCCGGCCAGGGAAACAGTCCGCGTCCAAACAAACTGGCGTAGTGCCCCCTCCCCCTCCCACCCCCCGGCGCCGTCCAGGGTCGACCAATGTCACTTTGTCGTAGCCCTGAACTGCCCTCGCTGGTCTCTGCACGTAACGTTATTTGCCGCCGTGCGCATCGCCTTACCTGCCAGCACAAACAGACTCTACTGCGCACTGCGGCGATATAAAATATGTATGTGAAACGGGAACCTGCTGACTTATGAAAGGCATATCACGGCTTAACCCGCGCCCTGCTGGGGGGGGGGGTGTTTGAACACCCCCCCTTGTGGTTTTCACGAACTTTGCCGTAGGTGGCAGGCTGTACCCAGGCGAAGACGTTAGTGAGGGGACCGGCCGTGCGCGGCTATATGCGCACGTTAAACTTAAGACTTCAAATTCTACAATTGAACCGCAATTGCGCGATCCGAGGGTAGAGGGCACTGGGCAGGGTCAACGCAACAAGCTTCGCTTAGTGGGGACTCTGTCCTTGTGAATCCTTCCATTCAAAAGGTTCGGACTAAATTTATATAAAAACTTGTTTTTTGTGGGTGAACTTTGTGGAGAAAGGACGACTTGAGCGCACGTGAAAAGTGAGACCCCACCTGTCTTGTGGGTCACCCTACTAGCCGATCCCTCACCGTATATACCAACTTCTAGAGCAATCGGTCCGTTTGTGTTTGATTGCATAAATGGACCCATGCACGTGAGGTCCTATTCCATTCGTGGTGCATGGGAAGCATGGTCCTGTAGGTGCCCCAAGAAGGTAATGGTGGAACACAATCTGTCCAATTATTGCGGAGTTATTGTAAGCGCCTAACCGAGTAACAAATGCATAAAGAGTTGTCGAATTCGGGTACAAGGGGTGGGACTACTCAATATTCTTATAGAAAGATTCCCACTGTAGCAAACTGTTGGTCAAAATAATGTTATATAATTGCAAAGAATGTCAAGGGCTAGGTCGGAGACTAGTAGGGGTATGTCAGTGACTTACCATATAACGCGCTGGCTAGTGATTAACCTGCCCATGTCCATGCTCGGATTCAGCTCACGATCGTAGTCGTACTCATGTCCCCGATCGTCAGACGTCAGATGTTCCTGATGTTTAAAATGCAAGTAAACGTATTGGCGCAGACATTCAAGCATGACTTTATAAGCGATTCGATGTGTTAGCCCTCGCCGGCACAGGCCATTTTCCGTACTTCGACGGCACAAGGGGTGTACGACCCCCCCCCCCCCTCTTTACGTTTGGCTCCTCATCGAACTAGAGCTTTTCGCGGAAAAAATGAGCGTGTTGCCCGTGACGAGAGGAAGCCGATGATACCCAATTTTAAGGTCCTAGGTCACGGTTGACCTTCCAGGTCAGGTCAATGACTCAAAAGTCGGGAAAATCGGGACCTGTTACGTCGTAAAGTGTGGCTGCAATGTTTTTTTTTTCGGGGTGCTGATCACGAACGTCATGTTAGAACATCATGTTTGATCACAGATGAATTTTAGGGTAGGTGTAAAATTGATAAACAGAAAACATACAGAAAGTTTCTTCGCGATCGGCCGTTTTTTACGCGTTATTTGCGAAAAACCTTAGAGGGGGGGGGACGATGGTGCACAGGCGAAAACCCTTTGCCGACGAGGGTTAATGTTTTTGGATGGTATTAACTGGTTTTGGAACAGCAAGCTAACTGTAATCTACCGCTACATCGCTCCTGTCAGACCACAGCTAATACAATGGAGATTGTAAATAAAATAAAATAAATAAAATGAAGCCAAGAATAACGTTTCATCGCTTGCCAAAAAGGAACATATTTCGAGGCCAATGGGCAATGACGCTGGTCCAGTCCATGGTAGCGTTATACAGGCTACGTTAATTGTGAGTAGGTTGGGTAGGTACACGTTCGGCTGTGTGGGACCGTCCACCCTGATATACGCTTACACCGCCTTCGTCTCCCGTTCGGCAGATCCTGGGCAGCGTGGTGGTCGCCACGGTAACCCTGTCGTACAGCTGTCTGCTCGGGTTCGGCTCCATCCTGCTGGGACAACTGGAGGAGGATGACGCCACCGTGGTGGTCTCCGACCGACAGCGACCCTGGCTCAGTGAGTACAAAACAAAGATCTACATTCTGTACATCTGTATGAGTGTGAGGAGTGCGACACGCTACAGCGGGCTCTGTGAGACTCGCGCGCAGAACCCTTCCTGGCTCAGTGAGTACAAGAGGGGTGCCATACGCTGCAGCGCGGGCTCTGTGAGTCTCGCACGTTCCGTTCCGTCAGTGGTATGTACATGTGACGACCATGGTAAGCACGTTATGTTGAGGCGCTATTACGCTAAGGATATGCTATTCATTGCGACCATTTCGATCCAGAACAACGTCCCATTCCCAGCTCTGTTCTGCCGTTCACTAGAAAGCGGAAGACGAATCAAATAGGGTTGTGCAGCGTGCACGTGTTCACGTGCACGTGCTCCCAGAGTGGAGGACGCGAAACCGCACCAGACATGTCCGGAACAATCCAGACACATCCTTTCAACGGTCGCAGATCGGTCATATCCGCTCTGAAGCCTGAGTCACGTCTGTTCGACAACCCTGACCCTCAGAGGTACGGCTGATCTGTCGATTTATGTCAGACAATTGAGGAGACGCTAGCGATAGTACTTGTTTACATGAAGCAGTCCCTATCATCCCTTCTCAAGACCCAATGCTTGTGTTATGAAGCCCCTTATTGGATCTGTCAAACCAAGAATACTCGCATGGCTATTTATTACATTGATTTCATAATAACCCGACCGCAATAGCCGCCACGTTTTGTAGCGTGGTATTCCGTGTGTCGATTACCACATCCTATTCGGGCTCAGCCTTTGAAGGCCGCCCCCGAACAGCTGCAGACTGGTCTGATGGCCAGTCTGATGTGCGCTGACGAGCCGCGTCCGCTGACGTCACCGTCCGCGGCTCCCCTCCCTGTGTTCTACGCTTCTGATGTCCAGAGAGTGCGCTAAGCCTGGCTGTCTTTCGCTCCTCTGTTTGTTTGTTTGTTTCTTTTGAACGGCTTTTGGGGTAAGCGGGTATCAATCAGCCTGCAGTTCCCTGAGTCTGCCTCTCCCCGGCCGGCCGGCCGAAAGAATATTAGGACTACAATTGACTGTAGTTCATTCAATAAAGTCCATGTCAGTATGCCTAATACAGTGCATCTGCCGTTACTCACTCTGCTGTCAGCTGCATATCATACAAGCGCGTTACTTCCACATAAAATAAGGCCTGCGCCAACTATCGCGATAGGATTAGGAAGCAGTCTGGGATACTGTGCCGCAATGCATCCATGTAGCGCGGGCTAGCCTACGCATTATACACTCGCCAGATACAAATCCGTGGTAATACGCCGCGCTGGACTGTCAAGTGTCAGGTGTGATATGACGTCACTAGTTCGTGCTGTGTCGTCACCATTCCGTGCTGTAACGTCACCTGATGTTCTGATGTCCAGAGAGTGTGCTAAGCCTGACTGTCTTTCGCTCCTCTGTTTGTTTGTGCACTTTGAACGTGCCTTTTGAGGAGGGGACATCAACGTGCAGTTCCCTGTGTCCGCCTCCCTCCGGCCGGCCGAAGGTTGTAAGGAACATTAAAACTACAACTGATTGTAGCTTATCCAATAAAGTCCATGTCATGTGCCTAATACAGTGCATTTGTCGCTAATCAGTACTCACTCTGCTGTCAGCTGCATGTCATACAAGACTGTTTCGCATAAAATAAGGTCTGCGCCAACTATCGCTATTAGGATTTTTTTTTTTGTTTTGTTGGGTTAGGCCCTTTCGGTCGACAAGACCATTGCAGAGCCGGAAGGATGATAGGAATTAGGGGGAGACATTGGTCTGGGCAGGCACCCTAGTGAGTCGCCGGGGCTGAGCCCGTCCAGAGGACAGGCCACCCAGCCCCAAGGCACTCACTGCACCCGGCTACGGGGTGCTCTCCCTCGGGAGCAGCGGTGCCGCTCCAAGGGAGCAGCCCGCATGAGATAAAGTTGCCTGTCCAGCCCGGAGGGGGTTTGCGGCTTGGAGGAGAAGGATTTCAGTATCCTGAGGATAGAAGCACGGATAGGTGTACTATTAGGATTAGGAAGCAGCCTGGGATACTGTGCCGCAATGCATCCATGTAGCGCGGGCTAGCCTACGCATTACACTCGCCACTCGCCAGTCTTCGATACTAATCCGTGGTAATACGCCGCGCTGGACTGTCAGGTGTGATAATACGTCTCCAGTCTGTGATGTGACGTCATCAATCCGTGCTGTAACGTCACCTGTTTTTGTTTTCAGTGGGCGGAGCCTACGTGGGCTCTGTACTGGGCTGCATTCTGGCCACGTTTCTGGCCAAGACGTTCGGCCCTAGCCGGATAATGTTCTGGCACACGCTGCCCAACGCTATTGGATGGGCTCTGCAGGTGAGACAACCAACTTTTCGCGGTCACGGAGAGGCAGAGGGTCCACCAGTCAATTCACAATGCGCGATTTAATTCATGCGTAAACGATGCGGCTTGTCTAATCGCTCTGTCTCTTTATAATCGTTTTATGAAAAAAACATGAGTCCCTACTTTTAGGTCGAACTGCTGCCGAGCAGCAAATAACCTCAGTTTAGTGATGATCCGATCTCGTGACCTTTCATAGAGCCACGGACCGGGGTCGGGCTGAAGTGCGAGCACAGCACCCACTGCCCCGTGTCGCCAGATGACCTTGTTTAAACCGCTTTAACCAAACGTATCTGGTCATGTCCAGATCGGTTGGCCCGTCCTGAGCTACCGATGCCGCCGCCAATAGATGTTAATGAATAAATATTTAATATAGACCTGTGGGTCGTCTTTGACTTACACTGTCAAAGCTTATTGTCGTAAGCAATAGATGTCACGATAAAAAGCGTTCAAAGCAACTGCTTTTTGTCGGGCACTATACTATGTAAATTATGACCGAAAGGGCTGAGCAGCTATTTATGAGATTGTATGAGAGATCGGCATAGCTGTGATGCATCATATCAGCTGGAGTAAATAAATACGACTATACGAGTACATTTACTGAGCGAGGGTGTGCCCGGACTTTGAACTCGGTCTGGAACTAATTTGTGTCACTTATCGGCTGTCAGCACGTTCAGTGCGAGGTGAGTTCTTTCGCCGATTTCAACCTCATGACCCTCTCATCCGCTATCACAATGGGGTTGTAAAAATATCGTTCGTCGCTGCGCGAATCCAGCAGACTTCTAACAAACGCCTCCGTAGATATCTCTCGTGATGGTCTTACCAAGTCGTCTATCATCTGGTTCGCTCGTTGACTGTTCGCATGCCCGGCTGACTGTCTCTGCCGGCCCCCTCGCCGTCCTTTACCCTGACCATCTGTCTCTCCCCTGTCCACCAGGCGCTGGCCACCGGCTTCTGGCCGCTGATGGCTGGCCGGTTCGTGTGCGGCCTGGCGTGCGGCGTGTGCGTCAGCAGCGCTCAGATCTACATCAGTGAGATCAGCAGCCCGCGGGTGCGCGGCGTGCTGCTGATTCTGCCCGAGACGTTCGCCACGGCCGGCCTGCTGATGTGCTACACCCTCGGCCTGCTGCTGCACTGGAAGATGGTGGCTGTGGTGTGCGGCCTGGTGCCCAACCTGGTGATATTCGCCGGCTTCCTGCGACTGCCCGAGTCGCCCACCTGGCTGGTGTCCAAACATCGCCTGTCGGCGGCCGCCGAGTCGCTGCTCTTCTTCCACGGCCGGCGGTACGCGGCTGACAGCCAGGTACAGCTGATCCTGGCCGGACTCGAGCAGACCAAAATGTCCGTCTGCGAGACGCTGCGACTGATGCGGCACAGTGTCTACCTGCAGCCGGTGCTCATCATTGCCGTCCAGATGACCATCCTCAACTTCTCCGGCATCAACGCCATGTTCGGCTACGCCGTGGTCATCTTCCGTCTGGCGCGCACGGGCATCAACGAGTACCACTGCGCCATGGTGCTGGCGGCGGTGCGGCTTCTCTGCAACATCGGCAGCACGACACTCATCGACCGTCTCGGCAGACGCGTGCTGCTCTCCCTCTCCGGCGCGTTCTGCACCGTATCACTGGCCGTCATCGGCGCCTACTTCTACCTGCGGGAGCAGGACGTCCAGCAGGTTCAGGGACTGCACTGGCTGCCGCTGGCCGGCATGATCTGCACCATCTGCAGCTACTCGCTCGGCATCGGACCCATCAGCTGGGTCATTTTCGGCGAGATGCTGCCGTCGTCCGTGCGGGAACTCTACGGCAGCATCATCATCATCTTCTGGTCGCTGACGCTGTTCACGGTGCTGCAGGTGTTCCCAGAGCTGACGGCACTGCTCGGGAACAGCGGCACCTTCTGGCTGTTTGCCGGCGTGTGCGCCGTACAGGTGCTGTTTGCGTTCTGTGTGGTACCCGAGACGCGGCTCCGTACACTGGAGGATATTCATCAGGAGCACTTTGTCGGCAAAAGCAAGGGCGAGGCGGAAACAGAGGGCGGGGAAATCTGAGTGGTTTCATGGGTGGATGGGAATGGTGCGAAGGAATGGGATGGGGTGTGAAAGCGAAAGAGTGGATGAAGGTTGATAGGGAGAGAAAGAGAGGGGGAGAGGGAGAGCACACATACAACTCCTGTCTGCCGTATCCTAACGGTAGGAATGCCATGCGTGGCACTGATGCGATCGTCCGGAGAATGATTCAGCTCTGCGCTGGCTGCGTCTGGGGAGAGCTGGAGAGTAGCAACTAACTCCCAGTTCAATACTGTGATGTGATGATGTGGGACGAACATGTGACATGCATTCGTTATCTATAGATGCTAGTTGAGTCATGTTTGGTAGTTTTTCTTTAACGATATTCTCCTGTACTGAGTTTGAGTGCGTGCCGCGATAAAAAATCTGTCTTTGTAGGGATGTTGTATAATTACGCTTTTTCACTGAAGTGTTGACTGTGAGTCACTAAAGTGAAAAAGTCGTGCGTGTGCCATAACTGGTAAAGGAGGTCGGTCTCAGATCTTGTGTGTTGTGTCAAATGTGGAGCTCGCATTGATGGGACAGTAGATTCCGACATGCTTTTTATCTGCTGTATGATCATAGACAATCGGCTCACTAATCGGCTCACGACGGCCCGTGAGGCTTCCGTCACAGCAGTAAGCAGTAAGTATAGACAAGGGTGTCATTTTATATCTCGTGGGCTAGCTATCGGCATCCTTAGAGTAAGCTATGGTTTCCCTAACTCTCGACAGAAAACAAAATCTTGTTAAACATCATCGTACTTCGAGGTGTGTGACTACGGATGTGCGATCATTGCACAGTGTGCGGTGTGCATGCACGAACTTTCAGTGGCGAAGGACGACCATATCGATGGCGATGCATCGATGGGTTTGCGATATGTGTTATCCAGTGTCGCTGTCGCTTGTGAGCTGTCATGTCATGAACATATCATGCCCGAAAAGATACGCTCTCGAACTCTGGGCAGTGACGGTGCCTTGCGTGCGCTGGGGTCGCTGGGGAGTGCTGGCAATATCAATTAGATATTCACAAATCTGATATTGCTGTGATTGTCATGGACAACCCACCGATGTGTATGAAATTACGAATGATTTAGCATTGAAACGTGGTAGTGGAAGCTAAATTCGGTAGCCTGCAAAGTTAAACGCATATTTATTTTCCATATCTTGTGACAATGCAGTAATCAGTGAGATTATTATCTTTGTCACTGAAATGTTGTAAATAAATGAACGAGTGAAAACAGTTATGTACCCATCTTCGAATGAGTGGACTCAGTGCGGGATTCCTTTTTGAGAGACGGCTAGTGCACAAAACAAGGCTTATAAATTTCGAAGGGGATATTCTACTACAAAAATGCCTTAGCCACACACTGAAAGTAAGGAGATAAAAAACGTAATACTTATCGAAAAAAGCCGCTAAAAAGAGGGAAACCAAATAGTGAACTTTGAACTTGGTAGTGAGCACTGCGGGGCTGCCACTGGTCCAACGGGAAACAAAAAACATAAACCTACGTCAACGTCAAAATGGGTGTAACGTCAGGCCTACCCTGACGCTGCACCCACCCTTTCAGTCCCGGCTGGATCCGTAGCTGGATCTGCTAGTGGTCGGGACGAAACAGTCACCTGACCTGAGAGGTCGAACATACATTACGTGAGATCCACAGACCAGTAACGTGATACCTCATACGTTTACGAGAGTAACAAGAGAATGTTCACCTTTTATCGGAGATAAAATGACTAGGAGAAAACGTGTAAGGGCCCAAAATGAATCAGCAACATAGACCGCTTGTAACCCAGCAAAGCCGAGTCCGATCGACCAGACTCATGTGTAGTGAGTGACCGTCACCTATACTGCCGCTCAGTTCCTCTCCGGGCCACCAGTCGCGCAGTGGCGCCACCGTCGCCGCCCCTTGCTGCCGTCGTTCGGTGACCTGCCGCCCCGCCGCGTCAGTCTGTGCCCATCACCGGCACCATGTGGAGCGCCCTGTACGGAGCGCTGGTGGTCGCGGCCGTGACGGCCGTCTGCGGCGGCTACAGTGAGGACTTTTTCTCGTCGACATCTCGGCTGGAGCAGCTGGTGGGCCAGGAGGAGGTGGTGGTGGACAAGTTGGAGCGGTACCTGGAGGAGGCCTACCACAGCCTGGAGACGGTGCGCAGGTCAGTATCTGGAGGAGGCCTACCACAGCCTGGAGACGGTGCGCAGGTCAGTATCTAGAGGAGGCCTACCACAGCCTGGAGACGGTGCGCAGGTCAGTATCTGGAGGAGGCCTACCACAGCCTGGAGACGGTGCGCAGGTCAGTATCTGGAGGAGGCCTACCACAGCCTGGAGACGGTGCGCAGGTCAGTATCTAGAGGAGGCCTACCACAGCCTGGAGACGGTGCGCAGGTCAGTATCTGGAGGAGGCCTACCACAGTCTGGAGACGGTGCGCAGGTCAGTATCTGGAGGAGGCCTACCACAGCCTGGAGACGGTGCGCAGGTCAGTATCTAGAGGAGGCCTACCACAGCCTGGAGACGGTGCGCAGGTCAGTATCTGGAGGAGGCCTGGGGCCTGGAGACGGTGCGCAGGTCAGTCGCAGCGATACCGCACTGTGCGGGGAACATGTTTACTGCTGGAATCAATTTATCTGGGAATATCAGCCAGGCTGAAAATAGAAGAAAAACAACACATAAGGCCTATTAGGGCATAAGCATTTGGATTTGGGTGATACGCCCAACTGCCATTCTTTTACAGTTGACATTACCACGACCGCGTGTCACATAGACACTAATCATTTGCCGCTTAAAGTAAACCGGCAGTAGGTATGTAAGCCACACTAGGTTGTTTATTGTTTGGTTTGTTTGATGAGACCCATCCGGCTACCGAGAATTCTTTAGGGCCGTGCGGCATGCCATAGGAAGATTTAGGGGAGACATGAGTCTCAGGCAGATTCGATGACGAATGACGAACTTGAGCTGGTGCGTCGGTCGTCGAATCGCCCCATGGGACCGAGCCTATCTTGTTTGAAAAAGCGTGTCTTGTTCCCTGAAAAAGGAAGGCCATCCAGTCGCTCAAACGGTGACACCGAAGAAAAACATATTCATCGAGACTGTTCCTATTTGAGCTACATACATATCTACATATATCTACCCTCCCCGTTGCGGTGACCGTCAGCAAGGATAGCGGAGTGTGATCAATAGTTTTGTCCCCAGGATGAACAGGACAGATAACGCTATCCCTGCAGCCGATAACAGATAACGCTTATGTCACTCTAATCCTCGAGCGGGTTGTGAAAGAAGAGTAGTCATCGCTGGGCAGAAACGTGCTCAAAGACTGCAGGCTCAGTTAATTAATTAAAATGTAAGCATTTAGGGACAAAATGCCAAGAACCCACGGTCTGCAACGCTCAATTTAATGTAGGTATATAGGGACTACAACGCTACCTCTAAACGTATCTTCGGGTTGCATCGCCACGTCTAAGCAAATCGAAACTGCAACGCTTCGTCTAAACGTATCTAGAAACTGCAACGCTTCATCTAAACGTATCTTGAAACTGCAACGCTGCGTCTAAACGTATCTGTCTAGGAACTGCAACGCTAGGCTTACACGTATCTCGGGAAAGCAGCGCTAAGCTGAAACGTATCTCGATAAGTAAATAAGTAAATAGCCAGTACTGTAGTACCGAAGCTGTAGACCTGTAGCAGACCAAAGCTGTAGTACGCAACGTGAAAAGGAATGCATAGGTCTGCAGCGTTTCGTTAAAACGTACTTAGGAACTACAGCTCCCAATAGGAACGTAGGTACGTACGTACGGAAGGATTGCAATCTTACAAAAAGCGTTTCTGGAGAGGGCAGCGCCAAATGAAAATACATCTACAAAATGCTCCCAAATGCGAGAGTATCCGAGGCAAAAAAAAAATGCAACGCCTAGCAGCGGAGTAACACAATGATCACCTGACGCTAAGGCCTGCATACCGAGGGGAATATCTAACGAAGCCGGAGTCCAGCTGGAGACTGCAACGCTCCGTTACTATGCATCCGGAGACCTCAACTCTGCAGTGGGTGGTAACTGGTATCTGAAGACTGCAGCGCTCTGATATAAATATAGCACTTAATATGGTGCGGCGCGATATCATGTCATTTTCCGTATAAGCTGAATATGCATATGAAACAGTCCGTCCAGCTGCAATCCAAGGAAGGAGCGTGCATTCGAGCCTGTGAGGAACGATGACTAGGTCTGTCCAGCTGTCCCCTGTCCATGTAGGGTATCGCGGAGCGTTGACCCTGTATCCGATTCTCGCCCGGCCGGCCGGGAGAGCGAGTGTACCCGGCGCGTGACGTGCGTACCAGCGTACCACCTCCACGGCCCCGCTCGGCCGGCGGCCTGTCCTCTGCCGCTGCGTGAGCGGCGGGCCGGCCGCTGGCCCACTTCGGACCCTCCGTCCGTCTGCAGCGGCATTCCTGCAGTGCCGGCACGCGGCGGCGGAGGGGAGCCGCGGGGTCGGCCCATGGGCCGCTCGCGCCGCCGCAGACAGCCGCATACTGGGACAGGCCTCCGTCTGCAGCCGAACATCGGCCCGGCAGACTGCGCGGGAGGGTGGACAGACAGACCCGTGGAGCTCTCGAGTAGGTTGATGACAGCGCTGAGCCTGCATAGAACGGTGACCCTAGGAGTTTTTAGGACGGTGACCCCGCTGAGATAATAATAACAGAAGACAAGAGACCAACCCGTAAAGCTGTTACTAGCAGCAGTTACGACAAATTCGGCCAACATAAGCCGCATCGCCGCGGCCGCACACGACCGGAGCCCGTCTGAATGGACGGGCGAGGCCGACGCCGGCTTCCGGTCGCCGATCGGCGGCCTCAATAGCCTCAATAACACCTGTCCCGGCCGGCGTCGGACGCGCCCGCAGTGAGCAGACAACGGCCACTGCCTGTGCGACGACGCCCCATCACACCAGTGACCTAGTCTTCGGCTGACGGCGTTCGCGCCGCCGATAACGCGGCGTTGACACCGACAGACTGTGCGTTGGAAACAGGCTAAACTCCCGGTCGTGTGGTCGGCAATGACAGGTGGTAATGACAGGTGGTGTCTGCAGCAGGGTTAGACTCCGCTGTCTGGTCGGGTAGCAACGACACTGGTGCCGTAACGTGGCATTGCAAGTCACAGTCAACTGCACGTGAGCACGAGCCGTCTCGCTCTCAGCTGGCTGATGAGTTGGCGAGCCACGAGTGAGCTCCAAGGAGGAACGGTGGGAGGTGTGGCCGTGGGTGTTTCGGGCGGGCGTGGTCGAATGCCGGCTGCAGACGTGAGAACGGCACGACCTGGTGTGGCCGGACTGGGTGGCCGCGACTGGCCGCCGCGCCGCCGCCGCGCCGTCATCGGAACCGCAACAACGCCCTACCGCTACACCGCAACCACCCTCACACTACCCAACGTCTGTCGACACCGCTACGCCGTCACATTGCAAGTCCATTCTGCCCCCAGATCTACAGCCACCGTCCATTGTTGCCGTCCACCTTCCTTCACCACCGCCCACCGTCCACCATCACCTATGCATTGTTCGTCACCACCGCCCGCCACCACCGCACCATGCGGAGAGAAATGGGTCACGCCGGCCGGCCAGACGGTGTGACCTTGACCGCCCGATGGGCCGACGCGGCCGCCCGGCCCGGCCCGGCCGTCTGCTCAGAGCTGCCGACTCGGTCAATGGCCAGCAGCACAATGACACGCATTCTGGGTAAACGGTCCGCTTCAGGCTACGTGCAGCGGCGTGACTGGTCGGTCTGAAGCAGTTAGAATGAATGGTCTCGTCGCTTAGCGCGGGTAGTAACACGATCCGAAATAGGGGGCATCTACGGGTAGACATCGACGATAGAGGTAAAACGAAATCAGATGGGGGTGTATAAAATAGGTAACTTTTCTAATGTCCAAGATATGAAGTGATTATCTGGAATCACCTGTAACAGTGTTCTACTTTATTCGTCTCCCCGCTGTAGCTCCACATTTCGCTCTCGAAGCGTGCAATCCCGTCTCTCGTCTGTCCGTCTGTCCGCTCGCACGTTCCTCCGTCCGTCCGTCTGTCCGTCCGTTTGTCCGTCCGTCGTTCGCAGCAGACAGGTGGCACCGTTATTCGGCGCGGCGGCGGCGCGGAGTGGCGCAGTGCGGCGCGGCGCGGCACGGCTCCCACTATATGGGTCGCCGGCGCGCGGCGCTCATGGGTCATTTCCGTGCGTCCAGTCGTGGTGCCGTGACTCTGCCACACACATGACCCGCACGCAGCCCCGCAGAACTGCGGCTGGGCGCACAGCACAGACTGATACCGGCAGAAGGCGCGGGAGGGATTTACGAGCGTGTCGCAGGGGAGAAAATGAATGAATAGGGTCGAAAAAGAACAAAACTGTAACGACTTCAAAAATACAGCACCTGTATGTGGTTACATTGTATATCAGAGAACATTAGATACATCATGCTCGAACATAGATACACAATACACACAGTGAATGTTAGATCAAAATATTGTTATCTTACATAATTATTTTCTTGCTAGGACTGGCTGCAGCCGAGTTCATTACGTAGTTACAAACGCTTGGGTGTTTTATTGACTCCGGGCCTTCACCCCTGGAACAGATAACGGATCCTCCTAAATCATCGATTTCTACATTCTATCTCATCATCGTTGTTTCTCCATTTCTCAGATGGTAATAAACATGGACAATAAACATTCTTGAATAGCCAACCTAAAGATAGGAATGGAAAGTCAACGAATATCATACAATTATGGCTGGCACTAATTTGACAAATCCGGGTGACTATTAACTGTTAAATGTTAGCTGCTGGCCGACAGGACAGATTAGACGTATCTCATTAGCAGCGAGAAAAAGATAGCCAAGCACATATGGCCGAGATTGCTGCTGAGTGGTACTGGTACCACATCAAGATCTGCATAGCGGGCAACCGAGCCCAGTGCTATCATACAGATTATCCAACATTATGAGTCATTTCATATTTACGTTTTCTCCGTCATATTTACATATACCTAAAGACTAAACCACTACTTAACGCTGCCAGATCGAACAGCTGACACCATTCCATTCCATGTTCAACATACGTCATTCCCTGTCCAATCTCGACGTCACTCCGCGTCGGAATCTGACGTCACTCCCTGCCCATGGTCTCTAACCTCCCCCGTATTCCGGCAGCTATGTGACGTCGTTCCGGGAGATGCGGGCCGGCTCGTCGATCCACCACCCGGTCGAGGCGTTCCTCATGCTGCGGCGGCTCACTGTCGACTGGGACATCGTCGAGGACGACCTCCGACGACAGGCCAACCAGACGCAAGGTGGGCAATGGGTTTAGAATATGAGACGTTTGTGGTAATCGTAACGTAATGATAGAGCAACTTATAGAGCTCTGTATACGGTGTACAGACGGCTATGCTATGAGCAACTGTATTTTGTGCGGCTGATGACAATGATGATCTATTGAAATAGCGCATCCAACTACCGGCGCCATACAGTGTCCAAACTGTGGGTCGAATATAACTGAAGCTTATGAATATAACTGTTATATAACTAAGCACTGCAATAAGCATGCCCCTTCCATCCCTCCGTGCAGGTGGGTAAGCCTCCCTCCTCGACTGACGCTGACCCCGTCCCAGTGCAGTGGCCGCAGGGCTCCGTTCTACCGCTGAGTCACTGCAGTGGCCGGCTCGGTGTCAGAGGTTATGTCGCGGTTGGCCGGCGGGTCGGTAGGTCTGGGAGTGGGAACGGTCGGCTGGCCCACATCGCACTCGGTGGACGGCACAGGCCGGAGGGTGCAAGGCTTCTAATACCAGGCGCTGGTTAGGCGTAAAACAAAACAGAAATCGTTTTAAAGACCTTCAAACAAAGTAAACCAAGTGAGGAATCAGTTCGAGGCATAAAGTATGTCGGTCAAAACGTTCATATCTACGAGTACAGTACTCGGTGGGGTAAGACGGACCAGCTAAGGTTTGAGGCCGCATATCTTGCTACACTGCTCTCGTAATTCATATTATTTATAGTCTTCGGAATGCTCAATCCTTCCTCTGTTGATATGTGTAAAGACTAAATTTCAAATTAAAGACATCTAGGTGGTGGATGCTTTTAAAGAGGGACATGTCAAAAACTCAGACAAGAAAAAACGTGGGGTAAGACGGACCACCCAGCAGTGCCTGCTATCCGTTCATGTGTGTTACACTTCTGCTCTCTATTCTTGTAAGAAAAAGTAACCAGAATGGTAAAATAACAAAATGAGCCTTTATTCTTTACTCATGTGTGATGGAAGTGCAGGTAGAAGCTGGGAACATGTGTGTTGATTGTCGTTTGGCATGAATGCATGCTAACTGAGCACTTGCATGCATGGCTCACATGCAACAAAGAATCCTTCCTGAAAAATTAGCTTACTTAAACTTGTGTCAATGTTTTGGAAAAGAACTTTCCATATGCAGGGTACAATGGACCACCACAGGGTAAGATGGACCACAGTGGTCCGTCTTGCCCCAAATCTAAATTCTGTCATTATCATGACGTATATGTCAAATAGCCTAACATTGCAAAACCTTGCCTTTCCTAAAGTGTGACTATAACTAAGTTTATAACTTTGTTCTTCACAGTTAAGTGCAAAATAGAAACTAATCATGCAAAAAAGGCGCCGTAATTGAATCACCCGTAGACCTCTTATATTAGATCGGTTTGAAGAAAAACAACATTTTTTCTCAATAACTCAAAAGCTATGCATCCTAGCAGCATGAGCTCAAGGTGGCCATTGTTACGAAGGAAAACAAACATAGTGAGTGCATAAAGCAGTAGATACCAGCAGCGGTTCAGCCGAGAGGGCTGGTGGTCCGTCTTGCCCCGCTGGGCCGTCTTACCCCACCTTCCCCTACAAGTGAACCATGTTCCGCAGCTGTAATTCAAAAACATAGCTGTCCTCAGGCACGTAACCAATTTTCAAGGCACGAAAAATCGTATACCATGTAAAGTCTTATGAAATGGTCATTCACAAGTCACGACTCGAGAGCAAAGTTAACTCGCAACCCAGTCGGCCCATCCCACTCAGGTCACTGGCTGATCTCATGACTGGCTGCAGCTCCGTCTGAGTCAGTGCCTCATCAGCGCCTAATGTGGCGTGTCCCGCGCACGCTCCACGTCCGTTTGGGAGCGTGGGAGAGCTACACTCGCGATCGGTGGGAACACCTACTAACGCGGCGCAGCCGATCCAGCGGCGATCGGAGCCGAGCACTGAAAACAATTTCACCCAAAACTGGCGAGTAAACCGGTGCCTCGCGGGTACCCCTATCCGCAACCATTTTTAACCACCCTCCCAGGAGTCAATTTAGGACATAACACTTTCGCAATTCACTCTGGAGAGTAGTAACCCTCCACGACTATTCGCGCACCAGTGGCTCGCGACCCCTCCATCGAAAGGTATTCATCGACGCCTACCTGGCAGCAGCGCCCCACAAACCCCTAGGAGATGGGGTTACCCTCCACGCCTACCCTTCGCCGACCAAGTCACGAGGGCCAAAAAAACTCCCACGCTTGACCATATTTGCGGGAAAATATCTATATTATAGCAATCTCACACCTAGAAAACATCGGTGAGAATGTTTCACATCGGTGGGAAAGGTCACATCGAATTCCCATAGAAATTTCGACATGACTCAGTCACCGGCAGTCATGCAGACCGCCCGAAATCAAGAAGATGTGTCGCCGCTGCTTTCGTGACCTATATAAGAATAAAAATGGTCTCGCTTGGTAGTTTCGGAAGAAAAAGCCTTGCCAATCGTCCCGTGATGAACATTGCAGAGGTTTTAAAGATGCACCTTAACAATTGTACTTTCGTCCCCACTTGGAAACCGCCAAACAATGTGCCAACATATCATTGGTTCAAAAAAAAGTTTAAAAATTGTTGTAATTCAAAACTGTATGAGACAACGCCATCTAGTTGTAACAGTAGATCCAACTCCTTCAGGGCAGGTTATGTAAAGGTTCGCCATCCACGGATACGCGTTTACGATGCCACGAGTAGTTCCAACTCTTTCTGTGAGGGCTGTGCCAATGACTCGACACCCGCGGGGACAATATCCGGTGCTGGGTAGCTACCTTACTGCAAACTGTGGGTACAGTGCATATTTACGAGTAATAAGGCAGGCAAGTCTGCTTACCCTCTAGCTAGAATCTGGACATGGCGAGTTAATACACATATACCACCCGCAGAGCAACACTTAATTCGCCAGCTTCGGGTGAAATTGTTTTCAGTGAGGGATGGCCGGCACTGAAAACAATTTAACCCAAGGCTGGCGAGTAAACCGGTGTTTTACGGGTACCCCTATCCGCAACCATTTTTAACCACCCTCCCAGGAGTAGTGCTAGGTCCCATTGCGGTGTAGTCGTACTTGCTCTGAGCGGATATAACCGCTGTCACCGAACAAGTCCGCTGAGAGCAGGGATAACTACACTGCAATGGGACCTTACTGTACTCCTGGGAGGGTGGTTAAAAATGGTTGCGGATAGGGGTACCCGCAAAACACCGGTTTACTCGCGGGCCTTGGGTTAAATTGTTTTAAGTGGGTGATCGGACCCAGATGTCACTGGATGGCGGAATATTAGGATGAATCGGTTCCATGGATATAAAAATGTATGGTGGTGGAAGTGAATTTTGGTGGTCCAATGAAGGTGATTTTATTAGGCCCTTTGGTAGACGGTTATACAGGTCAAACACGTTGTCAATTCTTGGAAGTTGGTGTTCAGAGGAAAGATCGAAGAAGAAGGAGAACGGATGAGAGGGACTGACAGAAGAGAGAGAGAGAGAGAGAGAGAGAGAGAGAGAGAGAGAGAGAGAGAGAGAGAGAGAGAGAGAGAGAGAGAGAGAGAGAGAGAGAGAGAGAGAGAGAGAGAGAGAGAGAGGGAGAGAGAGAGAGAAGAAAAATAAAAAAGGAAGAGGAAGAGAGAGGGAGGAGAGAGGAGGGGGAGAGAGAATCTGCAAAGCGGCAAGCAACGCGACGAACTCTCACCGTAACATTGAGACCACGCATTCCCAACAAACGAACCCTATCAAATAAAGCTGATTTGGAATATTGCCCAAGACCCTCATCAAACCCTCATCATCCAACCGTTGACCTATGATTCGTCAGCACTCGTCTTAAACTCTCACCGGGCGACAGAGCAGAACCCATCATCACCCTCACCTCTCTCCATCGGTGGGACGATAACAGCCAACCAGCCCCTGTCGCCACCGCCTCACGCACCGGTAGCACCCCACGCGTCATCCTCCCTTCGGTCACCCGGCCGGGCGCCGAGAAAGTCGTGAATCACGGCGGCAGCGGCACACTCGACCGTGAAAACACGGCCAGCGGCACCGTCAGTCGACCGTAGACGGTAAACGGGCACCGAGTCAGACTCCTGGACTCAGCTGGACTGAGTCAGCTGAATTGGATGGACTCTCGGAGCCCGTCAGTCGCAGTAGCCCTGTCGCGAACCACGAAAAGCCCCTTCCAGTGGTTCTTAAATGAGTACTGTTTACTCGTAAATCGGACGGAGCCTGCATTCTAAAGATAACTCCCCGTTATTCGTAAGGATTCCTCGTAACATGATGTAAATAATAAACCAAATTATTACAAATGCATTCAAATATATTCAAAAAGACACACAAAGCTTTCGGTTCATGGAACCTTGATCACTGTGCAAATGAGTACTCATTTGCACAGTGATCAAGGTTCCATGAACCGAAAGCTTTGTGTGTCTTTTTGAATATATTTGAATGCATTTGTAATAATTTGGTTTATTATTTACATCATCATCCAACCTGTCATGGATACTCAACATTCCTCGTAACTTGTGAGAGCGGCGGTCACCGAGTTTCGCGGACTTGAGCTCGAATTCCAATTCCGAAAATGAAGAGACAGACCTCCATCATGCCTTCCCCCCTAAAGGGGGAATGCCTCCCCCCTATAGGGGGGAAGGCATGATGATAGCCTTCGTTGACTATAGTCAACGAAGAGAGAAAAGACCCAGGCGGCTACGAGCAAAGAATTACCGTCGTCCATAAACACGTAGCTGTGGATCGGGCTCCACGGAATGTTTGTATCCCTCAACGATTTCGGGTGCCTCGCGCATTTCCCAAGAAAGGGAATGTGGAAAACCGACGGAGCTAGCTGATATACGAGTACGTCTGAGCTGGAGATAACCTCGAAGAACATGCCTCAGGAGATATTGTGACCTCTCAGTGTGGAAAGGTCACTGCTCTGTACGCGACAGTGAGCAACGCATTACGCAAGGGTCAAACGAGAATTTATCGCCTTCGAGAATCAAAGCAAGACAAAACACAAGTAAGGCATTTTCCAAGAAGTTCTGTTTAGAAACATTGGTATAATAGCATGTTTTAGGTTAACACAGATGAGTACTGAGTAGTCTGTTGAGGTGGTAATCCCGTTTATTATCCCACCATTCAGTCGCACGGTGTAATTACCACCTGATTGCCGAGCACTGACATCATAACAGCGTTATAATTAGTGTCATTATATGGTTAACTCGTTGACCCACATTGCCACCACGCTCCACTTCACCCAATTGCTAAAATGGTATAGAAATGTATCGAAAGATGAAGCCGAGAACGCACGAAAACGCCTGAGTGTAGCACAACATGTTTCGAAACTGGCAAAAGAAGAACCAGATTTATGTCGCGAGAACCGTTTAGACGACTTACACGGCTCGAAAATTAGTCAGGTTCATCCTATAGCAGCGTTTTCGCTCTATTGGAACAGCTCGCACAGCTCGCGTCGAAGGGCCATGAGATATCCTCTCCAGCACAACCCGAGTTGAAAGCCGCTCTTTATCACGCGCAGCGGGGTGAACGCACATCCGGGAGTGGCCATCACCACTCGCCCCGCGGCGTTCCCGGGTCAGTGCGTCCGAGACCGGGCTGTCGGACAAAGGCCTGCACTGCAGACCCTCTTTGTTCGGCGACTGACCCTGCAGTCGCCGCGGCGGCCCAGCTGCATTCCAGGTCAGCCGAGAGGAAGTGGACGCGGTCGGCGGGCGCGCCGGCGCCGGCTGTTTGGGCGTCTGGACCGCTGCTGCAGCCCGCAGAACAGCGCAGAGGTCCCACGAGAGAGTTAGCACGGCCGGTGAGCCGTGAAGGCACACATCTGGCGGCTCGGCAGGTGCGGCTCTGGTCGCAGAACTGCACTGAGAGCTATGTCAGAGGTGACCGAACTCCGGCCTAGAAGCTTCCTTCATGACATGCTAAGAGCAGAAGGGCCTCGGATCTTAGAGTTCTAAACACTCACGCAAGTCAAAATAACTCAGATTCAGCCTGAGGAGATGTTGTGTACGGGCACGTTACACTAACTGCCACTGAGCCTGACGTCCCTCCTCACCCCTCCTACAGAGACTCTGCGCTCGATCGGCGGGTTCCGGGCCGACCGGCCGTTCCCAGAGGTGGATGACCTGCACGGGGCGGCCGTGGCGCTCATCCGACTGCAGGACACCTACCAGCTCAACATGACCCAGCTGCCACGGGGACACATCGCCAGCTTCGGCCCCGAGCCGGCCGCAGGTGAGCGGTGGGGGCGTGGACATGGCGTGGTAGCGGAAGGGAGCACCCGGACAAGACCGACCATTAGTAGCCGGACGGATATAGAGGTGTGCGCACACGAAAGAAATTTAGGCAAGTAATTATCCACAGCCCCAAAACCATTTGATCGGTAAATGCAATCGTCCTTGAGAGAGCAACGTGCTTAGAAACGATCCAGAAGATAAGTCTTCTAACGTAGCCATCAGTTGTGGCATGATTATTGGACCTGCCCGATGGCTGAGGCAATCCATTCGAAAAGGTAAACACACTGACTGTTGGTTCTGCTCTCATTCATCTTGGAGTTCTCTCGGAGAAACAGAGCATGGCGTGCGCCGGAGAGCGGCAGGCATACCGCCATCCGTTCCATTCAGAATGAGGAGAAAGGGCAGAGTGGGCAGATGAGAAAAAGACGCGACAGGTGCACTCTTTTCACTATCGTCGGGCGGTATGAGCCGGGCGGATCAGCTGGTAGTCGGTACGGATCAGACTGGATGATTGCCAGAACCACACGGCCGCTGGCCCAGCGGGACTCCCATGGGACGGTCATTGGTTTGTCAATTCTCCCGGAGGCTGACTTGCAACGGTGACAAACTGTTCAAGTAACCTGTTCTGTGCCGGTGACTAAAAACTGATCAGCACGGTGACGAAAAAAACGTCACACAACGCCGCTCTGTGCTGTCTGTTGTTTGTCGCACAGCTATGAGAGTCCGTCCCGACATTTCGTTCCATTAATGTTCAAACTTCAAACCGATACACCAGTTGTGGTCAGTTGACAAACCCGCCAACACTAACGGATCCAGAAAGGCGGTCTTGGACGCTGCGGGGGGACATCCCTAAAAGTTTCTCCGAATTCCAAAAAAAGCTCGGATTTCGATTCCTTACGCACAGCTGTGCGGTTTAAAACAAACTTTTCCTTAGAGAAAAGTTTGTTTTAAACGTGAAGTTTTGTTTTAAACGGGGCGTGACGTCATCGGCGAGGTAACATCTCCTTACTTGATCCGATTTTATCATTGGTATTTTACGCTTTTTATACCCAAGTTTTGCCACTCATAGATATTCTTCGCTATTTGAACTCATTCGCCGGCCGAAGCCTGTCTTAAATATTAAGGATAACTCACAAGCTTCAAATTTCTTCTCTTCGACAATTGCGATGGGTTGAGACGGTCATTGGCGCGGATTTAAGCTCGTTATTCAATAATGAAGACGAAGATCATTGGCTGCAATTTTTTAATCAAATAAATATTTGAAGTATTTTCTCCCAGGGGCCGCAGCATGAACCCTCGTAAGTAAGAACCTAGAATAATCTATTTGCTTGAAATATGGTCATTTTGTGCAATTTTGTCGAACATTTTCCCGACCAAGGGATGCACAATTTTCTTGCGAACAAGAACGTGACGTTATTCCCCTAGATCGTCGCATACCGGAGGTTATTGATAAACGTTGAGCGATTGAACTTGACGATGCCCCATTTTCAAGATTTTTAACGTAAATGCAGAAGCAGTTTTGTACTAGGTCCGGTGCTGCAATTCAAAACATCATATGAAAAGCAGATAAAACAAGCACCGAAAATAATGGAAGAACAGGTCTGTGCTAGCTGTCCCAGTCGCAGCACTCAAAGGACCACCATTACTTGCTGCTCCTGTAAACGCCGCTGGCATGCGCTCTGTGTAAGGGTGCCGGCCAAGAAAGCACGTGAGCTTCAAGCCGAGGGGGGCGTTTGGCACTGTCGGGACTGTTTAGGTCACGGATTCCACACACAACCGAGCTCCTCGCCAGCCAGTCCAGCAGCAGGCAATTTCCCAGAGGCCCTTGCCAAGATGAGAAGAAAGGGGCGCATTGTGTCCCGGTTGCCCAAGGCTATTCGACCACTGGTTGCGGATGCCCTGGCTGAGGCGATGGACGGAGCCCTACAGTCCGACTCGGCTGACCGGTGGTGGGAACTGTTGACCTTTGCACACTGCAAGCTGCAAGCCCCGGCCCCCGGCAGTAAATGCACAGCGGCGTCCAGTATCCGGCGTCAGATCTCCGGCGAGACGCCGGCGACTGCGACGGACAAAGCAACCGACACTACCAACCACCGGGGACGGATGCCGCGAGCTGGCTCTGCAACTGAAGCCACCAGAGATGACGCGCTGGCCCGCCGAATTGCAGGCAAGCTGGCAGATGGCGACATCAGGGCAGCGCTACAAACACTGACCACTGACGAAAAGTTGGCGTCAGCTGATGACGAAATAGTGACCTCACTGCGTGCGAAACACCCACCGGCCCCCGACGACCAACTACTACCACCACCACCTTCAAACACTGACCCTGCCCCGATCATCGTCTCCGAAACCGACGTTGAGGCGGCCATCACCAGCATGCGGCCAGGATCAACAGCCGGTCTAGACGGCATTCGTGCCCTACATTTGCAGCAGTTGATCTCGAAGGAGGCCGCTGAGAGCGGACGCCGTCTCATTCGCTGTCTTGTCCGTCTCACCAACCTACTCCTACAAGGGGCAGTACCGGATTGTGCAAGGCAAGCGCTGTTCGGCGCGTCTCTATGCGCGATTCGGAAGAGCGATGGCGGTCTGCGGCCGATCGCGGTGGGAAGCATCTACCGCCGCCTTGCCGGCCGCATCGCCGCACGTCAAGTCGCTGCTGCAGTGGGAGAGGAGCTACGTCCCGTGCAGCTGGGAGTCGGCACACCGCAGGGCTGCGAGGCCGCCGTACACGCCACGCGAGAGTTTCTGGCGGCAGCTGCAGAAGCCCACGCCCCATACTTGCTGGTCAAGGTGGACGTCCGAAACGCCTTCAACACCGTGAGACGCGACACCTTTTTGGAGCAAGTGAAGACGCGTGTGCCCATGGCGTATCCTCTCCTGTGGTGCGCATACAGCGAGCCCACACCTCTCTGCATCGGTGATCAGACCATTTCCTCGTGCAGCGGTGTGCAGCAGGGTGACCCACTCGGCCCGGCGGCTTTCGCGCTGGCTCTAGACCCGATCATCAGAAGAATGCAGTCACCACTAAATGTGTGGTACCTCGACGATGGGACCATCGGAGGTCCGGCTGACCTAGTCGCCGCCGACTTAGCAGTCCTGGCGACAGCCCTGCCTACAATCGGTCTGCAACTGAACGCCAACAAGTGCGAGGTCGCATTTGCCGGTCAAACGCCGCCACCATCACTTTTGGAGTCGCTACGAGGTACCCTCCCAGGACTGAAGGAGACTCTAGCAAGCGATCTCTCCCTCCTAGGATCTCCCTTGACCGACGCTGCGCTGCCTGTCGCCACCACCAGGGCTGCGGCCGTCATAGACCGGATGTGTGCCCGGATCAGCAACCTTGACGCTCACTCCGGTCTATTCCTTTTGGCACACTACACGGCAGCCCCCCGGCTAACCTACCTTCTGCGGTCGGCGCCGCTGTATCGTGAGCCAGGGCCGCTGCTGAATGTCGACAAGACAGTGCGGGAGACCCTCGCCACCGTCACCAACGTCACCATCAATGATGAAGCGTGGGAGCAGGCATCCCTACCACTGCGTTTTGGAGGACTTGGAGTCCGGTCGGTGATGGCATTGGCCCTGCCGTGTCACATGGCATCCCTCCACGCTTGTCTGCCACTGACGCAAGAGATTCTCCATGCTACCGAGCCTCGCCAGCCGACCCAAGCACTCCAGCGTGCCAGGGCCGATATTGTCGCCAAGCTCGGTGAAGCCGCTCGTCAGGTGCCCCAGTCAGAAGAGTGCAAACAGCGTGCTTGGGATGAGACGTTCTGTAAGATGTCTCAGACGCGTCTGCTGGACGGGGCAAACCAGGTGGCTCGGGCGCGTCTTCTGGCTGCTGCAGAGCCCCACACTGCCGCTTGGGTGCAAGCACTCCCCGTCACCAGTGTGGGACTCCATCTGGATGATGAAACTGTGCGGGTAGCAGTGGCGCTGCGACTCGGGGCGTCGGTATGTGAACCGCATAACTGTCAGCTCTGCCATCGCCCCGTTGACCGACTGGGCCACCACGGTCTCTCCTGTACCAAGAGTGCTGGCCGCCACGCGCGTCACGCTAACCTCAATGACGTGCTGCGGCGGGCACTCAGCAGTACAGGGCTCGAGAGTGTTTTGGAGCCCACCGGCCTCGACAGAGGTGACGGTCGACGTCCTGACGGGATAACGCTCTTCCCTTTCAGCCGAGGAATGAGCCTTATATGGGACGCCACCTGCTGTGACACCTTCTCAGCAACTGCCGTCATCAGCTCTGCCTTAAGTCCCGGCAGCGCCGCCCGCTGTGCAGAAGAACGCAAGCGCGCCCGCTATGCCGCTCTCCGTGAGAGATATGTGTTCATTCCTTTTGCGGTTGAGACTTCTGGTGTCCTGGGTCCGGCGGCCACAGGTCTCATGAAGGAGCTTGGCCGTCGGCTGACGTGCCGCACCGGGGACAAACGAGAAACAGTCTGGCTGGCACAAAGGGTTTCAATCGCTGTGGCAAGGGGCAACGCTGCCTCCGTGCTGGCCACAGCTAAACCAGCAGCGGCCAACAGACCGGGACCGTCACCGACGCCATCGTCCAGGCTGACCCCGAGCATGAGCACTCCGTCAATCGAGGCACCGGATGACGAGTCTGCTGCGGGGCCGCCGCTGGACTCAGTGGCTGACCCACCGGGCCATCCACCACCACTGACCCCTGCGGACGGCTGTCGAGAGGAGCTGCGCATGACACGCTCGCGGTCCTCTTCCCTGTGCTGTCCCGGAGCGTGCGCGTGTCCGACTCTCAACAGCAGGTCCAGGATTTGAGCGGACCGTGGCCTGCTCAATGCTCATGTAAAGAGTGAATTTTGTATGCGTTCTGCTCCACACGTAGGCAGTTGATCGCTTTAAAGATGTTGCTGTGCCGATGCTGAATGGATGGGCTCATGCTTATATGATCAAATCAGTCGACGGTCAATTTCCAGTGTCCAAAATATATCCCTTTTTATAACTAAAAAAAAAAAAAAAAAAAACTTTTCCTAATAAAAGTTGTTTTGTTTTCGATCAATTATCGAAAAAAATCAAATTTTCGCCGATTTCGGGCGCTGCAGGGAGGCATTTAGCAGCCCCAAATCCCCCCCCTTCCTGGATCAGCCAGTGCTCGTGAACCATTCTAGTCAGTCAAACCGACTCAGCAGTCAGCACCAGTTTCAATTTGATTTGACTTATATGTTCTGGTCCACTGGTTCGACTTCTTGCCTGCGCAGTTCTAGCTGGACTAATACATCATAGCCCGACAGACACGTCACCAGTTTCAGTCGGTCGACGCCTCGTTCATTCCCACGCCACGGCGCAGGGCCTCCTCTAAGGTTTTTTCACTGGGTGGGCAAAATTTTTCGCCGCTCCCCTGCCCAAGGGCAGATCCAGTCACTTGTTTTCGGGTGCAACCATTCTCACCTGCGACTGGGGGGGGGGGGGGGGTTAAGGCCTATGTCACTTTCACAGTCAACCAACTGTGCCATGTATAGTTTAACGTTTGTCGTGTGTGATATGGTATTTCGTGTGTATTTCACCTTATAGGTATGCCTATTGTCTACATTAGTGATGCCAATAACGGAAAATCAGGATACCGATACCGAATCAAATGCCAATCAAAACCATGAAAAATACCGAAACCAAACCAACTTGGGAACATGAGGGAAATACCAACTTTTTACCGAATTCGTATCCTATTATACATTAGCCGGATTCGTAATACCAACAAAATACCAACAACATTAGGATCAAAATACCAAATACCAAGTTGGTATCGGTTTGGTATCGGTATACCAAAAAGTTGGTATCTGATTGACATCTCTAGTCTACATACATTTAAAATTTTAAGAAGACTGCAAAAATGCAGAGTTAAACTTACTATGATTGCTCCTTGAACCAGAAATCGAATAGGCAGGTGGTGCTCGCTGCCTCTTTTTAGGAGGCATGGCCAGCTTAAACTCTTGGCGTGTCCTCTTGATCTAAATACGGCTCTTATTGACCTTAATCTACTTGTAATACATCCTTGGCCTTGTAGCGCGCTACCCTGCTGGCCCATGCCGGTTTTTGAGGGTCCCACACTGACCTCTGAGGCCCCATGCTGGCCTGTAAAGGCCCATATTAGCCTCTGAGGGCCCCGCACTGGATTCTGAAGACCCGATGCCGGCCTTTAACCATCCCCTGTATTGGTGTTTTTTCCAGCCGCGAACGTAGGTACTCGTATAGGGGGGGGGGGGGGGCGTTGGACCTCCCTTGCCGTTTCGCCCCTGATCGAGCTAGAGCTTCGCGGAAAAAAAACAAGCGTGTTGCCCGTGACGAGAGGAAGCCGATGATACCCAATTTTAACCCTCGCCGGCACAGGCCATGTTGCGTCCTTCGGCGGCACGACCCCCCCCCCCCTCGCGTTTGGCCCCTGATCAAGCTAGAGCTTCACGGAAAAAACGAGCGTGTTGCCCGTTACGAGAGGAAGCCGATGATACCCAATTTTAAGGTCCTAAGTCATCGGGTGACCTCCCAGGTCAGGTCAATGACCCGAAAACGGGGAAAATCGGGACCTGTTAGAAAGTCGTAGAGTATGGCTGCTATGTGGTTTTCCGGGGTGCTGATCACGAATATCGTGTTAGTTTTGATCAGAGATGATGTTTTAAGCATTTAGACCAGGTCGGGTCAGGTCAGGTCAGGTCAGGTCAACCGGTAGGGGTTGTGACGGGTATTCGTATTACGTGTCAACCGCCTCTGACAGCTTCGTAACATGTAACGAAGGCACCAAAACTACTTCGTAAATGTTCAAATGGTTGCTAAATTCGAATTCAGCTAAAAAACTAGCCTAGAACATGCCCCAATCAGCCTATAAGGTCTCTGATGGCCCTATTTTGTTGTCTGGCTGGGGACCCATGGCTTACACCTTTAGGCGTCACGCACTGGCCTCTGAGAGCCCACATCGGCCTCTGGGGTCCCATACGGGCCTTTGAGGCCGCTATGGCCATGGGCCCCTGTAAGCTAGCACCGCCCCCCCCCCCTCCGAGGGTTGGCAAAGTTGCCAAGTTGCCCCCACCCCCAAACGCCAAGTCTGCTACCGCCCCTGCATTCAGATGCATCCATTGTAAAAAATAACTTGCACTGCAGTGATTGGGGGCTGGGGCACTGGCTGCTAGCAAGTTTTTTCCCGGGAAACCGAAGTGGTAGTTCCTACCGGACGTCTGGCCGGACCTTTATTTTTGCATTTGCTTCTGGGTGGGCAAATCGACGCCACTGGGTGGGCAATTGTGGTGACTGGGTAGGCATTTGCCCACCCAGTGGGTATGTTAGAGGAGGCCCTGCCACGGCGACAGTCGGCCGCTGAGTGCCGCCGGCCTGGTTCGGATCCCGACGATTGGTGTGGGACAAAATCGGTAAAGGGTGGCCGGGTGGAACCAGTGAATGGTGGATAAATGGAACCGCCGAACGGCGCGGGGATGTTCTTTTAATATGGCGTAAATTATATTCAGAATATGACCTTTACGTGAAAAAACAACATTGTTTTGCCATTAAATTCATTCAAAGTTTACCAAATTCCTTGATTTTATCGGATAGGCATAACAAGATATAAGGCGGCAAGAACAATTTTAGGATAATCAAGAATGCCTCTTTCGACCAATAAAAAACAGACGCTAAAAGGCACTCGAAACATTTTTGTAGCAACATAGAGGAATGTCAAGATCCTGTACGACTGTCGACTGTCGTATGAACAAACAACAAAACCGCGCAGCATAACCGGACCCAAAGCCGAGACAATATGAGAGTGATATTCGGCTCTAATGCGATGTCTCCGTCGCCGTGAAGAGGAAGCGAAAGCCAATGGGGGAGGAGAGGTCAGCGAAAGACCCCCATTAGAGACCGTCTCGGGCGCCGGCGTCGCGCGATTATACTAAATGCAGAGCACTCAGCGCTGGAGGATAATGGGCGCCGGGCGACCTTACCTCTAATCGTGCTGGGACGCGACGAGCGCGGGCCAATTTACGACTAAAAAACCGGATCCAGATGATGAGCGCCAGAGAGAGGAGGCATGTTCAGGCAGTGGATAAACATGCCGTTGTGACTTTCCTTCGGCAAACGAGCCGGCCACTTGCCTGTTTGTTTGCGGATTGGGGTCGCCCGGTCATGGGAATGTGCACCTCTCGTGTCGTCGTCATGGGTCAGCTGGCCGGGTCGCTGGACTTGCCCACGCTTCACTACCGACACTATGCAAACAAGCGGCATGTGACTTTTCCATACACACTAACACAAATACTGTACGCGTCTGAATGCCGCTATTAGTTGGAATTCCAGCTGCGATCTGGGACGGCTGTCTCTCTCTGGTCCGAGGACCAAATCTGACCAGTCCGGTCCGGTCCGATGGACTGCGATCGGACCATCCACGGAGCGCGTGTCACCTACTGACCAGAATTCCCCACCAGTCCCGAGAAACGCCACGGGCGACTCACACGTCCCGTCCTCTCGGAGACAAGAATTGACAAGATCACAGCTATACGGTCAGTGGCCTATACCATGGAGAAATAAAAATACCGCCGAACTGGCCCAGCAGCCCCTCCAGTCTGTCCCGGAAGAACTCAGGCAGCAGGCTTCAGCTCCAGCAGCTCGAGATCCATTTCCTGCCCATTGTCTCTGTGCATAACATGACATTGTAATTGTGCATTGTCCGTGCTCTACCGCGCAGAGGCGGCGGCGAAAGCTGCACAATTGACATGGGATGGTCAAATATCAATACAAACCTTCCTGCAGACTAAGCTTTCTTTGAGTTAAATGGGGATACATCCGTCTTAGTGCCATCAAACGTCACCATAGCTGCTGCCTGTCGCCTGACGCTGTGCAAAACAAACAGCGCCCATGCGCAGCGGATTGGGGTCGCAGCGATTGGGGACGTGCCACTCTGACCACGGTTCTCGCCCCCGCCGACGGGCTGGTCAGACAACACATCAGCCCATCGCGCGAGGACAGAGGAATGGCAATCGTTAGTGACACTCGACGGGCCCTTCTATTCAGGGGCCATGGACGCACCGGGTGTCACTAAGACACCGAGTAGGGATCCGCCTTCCTCCTTCTCCCTCAAGCTTCCTGCGTCTCCCACCGGGCACTATTTGTCTCTAGGGCAGGGCTCGGGCGGTATCGTGGCGAAAGTACGCGCGCCTGTTTTTGTTGATCGCATGGACTGGATGGTGTGCCAGCAATGAGCGGGTGTGATGGAGCATGCAATACAGCAACTGACACTAACCACAGGTACTCTGAGTTCCTAGCTGCACGGCTGCACCCAATTTCACCACGCATGTGCTTACAGCGTTTCAACTAAGCGCGCAGAGCTGCTCGAATACCTGCAGCGGAGCACACTTCTGAGAGTGGACGATGAGCAGAATGTATCTTCGGATCGTCTTTTGTCAGTGAGGGTCCTTTGTAGTCTGTGAATCGGCTCGCTGTTATCACCGTAACTGCAGGTTGTTTGAAATAGACAACACTATTCGTTAGAATTGTGTTTTCTATTGAAAACAACCGGAGAAGTTCGAGGTTGGGGTATGGTTTCCATAAATCCGCAGCTTTGCCACTACGCAGTCCGCTGGTAAGCACGATAACCTCGACACCCCAGAGTGCACCGTCTGAGTGTCCCCCTCTCCCCGGTTCCAGAGTTCCAGAGCGTCCAGGACCTGAGCGTCCCCTTAGACATCCGTTAGCCTGAATGTCTTCTCTGAGTCTCCCCGGTTCCAGAGTTCCAGAGCGTTCAGCAGCTGAGCGTCCCCTCTCCCCGGTTCCAGAGTTCAAGAGCGCCTAGGAGCTGAGTGCCCCCTCCCCCGGTTCCAGAGTTCCAGAGCGCCCAGGAGCTGACGGCGCGCGACTGCCTGTTCATCGGTCGACACGCGTTCAGCCGCGGTCTGTACGACGCCGCTATCGAGTGGTTCGAGGCGGCCCTGTGGCGGACAGAGGAGGAGCCGGAGGGCGCCGTCACGGCCACACGGGACGAGATCGAGCCGCTGCTCACATCCACCATCAAACTGGTGAGCGAGACGCTCACTTCTCGTCTATGTGCCTCTACTTATCCCGAACTTGACTTTTATTCCATCCAAGTCCATCTTTCCGTCTGTCGGCCTATCTGTGTGCATGTCTGAAAATTTTACCCATCCGCCCGTCCAATGCCATAAATGTGTTTAAATTGTGTCCGTCCATCTGTCCATCTCTGTCTCCTGTCTCTAATTCACTGTCTCACTCTCCCTCATCCCTTTGCACCACAGCACGACTCGGTGCTGGAGGAGCAGGGTCCGCGCGGTGAGGACTGGCGCACCAACCCGGTACCGATCGACCGCCGACTGGCCGAGCAGGAGCGGTACCAGCCGCCGCGCCTGGCGGTGTTCCGGCCGCGGCTGCACCAGCCGCAGGCAGAGGCGGAGGAGGAGGAGCACTACCAGAGACTCTGCAGAGGCGAGAGACTCCGGGTGAGAGGAGGGGAGGGATGTTGGAGGGGGAGCGGGAGAGAACGTGAAGCAGAGAGGTAGAGGGATGAACAATGGAATGAAGAGAAGGGATTAGGAATTCTGCAGCCATTGTCACCAACTTTCTTAGAAAGAAGTCTGAAACGAGCGGTCTTACTGACGGTCAGCCATTCTTATATCAGCAAGCAGCGTTACGTTAACTGTCACCGACTCGTCTTTCGGAACCCCAGCATAGGATGGAGACCTCAGGCAGGCAGACCCAAAAGGTGTCAGTTGTCACCTGAGCTGACCCCCTCTCTCCCTCGACCCGCCCTCGCCCTCTCTGACAGTCCCCAGAGGAGGAGGCCGACCTCAGCTGTCACCTGACCTCCAACGGCAGTCCGCTGCTGCTGCTGTCACCGCTGCGGGTGGAGGTGCTCAGCCGTCAGCCCTACATCGTGATGCTGCACCAGCTGGTGACGGAGACAGAGGTCAGCCAGTTTCAGGAGCTGGCCGGACCGCGGCTGGCCACCTCCCGACACCGCCACCCGGACGGAGAGTTTGTGGCCAGCATGAGTCGCATCAGTAAAAAGTGAGTTAGCAGTGGAGGCCGCCAGGTCAGTCTATCTGTCTACCACTTGATGTTTTCGGCTCACTCAGTCTATCTGTTTCAGTGCAGCCTCAGTCTAGATCAGTAGGCATGCAATGTTACGTGCGCAAAATGATCTGAACAGTCATCGCGCCCTAAAGCCCTATAGTAGTAAGCAAGCAAATCAGTTCATAGTAATAGCCATCTTTGGCATCCTTGTCAATGGCTCTGAGCGTATACTCTCCTTCCGCCAGCGCCTGGATTCCGGACGACGAGGACCCGACGGGAATGCTGGCGAGGGTCACTCGGCGCGTGGCAGCCTCTAGCGGACTGAAGTGCGACAACGACATGGCCGCCGAGGCATTCCAGGTGAGCACTGAGCGACACTGTGACTGGCTGAGGCAACAGTGGACTAAGGTAATGAAAAAATGACAAGGATAAGAATACTCTTTGAATAGCGTCCTGTGAACGACCACTACAGGTAAAACCAACGAACAGTTCCTGACAAATGTCGCTTACTTCCGAATCATCCCACCACCATCTGACGCCAACCCACCCTCCCTCAGGTCGCCAACTACGGTATCGGCGGTCTGTACGTGACCCACACGGACCACCACATGGCGGAGGTGCCGCGGGGGCCGCACGCGCACTGGGAGACGATGATCGGCGACCGGCTGGCCACCTGGATGGTCTACCTCTCGGACGTGCCGGCCGGGGGTGCCACTGTGTTCCCGCGAGCCGGCGTCACCGTCTGGCCCGAGAGGGGCAGCGTGGCGTTCTGGTGGAACCTGAACGCCGCTGGAAAGGGGGACGACGACACGCGACATGCCGCCTGTCCAGTGCTGCACGGCAGCAAGTGGGGTGAGTGAGATAGACAAGGCGGTATAATGGGGGACTGGGGAACTCCAGGTGCCTAAAGTCACCAGTCCGGTATGTGCAGTATACACTATACAGTTTGTAATTTCATTAAGTCCTGTAAAGTTAGTTCACCCGGCCAAAGACATTCCTAATTCAACTGTGTGCCATTATTCAATAACGACCTGCGCCTGTTTCAGTATCGAACAAGTGGATCCACTACAACGAGCAGTTCCGAACGAAGCCCTGCGGGCTGACCCCGGACGCTATTCACCAAACGCCCTGAACACCGAGCGCGAGCGACGCCCTGGGAGCGCCTCAGAAGACACTCATCAACGCCCTGGCGCCCTGGGAGCCTCGAGGACGCCCTCACCGCCGATCGGCGCCCAATGGAAAGACGCCTGACGCCCCAGCAGATGCTCTAACCGACGCTAGGGCGCTCGCCCTCACCGCCGAGCGGCGCCCAGTGGACAGACTTACTGACGTCCTGGCGCCCAGCAAAGGTTCTAACCGACGCTAGGGCGCTCCATAGGCCCTCAGACTGGTGACGGGTGGAAGGTAGCTGTCACGTGACTGCAGGTTCTTTTATGGCAGACAAGACGGCGACAGACAATAAGTGTCTGGCCCCTGACTGAGCCAAGAAGTAACGTAGAATGGGCCGGCAGCAGGAGATTGACGGTGAGTGGACATTGTCAGCAACGGGCACCACTACCCGTGAGCACTGGGCAGCACCAGCCTCTTGTCACGGGGAACGGACCGTTCAGCATTACACGGGGCGGAGTTGATCAGGTGACTGAAATCAAATACCGCTCAAGCAGTTAAGTTCATTGGTGTTGGTCCGTGTGTCTCTTCCAGTGGGTTAAAGTCGGCCGTTGGCTGAGAGTCAGCGGGATAATTGTTGAGGACACATGAGAAGGAGTCACACAGCAGTGACTGCGTGAGACACCTGGTCACGACTACTTCAGGCTGGGTGAACTGTGACTTTCTTACACAACTGATTGAAGAACATCTGCAACGTTTGAGGGGCACGATTGAATTTCTTGAGATTTAGGGGACACAACTAATTACCGGTGACATAACCCCACAACCTGCTTGCTTTTTTAGTGTTTCATCTTAAAACACGTTTTCCAGCCTTTTATTTCTTGTGAGTGTACATAATGTTTTGTTTTCATTTGGGCAATGAACTAGCTAGCTGTGATGGGATGCGAAGAGCTAGCAGTGAACTGACACAGCCAGAGCTGTGAATGCGTGCATCGAGCGAATGTTTATGTATTTATTAGATGTGTTTGTGCGTGTGCTTGCGTTAATTCTCGGAATGTAACTCCCGCAAGTGTGTGGAGGACGGGGTGGGGGCGGGGTTGGGCAGGGAGTGGGGTGTAGACCCGTGGTCATTTCCTAACCACATCAATAACGTTATGCATCCCAGTGTGACTTTTTAAATGCTACGCGACTCGAGCAAAATGAGCTCCCGTTGCAAGTGGTAGCTCTGAGTGTTATTAGTACGGTGAGTGTAAATATTGGGCAGCGGCCTCTAGATCCTTGGTCGCCTGCTGTTGTTATTGTTATTGTTATTGTGCATTGTTAGCTCAGGTGTTCGCAATTTATATGAACAAATAAAACCGTCATTATGGTCTCGAAAACCGAACGGATCAAAAGGCTACAGGGAAAATAATGAGAATAACGGTAACATTCTTCTATGTTCGATCCCAAAAGTGTGCAATAAATTAGCCGGCATAATACTTAATGTAGTTATTTGTGGTACATTCCTTGCAAAATCACCAACCACGTACCACAGAAGCTATCGTGTGTTATCGTAGTTCTATCATTATTGGCGGGCATCCCATCCAATTGCAGAAATAAACATGTTACAAACCATCAGTCTTTGGACGGGCGTGCGAGCATCGGAACCACGACTCACAGATTCTGAATGGCATGGCAAGCTAGTCATCTGCCCAAGTAACCGACAGTGTAGTGATAGTCCTAAATGCACACGGCTTCACCCTAATGATCCTCAAACGACCAGAGCCCCGAAGCCTCTCATCTACCGCCGCTAGACGGGTGCACGTCAGAATAGCTAGTGACATTTGAGCTAGTGACTTTTGAGCTAGTACAAAACAGCTAGTGCCTCAAAACAGCTAGTGACAAAACAGCTAGCGTCAAAATAGCTAGTGAAGCAAAATAGCTAGTGCTTAAAAACAGCTAGTGACAAAATAGCTAGCGTCAAAGTAGCTAGTGAAGTAGCTAGGTTATACCATATAAACCGAAGGAGGGACAACTGCTTAACAAAGTGTCACTCCACCTACTGCCCGAGCCCCACAGGAAGAGATGGTTGACAGCGCTGCAAGTTTTCAGATTTCTGAGAAATCGCGAATCACGAAGTTGAGGATTTCACGAAGTTATCTCTCCTTAAAGCCGCCCCACACTGGACCTCGCATGCGGGTTGCGAGTCTGCGGGTTTTGGGTTTGCGGGTATAATTATCATTCATAGAGTGATTAGAACATTTTCTTATGGTCACTACATGAATGCAGTGAAGCCGGCACACCTTCAGAAAATTACATATTGAATCAATAACAGCACATCGAACCAACAACCGACTTCAACAAAATACACCAAAACCCGGAGACCTCGCAGCGAGGAAATTTGAAAATTGACTCAAAATCAACTTTTGGAATGCAATGCAAGGTGGCTCGCATGTTCAAAACTTGCAGACTCGCTTGTTAGACGGTAATGTGGGTCGCTTAACATATAGTGCATTCTTTAACTTTTAAGAAACCCGAAAACCCAAAAACTCGCAACCCGCATGCGAGGTCCAGTGTGGGGCGGCCTTTTTACCCTAGCTGCTCTACGAATAAGCTATTTTGCTTCATTAGTTATTTCGACGCTAGCGATTTTGTCACTTAGCTATAATGAAGCACTAGCTATTTTGCTCTACTAGCTATATTGACGCTAGCTGTTTAGTCACTAGCTGATTTGATGCACTAGCTGTTTTGCATTACTAGCTATTTTGGCGCTAGCTGTTTTGTCACTAGCTGTTTTGAAGCACTAGCTCTTTTGTACTAGCTCAAAAGTCACTAGCTCAATAGTCACTAGCTGTTTTGACGTGGACCCCCGCTAGACACACAGTTTGCTAACACCACGACACCAGTGTGTATTGTATACGTTCTCCAGCGTCACTACCAGCCGATTCAGCAGTATCTCTTGGACCACACGGCAGGCCCAGAGGTGTCCTACACGGAGCGAGCCAATCGGCCACAGGGTGCTGACAACGGGCTCCTAATTACGGTAGAATTGGGTAGAGGCTGATGCGAACATGATGCAAGCATCACTAGAGAGCTACCAATGGGGGGAGATTATGTAGGATTGTGTAGGGGTAGGTAGATATCGGTTTATAGTTTCCAAGCATAGCTGCAACGCGCAAGACTACGTTACACAGCTAAAATGATTATAGAGGCATACATACTGTTTAGCATGGGTAATATTTTGATATCAAGGATAATGTTTGCAGGGCTTCTACGCGATCTCGATTAACTGCCAACAGCAGTCCTGAGCCTGCATACACCGGGACACACACCAACACGAGTCTATTCTAAGCACCAACATCAACTTCACCGACAAATAACTCATCAGCAAAACAACCAATCACAGTACGCTAACAGCGACAGCTACAACAGCTCATGCATGAACCGAACAGCCGCAAAATATCCGACGCCGACGGCCTCCCATGCCACGCCACTTTGGGTCCTGACTGCCTGCTGTATAGACGAGTATGCGAGCTAAGTGCACCATCGCAGCCAGCCTGAAGGTGTCGATGGAGTTCACTTCGGTGTTGGCTGACTGCTGTTGGTTTTAACGGCTCCGTGCAGGCTCGCTATTCCATGCCAGGAAGACTAGATAACAAAATGTTGTCTCCATATAACAGCACTGCTTATTTTACCAATAAGGTATTCGCAGACTACAAAAAGGTTACTTTTGTGTCTTCTGTGAGCACTGTGCGCAAAATAAACCCAAAGTTATCAACTTGGTTTACCTATGGAATTCCACCCATGGAATAAAGCAGAAGCGATGCCGGGACAGCGATAGACTAAGAGGTCGGCCACCCATCCAGGCTGAGGTTGTGATACAATCTGTGGAATGCCTCTGACTAGATCAAAGTCTTCTGTGTCGCCGAAGACTGATAATCTCATTGAGCTAGCCTCCAAGCACATAAAGATAAATAAAATAACAACAAAGCAACTACAATCAAAAGCATAACCTTACACAGGCAAATAGCACTAGAAAAGCGTTCGAGTTAAGTAGAAGTTGACGAATGAAAGGCTAGCGTACGATCACAGATCGAATGCATCAAAGATAGCCAGATCCGAAAAAAACGGACCGCAAGCGCGCGGCAAGAAAAGCATAAAATCACATACGGATTAAATAAACGACATTAAATAATGGACTCGTAACAATCACCGTTCGGACAGGCATCAGGCCTGCTCCCGCTCGCCGAGTTCCGCCCAGTCATACGCGGCAATGGAGACGGAATACACCCGCGCGGTATACTGTGTGGCTATTATGCAATCCTATCTACTACCGGTACGACACGCTCATTCCCTAGCCGTTCCGTTTGGGTATGGGCGGCGGGGCGCCGGCGCGGCTGGGGACGGGCGGCGCCGGAGCCGACTCCCGGCTGGGGACGGGCGGCCGCGGCGCCGTCTCCCTGCTGGGGATCGGGGGCGGTGCGCCGGCCCTGGCCGGGATTGTTGGCGGTGCGCCCGTCTCCCGGGCCGGGGCCGCACGCGGCGCCGCGTCTCTCGCCGGCACGGCCGGGGCAGCGCCCTCTCTGGCCGGTACCGCCGGCGGGGCGCCCTCCCTGCTCGGTACGGCCGGGGGAGCGGCGTCCCTACTGGGTACCGGGGGCGGCACAGCCGGCACGGACGGCCCCGCCGGCGTCTGACTGCCGGAGAACACGTCATCCTCCCAGCTGACGGAGCTGGCCGCCGTCCACGGGCTGGAGGCGGCCGAGGTGGGCTGGGTCGGCTGGTCGGCCGAGCCCCACGGGTCAGCCAGCGGGCCGGCCGCCGCCCACGGGTCGGCCGGCTTACCGCTGGCCGCCCAGGGGTCCGCCGACTCGGCGGGGACAGCAGCGCTCTCAGACTCGGCCCAGGGGTCTGCCGGCGGGGCGGGGTCGGGCCCCTCTGACCTCTCTGGTTGCTCCTGTCGGCTGGGCTGTACGGCGGGCCGGACGCCGACCGGGGGCGGCGGCGGCGGCCGGGACGGCACGGCGGCCGGCCGCGGCGGGGCGGCGCGGGCCACGGTCACCTCCTGGCGGACCTCGATCACCGGCTCCGGCGCAGCTGACTGTGGAGGGCGAGAGGGGCGGGAGGGTCAGACGCGGGGAAGAGGACAAAAAGATCACATATCTAAGCAATATCTGGAGAAATTTGGGCACTGAACACAAAGCCAAGCTACTATAAAATTTACATGAAATATGCAGATGTAGTAAGGCAGACAAAAGAAAGGTGCAATAAATACGCACAAGGTCACAATCAAAGACATCGCATCTGAAATAAATCCTTTCCCTTCTGTTAATACAGACACCCTCTGATGTTTCTAAAACACTGACTCGAAATTATTCGCTAAAAAAGGGATTCTTATAAGGAAAACACCCGTGCTACGTCACATAGCACGCGACTCCTGCCAACTGACAAAACCCCTGCCAACTGACCTGGGTGGCCGCGTAGGTGGGCGGCGGCGGCCGGGTCGGCTGGGGCGGCCGCTGCGGCTTCAGGACCCCGCTGGCGGAGGCCGCCACCCACACCGCCGCCGCAGACTGCACCTCTGTGACGAGGCAGACACAGGATAGGCTCAGTATCGGCCGTTAGCGTCGGGCTACTATTGGGACATTGAGGGGGTCAGTATCGGGTTAGGGCAGGGCCGAGGGTCAGATCGGGACAGGAGCTGGGCGGAGTACAACGAACGAGGTATGGTGGGCCTGATTGGAATAAGAGCCAAGACGCACAAAAAACAATCAGAGCACGGGATAAAAAATAGTCGGGGACGATCAGATTAGTTTCCAAGAGCGTTACCACGATCGCCAGTCACAACATATTTTACGGACACACTGTTAGCATCGAGTCCCCCAGTCTCCCCAAATCTCAGTATTTAGCTCCCCCTCGCCCCCCCCCCCCCCCACACCTATTTCAGTTTCTGTGACGAGCGAGGCAGGCAGTTAGGCGGGCGGTTAGGCGGGACATACCTATGTCCACCTCTGTGACGGGCGAGGCGGGCAGTTAGGTGGACAGCTAGGCGGGCGGTTAGTCTCACATACCTATCTCTGCCTCTGTGACGGGCGAGGCGGGCGGTTAGACGGGTGGTTGGGCGGGCGGTCAGTCTCACATACCTATCTCTGCCTCTGTGACGGGCGAGGCGGGCGGCGATCCGGGCGGCGGCGAGCCCTGGTGCTCGCTCAGCGGCAGGGTATTATCCTCCCCAAGCCGCAGCTCCTCAGTGACCTGGGCCGTCCAGTCGGGCGTCCGAAGACGGATCGCTATACGGTGACCCTGTACCTGTACACAGTCAAACAGAGGTCAGGTATGTGGCATAGGGACTACACTTAGCTACCGGGCGGCCCTACACCGTACAGGCCAACAACGGGCGACTGACGATCGCTTCAGCCAATACCAAATATGCATTTTTTTTGCATATTCTACCTTTACATAAACCTAATGTATAAAGTAACACAATATATACTCACAGAAACCATAGCCACTCGGAAGTCATTTATCTCTTATAAATTGAACTCCAAACAATGTCTGAGTCCTACCACGGCGTCATTTTCCTCTTACGACGAGTCTCCTCACCTGAACAGATCCCTGGTGAGAGGCGGCCAGAGCGAAGCCGCCCTCCTTGAACGTCACCCACATGGTGTCGCCGACAAAGCGGACCAGTATGACGTCACCGAATGAGGTGAGCTGCGCCAGCAGCTCGGCCATGAAGTTGTCCAGTTCGGTGAGCGAGTACAGGTCCTCGGTGTCGGACTGGTGGCACGCAGAGGAGACCAGGGTTAACGTCAGCGTATTGTCATGGAGCTTGGCTAGCATGAAGCCGATAAAAAGTGACAAAGAGCACATTAAATTAATAAAGAATGACATCATTCTCCGACGGCGGTATTGGTCCCATCTGGTTACCAAACTGACTAAGGGGAATGCTAAATTATACTGCTAAAAATATCCTGCACAGAACCATGTAAATGCTGCCTACCAATGTCTAAAAAAAGACCACCCAACATAAAGAATCATCGCTTCTCCCTCCATCCTAGTCCACACCCCTCTCATAGCCCACCCTCTACGCTCCACCGCTCCCTCTCACCGTGAGTATGACGGAGGCGTCCGGCGGTCCGGCCTGCTGCACCAGCCGCTCGAAGGTGGCGTGGCGCCGCTCTGGGTCCACCTGTCGCGCCTCCACCTCGAGCAGCGCCACCACGGGTCGGTGGTCGGACTGTTTCAGCCCGGCACACCCGTAGTGGAGCACGCGGCCCGGCGTCCAGTCCGCCGCCGCTGTGGTACGCGGGGAGGGGTGGGGCGGTTAGCGTCAGCACAGGGCGGTAAGGACCGAATGGGGAAAAGTAAATGAGAAACTATCAACAGACCTTGCAGTTAATGCCTAATCGGCCGCCAAAGTACGGTTTAGTTAGATGAGCAAAGTGACAAAAAGAAAGGCGAAACCCGATATTGTCAGTAATTTATATTTAAAGTCGTCTTGTTCACGTCATCAAACATCAGTAAAATAACGATAGTTTCGGTACAGAACGCATCATATCTCCACAATACACAGATATGGGCCAAAAGCGTGAAAACTCTTAGGAGTTGTCCAGCACCCGTAACCTCCAATCCACTGACCTGCCTGGCTGGCGATGCGTCGTTTCCACAGCAGCACCCGGTCCGTCCAGGCGGGACAGCGGCACTTTTCGCCGGTGTCGTAATCGTCCGAGAAGAGGTCGTACTTGTAGGTGGGCGGAAACGCCAGGTCACCCTCGAGGAAGTTCTGGAAACACTTGCCGTCCGCCTGCTGGACCTGGGGGTGGGAACAGAACGGCGAGGTTGGTGGGCGGATCCGAGAGCTATATGTAAATATGGATCACTCAAGGGTCATGGATAACTAAAGACTGCAGCCTGATAGCTTCACATACAAATCGGGCTACGGGACCGTTGCGACAACAGGAATAAAGAGTTGCTTCATATACTGCAATTAAAGGGACTATCCCACCTTTAACATGGGGTTTGAGTTGAGATAGCCAAGTTTGCGGCGAGGTTCAGAAACCACTATCTATCTAGGTTGCAACCCCCGCGGCCTCTTGGTGTTGAAGAAATTCGTTCCCTTCATTTGAAAATGGGCCTTGTACAAGGCCCTATCTTCAACATGGAGCGACCGTTAGTGTGACGTCACCTCGTTTAGTCATTCTGATTTAAATGGGTTTGTTCGTTGAAAAATCGCTTAAAACTTGGTCTGAACTTTGTTGTGGTGCCTACAGAGTAAAAAGAATCAGCTTTATGACAGTAATGTGGCCTGGGGAAGGAGGTAATTTTGGGCTGTGACGTCACATATTTGAAAGTTTGTGTTTGGAATATGGGAAGCCTAAGATGTTTAATGAAAGATAAATGCCAGAACCGTGTTCCTGGTCATCCAATCTATAAAGTCGGGCACAATTTAACTGGTTTTAACAACATTTTAGAAGGTGGGATAGTCCCTTTAATCATATAAATTGATTTTCCAGGCTAGCTGGCATTTTGTTCACGGTTTTGGTTTTTATTTTGACACTACGATCTCAGTCCCCCTCCCCATTCCGCCCAGTCGACCCGGTGCGCACCTTGAGCTGATCAGCCTCCAGCAGGGTGGCCCAGTCTCGGCGCGCAATCAGCTCCTTGACCTCGTCTCGCGGCAGGTCGATACGGTAGTTGAAGTCGCCGCACCAGAATACCAGGTCGTGAGAGAACACGGTGCGGTTCTGAGACGGCGGAAAGATAGGAAGCAGATGTCAGAGAATGGATTAAGGCACCTAATGGGTTGATTATGATGCCAAAATAACCGGCTTTGTATGAGCGCCTAGATAAATTTGGGAGTTTGTGGTCCATGGGGACCACAGCAATTAGCAGTAACCATCAATGTGCGGAATCAATACATGGAACGTTGAGGCTGCCGGTCAAGTTTTAGCAATCGTCGTTGCCTTCTCGCACATTAATTCAGAAAGTGACCAGGAAACCACCTTTATAACGCTCCATCACTGACCATGGGGAAGCAGATCTTTTTGCCGATCTCGGCGTAGTCGGCGTTCCTCTCGAGCACCTCCTTCTGCCCGGCGGCGAAATGCGAGCAGATGAAGCACAGTGACGAGTTGTACACCACCATGCGGATCGCCGCGGCGCCCTTGTTACCTGGTAATGGTAGCCGAACGTCGTCAGGCCAACGGGGAACGCATAAGGACAGTATACAGCAGGTCATCATGGAAACGAGATCACTGTCGCTGGTCACAATGCAGCCAATAAATAGTTTCATTCACAGGATACAATCATAGCGTTCAAACGAGCTTGCAATTCCAATATTACGTCTCAAGAAAAAAAGAACAAGGCAAACTATTTTTGAATTGGCTAAACTCAACATTCGGATAGATATAACGCATGCAACGACACATAGTCTGCCGAAACCCCTCCTAAACCCCACCCGACCTTCCCTCCCACCACCGTCTACTGACCGGTGGCGCCGCCGAGGCCCGTTTTCACAGTGTCCGTAGCCACGTCTCGGACATGTTCAACCAGCTCGGGTCGGATGAAGACGAACAGCGCCACCCCGACCAGCTGGACGGAGGTGAGGGGTACGTACGGACGGTCCCGAGAGACCACCTTCTGCAGCTCCTCGCCCCACAGGCGGGCGTTCTCAGAGCTAGAGGGAGAGGGAGGAGGGGGTGGGGCAAGATGAGAGGGGGCGTAAGGAGACAATCAGTACCTTTGAGACATCCTTGAAAGGACACTGCTGCTTGAAAATTGAGGCATCAATCACTTATGTTTGAAGAAAAATGGGAGCTTATCATATTCCTATTATGGGTATGCATGAATTAAAAGGACTTCCTTATAACCATTGGCCAGAAAAAAACGCACTTTTCCAAAAGATTTCACATAACTTTACAGACAAGTCAATGGCCGTTCAGTGCGCCTCTCTCACCTGGCGGCCATGATGTTGCTGGCGTTCAGGTCTACGATCTCCTCGAAACCGACGGCGAAAATGTCCACCGGCGGCTCCTCCTCACTGTCATCGACCAGCTCTGCGATACGGCAAACAGTACGCACTCGTCATAATTTCCGAAACTACTACACGACACAAACAGAACATCCGTAAAACGCAACATCACTCAAGCATAAGTCAGATAATTTCTCTTCAACAAACAGCCTGCTAACACTGATCGACATTCGAAGCACCCATCCATTCCACAATGCAGTGACTCCTCCATCCCAATATCAAAATTAATTTCCAAACAAACCTCCAACCAAATAATCACTCTGCCATCTCACCACCCCTCAGACCAGCGGCTGCCCCTCTGTCCCCTGACCGACCTCGGCCGCGGGCGATGCGCGGCGCGTCCAGCAGCCAATCGGCCAGGTTCTGGTTCTTGTAGGCCACGCTGCGGAAGTGCTTGCCACCGTTCACGTTGTACGTGCCGACGCAGACTCTCAGTGTGCGCGGCGAGGTGTACTCGTCCTGGGACATGCACATGGCGCGCAGCAGGTTCGCCTGGGCTGTGGACGAAAGGGGAAAGAGTTACAGTGGTAAGATTGTGCTCAGCGATGCCTTCACTGCAAGCGGAATTCATGAGATTTCAAGTGCAAACCGTATCACGCTGCTACATAGCGTTTATCCAGCTCAACTGAGCTTACTCATTGTCGAGTAGCGCAAAATATATCCGGTAAACGACACAATGGTCGCCTATAACGGTGACGATTGGTACCTGGTGGGGCTATCGATTCACCTCATGTAGGCTATCGAATAAGGTAGCGTCAGGTCGGCTCAGATCGCATCAGATCACGCCGTACCAGGTTCATTATCATATCCACTCGCTCCACCCACCATACAGCATGTTGGGCGGCAGCAGGAGCCGGGCACGGTCGGCCAGCTCAGAGTTCATGCTGCTGCCCAGCAGTATGACGTCGATGGCCTCCTGTTTGCTGCTATCCAATAGGTTGTTCTGGATGGTACGCGACACGGACCGGGCGCCGTCCATCAGCTGGCGGAACAGAGCGCAGAGAAGTGATGTCAGAGGCACGGACAAAGACGTTACATACTTGAACAAACGGACAATTGCTTCAATCGCTGGAGGGAGGGAAAAAAACGAGGACGGTGGTCCATATTTGAACATGGCAGAGCAGGAATAGTTACAGGAAACAAACGCATAAGCAACGGAAGCACTTTGCCGATCATTATTAGAACATACCAGCTGCAAAGAGCATATTTACTTTACTCGCTGGTTGCACATATTCTGCGGGATTGAATAAAAGCTGTGCAACACTGTGCACGTAGACTGGAAAGGATGTCATTACTGCACATTTACAATGTGAAGCGTCCGGAGAGGGTCTGACCTTGGATCCGCCCTGGAGCGCGCCGGTGCCCGCGTACAGCTTGCTGATCTCGTTGCCGTTGTTGACCCACATGTCGCGGAAGATCTGCTGGAAGCGGGAGACCACGGACGCCTTCTCCTGCAGGTTCAGGTAGCGCAGCTGCTCCAGCAGGACCTATCACAGAGGGAGAGGGGAGGGGAATATTTTAACACGCGGAGGGTCACTGGACCTTCAAGGGTGGCGGACCAATTAGGGGGCAGATGAGTAATTATCTGGGCTGACGAGGCGACACTGTGCCTTCCGTCCATCACTGGCCAACATAATTAAAATATAATTTTCCTATGCTTACTTGTTGAAGCACTTGCTGTATGTAAGGCATAGGTATAAGTTCTATGAGAAAAAAAACACTTTTAAATGGCCTCCTTACAATGAAATACCAAAAGATGAAATAATGAAATTTTTTCATCTTTTCATTTCATTATTTCATCTTTTGGTATTTCATTGTAAGGAGGCCATTTAAAAGTGTATTTTTTCATCTTTTCATTTCATTATTTCATCTTTTGGTATTTCATTGTAAGGAGGCCATTTAAAAGTGTTTTTTTTTTCTCATAGAACATAATTTTCCTATCATTGATGGCCATTTACAAGAATCATCATTCACCGATCTCTGCGCTGAGGAACCGTCCCGACCTACTCACCTCGAGTCCGACCAGCGTCTGCACACAGTTGGTCCGGTCCAGGCAGTCAAGGCAGTTGGTCCGCACCGTCCCGCACTGGTCGCTGGAAACGGGAGAATGATATCATTACCTGTCACATGAATAACAAAAGTTGCAAAATAACGCGTACCAAGTCCCGATAATAAAACGTATTCGTTAGAACACGTGTTACCGCTATTCTTAAACTTTAACGTTACAAAACTCGCATTCTTACGCCTATCAGCAAGAAGGCACAATCCTCTCGGACGATAACATTTGTTGGCAGCCATATCAGCCTACATCACCTCGTAGGCATGTCCCTCGCCACCCGACCAACTCACATGTAGACCTCGTCTCCCCTGGCGAAGAAGAAGCCCTGGTGTCGCAGTGTGGGCTGCAGGTTCCGCTTCAGCGTCTCCAGCGCCTTGGTGTTGTTGCCGCGCACCTGGGCGTGGTAGTCAAACAGCACGTGCTGCACGTCGTCATGCTCCCGCAGCGCCTTGTGGTGCGCCTGTGAGCGGGAAGCAGAAATAGAGCCGTTAAGAGGAAGGATTTGGTATAGTAAAACGAGTATGTGCCAACAACAGCAGAGATTCGGCGATGTTGACAGCGAAAACGCCGCAAGAAATGCGAGGACTATACAGATGGACTTTCTATTGGTAAAACGAGTATCAAAAGAGAGTAATCACCAACCAGACATTCAGGAAAACTGATTTCATTTCGACCTCATGAGTCACGACAGCTAAATGTCTCCCACCCAACTCATCCCATCCTACTACGGGTCATAACAACCATCAATGCATCACACACCTCCGCCTAAGACCCACCCAAACCCACGGCCTCACTCACCTGGAACAGATTGCTGAGCATGGCCTCGTCGCCGCGGCTGCCGACCAGCGAGCAGCTGAGCAGATTCAGTATCACCTGCTGTCCGTAGCGGCGCTTCAGCTGGCGCAGGTGACGGTTAAAGGCGGGCGCGGACGCCTGGTCGCCGCGCGTCAGCCGCACCTTGTGAGAGCCCACCTGTCGGTGAGAGACGAGAGGGGCGGGTGGGACGAGTTAGAACGGGGGGAGGGAAGTTTAATAGAGTGTGAGCTGGCTTCTAACGCTTGTATTGTTGCAATGCTAACCCCAACTCCTATACAAAGTCAAATATTCCTGTGCTGTTACCGCCGCATCAAATAGCTGGTAACCACGGCACCCCCCCCCCCCCCACACACACAAAAGAACAGCCACACGAAACACGGAAACACGCGAAACCCCAACCTCTAATTAATGCGATTATCACAGTGTGTCACACAGTTACCCCGCCCTCTTCACCACTAATCGGATTCCGTTACCCACCTGCACACCGGGCTGGTCCCAGAAGGGTAGTGAAGTGACACCCTACCCCATACTACCGTCTAACATTAAATGGACAGAACCACCCGTAAACACCAACCCAACCGAGTCTCCCTCTACCCACCTGCACGCCGGGCTGGTCCCAGAAGAGCGGCACCGAGCCGCGCACCTGCAGGTGGGAGGCCACCTCGTCGTCCATATAGATCACCTGCTCCGTCTCCACGAAGTTGGCCACGTGACCGTCGTCATTGGTACCCCGCACGTTGAATCTGCGAACAACGGTCATGGACGGGATGAGGTCAGTTTGAGCTTAGAAAAAGTGGAAGACGTCGACAAATGCGACGCAGTGTCTGCGTGGAAAACATACGTCGTAGGATATAGAATGTCGTACACATGTGATTAATCATTGCTTTAGCGTTAAGCCGTTCGTCCCGCGTTTGCGTTTCCCGGTTTTTATTAGTTTGTTTCCGTTTGACCAAAACAAGCACGCAGAGTCGCAGACATTTGATGCTTTCCAATCTCGGATTAGCTTCCTCTCTCCCCAACCGCCTTTGTACCCGTTCGGCTTACCCTCCTCCCCTCCCCGACTAACCTGGTGCCGGCCCGCTCGGCGCTCCAGGTACCCGTTCGTATTACCCTTCTCCCCTTCCCCGACTGACCTGGTGCCGGCCCGCTCGGCGCTCAGCCGAGATATGATGGCGGCGCGGCCCTGCGTGGCGCCCACGTACACAGTCCGAATCTCCAGCGAGCCACAGGTGACTCTGAGCAGCCAATGGTCGCAGCTGACGCCGAAACGCTGCATGTGCAGGTGCAGCTGCTTGTTCCTGCGGTGACGAAACATGGCCATATGGACGGCGGATACAGTAATCAGGAAACGGCGATTTATGGCACATATTACGGACGTTCGGCGTGACACGTCAGTGGTAAAACAGCCGGTACTCAGAGTATTATAGTGTTGTTGCTGGCAGATCTAAGACATTTCCGTACATCAAAATAACAGAAAGATTCCACCCACAGACCAAACACGTCCTTTCAGCACCAGTTTCACTACTCAATTCTCTCAACTAGTTTTATAGATTCTCAGCTTATTCAGTGTGATTGATTTCAGCTCACCCCTCAGTAGCACACTATAATCCCACTCACCAGAAGAACCGGTTGTCTGTGACACTTGTTCTCCGCCTCCGCTGTTCACATAGTGTCAGGTCCAGGGGATCTCCGGAGGCACTCCATGAGAAGTACAGAGTGCCCGCATTCAGAATCTTCTTGACCTGTGAAATAGGGGGACAGTGAGCATGACCAGCACATACCTTTTGATAAAGACAAAAAGCTGTGCCAGCCTCTGTTTTGTGTCTTAAACCAAGTGTGGAAAAACCTCAAATTAATTTGAGGCCAACCTCACCTCTGCCACTCTATCTTCATCTCCGGGCGTGCCCTGAAGAGAGATGAGCGCAGTCTGGGTGACCTTGAACACCTCACTACCGCAGATCTTCCCCACCGACGTGCAGCCGGTGACCACCGCCAGATAGAGCAGGCAGTACTGGTCATCTGAAACAGCACCACACCAGTTATTCAACTCTGCCCAAGCAACTCCTTCATTGGAGGTTAAACTATTGTTGCTGTCAGTATCACAAAGCTTATCAGCAACTGTCTTGGTGAACATCACGTACATTTTTTACCAAGATAGGATAAACCAAAAGCTTATATGCATCAACATGTATGCATTGTCAAGATGCATCATATAGTGTTTTCTTTTTGTTTGAAAAGGTTAAGGTATAGGTTGACCTCAGATGACCTTAGCCAGCCTTGGTGTCATGCTCTTATTTCATTTGTTGGAACATTTTATGTTTGTTTACATCTGGGCTTGTTTCCTAGTAAAAGTAATACTACTGCAACATTGACCAATAAGAACAGATGGTCCAACATTGGTCTGATTTGGGCACACAATTGATTCTGTGGGGGTTGTTGTCGGGTCCAAATCTATCTGGGCCCACATGAGTCAAAACTTGAACCATCAAAGAGAGGTGTGAAATCCTTTCAAATCAGCATGGACCTCAGAGGCCACACCTGGAATCAGGGGCTTAGGACTTCTGAGCTGTAGAGCTGACCTAAGATAGGATTTAGAAACAGAACAGGGCTCAAAGTCTCAGAAATGGTTAAGGCCATTAAGGATAGAGTGAGCTCTTTGAAATATGGGATCCAGAAAACTGCAATCTGAAATTTCACAGTTGTGAGAGTGAGAGGCATTAGCGTCGCCACGGGGGGGCAAGCGGGGCAGCTTGCCCCCCCAACCTCGGACCGGGCACCCCTGAGATCGATACAGATCCGATGAGATTTTGGAGTCGGGAAAAAATGGGGGTACCTTTCTGAGAATACCTGTGAGGTCAGACTCGGTTGGAGCGTGCAGTTCAAACCAGAGTCTGACTCGCAGTCGCCAAAATCTTCAAGACTCCGAGTCCAGACTCGGAAATGTCAATGCTGCGATCCATTCCATGTTCCTAGTTCGTTCTTTATTACATTTTACAGATGATTTTCATAAGTTTTGGAGTGCTGACGCAATTTTCGTTCAAAGCGTGAAACGAAATCTTAGGGGCATTTCTCAACTCTCGTCAAATGTCTGCGACAGGCTCAAGTACCGTACAAGTGTCGCAGGGCTCATGAGCTTGCTTTAAACAAAGGCTCCTAAGGAGCTCCACTGAGCCCTAAAGAAGCTTTCAGAGGGCCCAAACCGGCCTCTGAAAGTTCCACTGGTGTCCATGTTCTCTGAGGGCCCATACAGGGATCTTCGAGCCTTCGAAGTTCGAACATTTCTGAGAACCTTAACTGGCCTCTGATAGTTCAGTCAAACTTTGGAGGCGACGGACCTTGCTAACCCCAAGCCGGCATCTGAGGGGTCACAGCTCACGTGTCCCTCTGAGGTCCGCAACACCATGTTTATTATGTCCCTACGTAGGGTCCTTAGGGATTCGACACAGACCCCGAGGGTTCACACTGTTATCCGAGGGCTCCAGGCTCACCCTGGGCCTAGTCTCTTAGCGCCCGCCGCCCACACTGGCTTCTGAGGGCCCCACCTTGGGCTCGGAAAGCCCTAAAGCACCACGTACACGTAAATATTTGAGGTGACCCACGCCGATCTCCGGGACCCTAAGCATGCTTCTGAGAGTCAGCACTGACCCTTAGTGGCCTGAAATGGCCTGGAAGTCCCAAACCTATCTCTGATGGATCCCTTGCCGCTATGCCGTGCGCAACTTTTGGTTCCGTTTAACAGTTTTTGTGCACGTTTGCAGCGCTTCCCTTCACACGAAAAACGAGAAACTTTTGTTCACACTCGAGTGAACAAAACACTTCCTCTCACTAGAGCATAGATGAATTAGGTACTTCCGATTCACACTTCCGACATTCACTCTCCGCCGAATGCCCAACTTAGCTACGATCGGCGGCTGGGGTAAGTCCTATGCATTTCACGTAAAACCTCTGCATGCATGCGTGAATGGAGGTTTTTGCAGGGTGATCCGATTAAATGGAGCGTTTTTCACCTTTTTCTGGGTAATGATCATTAGAGTCGAGCGTCTGCACAGGGGCCCTCTGCAGTGCGTCGGCAATCGCAGCCACTATATACTAGTTATAATTCTACCAGTCGTTTTTGTCATGGAATTTCAAAATTTCGAATTTTTCTGTAAAAATTACATGTCATAGCTAGAAGGAAACCTTTGTCACCATCGGATTCCTCGCACCATTGCGTGTCGAATGATATGTAAAACGAGTGAGTAAAGACTGGGGAAAGGCAAGTTTTAACACAAAAGTTGATTTTGCCCCCCCCCCCCCAACCGAAAATCTCTGGCGACGCCTATGGTGAGAGGTCATGGCTGGGAAGGCTGTATGCAAGCACAGACATGGATGTCACCTGACTCCCCTGTGTGTAGGCTGCAGTGTGTCTTTTTTAGCATGTGTGTTTGTGTGTGTGTTTTTAATGATGTGAATGTTTTTTATGGACCAGTATGGTCTGGAATAAAGTTTTTGTCTTTCTTGTCTGTCTGATATCCTTTCCTGGATCCAATATTGTCTTTCCTTCTGGACTCAGAAATTCTCAGCCCAGTCCAGCCTGTTTGTTGTTGTTTGTTTATTGGGGCTTTAGGGCGCGTCGACTGCAAAGGTCATTTTGCGCCCATCCAGTCCAGCCTGCAGAGCTGCATCTCACTGCCTCAATATGCAATAATAGGAATGTTCAGGTAGGAAAAAATCATCACAGGCATATATCACTGTCATTCATGCTGGCTTTAAAATGGGATGTCCCAAGTCAGGGTCAGAATCTGAGGTAGACCAAAGCCAATCTAAAGTTTCATGTCATGCATGCTTACTGAGGCTAAGCTGAAGAACACCCAGACATCCGTAGGCATCGGTCAGCTTTGTGTACTGCTTCTTGATGGCATCAACCTCTTCAGACTCTGGAAAATTAGCCTCATGAAAACATGAATAGCACACAAATTAAGGAAATCTAGCTTGCTATTTCAATGATTGTTAAATTAAAGTGAATAATGGCTACCTTTACAGCCACACTTAAAAATATTAAGACATTTTAGTAAAACTCATTCATAAACATATGCAGCTCAGCTCACCAATCACAACTAAAAACTGTAGAATCTGAAAACAGGACGCCTGGGGCGTTTTGATCAACGCTCTTGGAATTCCCTTGCGCAAATCACATGACAGTTCAGTTGGGCAAACTAGACCTTTGGAATCAAAATATGGAGGCATCAAAAGATTGATTCCTTATGACCACATTTGGGCAAAAATGCAGACCATTTCTAACTTACCAATCACATAAAAATAAGAGAGTGTTTCAAGAAGGAGCATGCCTGATCTTGAACAGAAATGCTGGAACTATCTCCTAAGCAAAATAATATTGCTCCTATCATAACAATTTGAATTCTACAGGTAGTGAAAGGCAATCAAGGAATTGATTCACTTTAAACAGATAATCATAATATTGATTCCCCATCAGCTGGCTAATCAATATTTTGATTCACAGGTAATGTTAACAGATAGGCAACAATAACTTGCAGGAATACAGCATTTATCTTGCTATTATTCTCATTTAGTGGTATCCTCAGCACCACAACAGATACCTATAGCATTGTTGTACTTTATCTTCACTACATTTGATAACAATTCACATTTTTTACATGTCAAGAATACAAAAACTAAAGCAGCAGGTAAAAACCATATAATAAATATAAAAGCACTACAACAATGATAATTGGGGGTTTGAAAATTTCATTTTGCCATTTTACACAAATACTGATTGTTTAGTATGTGGTTCATGATACAAAAATAACATACAGTGTGATTTCTTCAAAACAGCTTTACGTGATGGACAGTGGCTCCGTCTTTTTCCCATTCACAAGGCCAAAGGGACAATTTCTTAGTTTTGAGGTAACAATTTTTGCAAACCTATCACATTTTTCTACCTTTTTAAAGAAAAATCTCACCGTCATGGGCCTTTTTTCAACCGTAACGATACAATTGAAGTCAAAAGTGTACCAAAATGAATCAAAAAATTGATTCCAGGCCCATATTTGGTCATGGCTCCTCCAACCAGAATCAAAATATTGATGCCTCCATATTTTGATTCCAAAAGTCTAGTTTGCCCAACTGAGTTGGCCTATGGAAAGAAGCGAGGGGGAGAATTTCAGTCACATGACTAAATATGCCCTCCGGCACCCTGTTTTCAGATTCCACACTCAAAACTTACCAAGCAAGGCTACAGCCTGTGATTCAAACAGTACTGCCTCAGCCTTGCTTTTCTGCTCCATAAGAACACTATATGCATTTGGTGGATTAAGTTTATGGGAAATCTTGAATCCTTTTCCCATAGCCATAGTTGCAAAAGTTGCGGTTATCTATTTCAGCTAATTTCAACTAGCAGCAACTTAACTATATATCCTCTTCAGGGAAACTTATCAAGTCGTTGCTAAAAAGCATGGCAACAGCTGAATGAGCAAGACACGTGCACATGAATTAACCACTCAATTTCATTGTTTCATGATGAAATGCACTGTATAAAGGACACACGGAATATAGAGAACCATGGGACAGTTCATCCGCTTCTTCCCAATCCACAGCACATAAAAATGACTGTTTCCATCGCTTCTATACAGCAAAATGCAGCAAAATGATAAATCGGCCCCTTGGCAAAATGCAAAAGGGGGCGTACCAAGTAAATGAGCTTCGCATAAATATTTTTACAGTCGTGATAACAATAACCTTGAAAGATTATCCCCAGATTTACGAGACTATATCTCAGGATTCTCAACAATATCTCTAAAGACAAAATTGTGATCAAAGGAAATAGCTTTTTTCCACTCTTCAAGCTTATCAAAGTATGATAAATTTATCAATTTGCAATTGCATACAATTTATAATATCGTGGTCTTAAAGCTTCCTGAAACATCACACGAACTCCTCATTTTGATGCCAATTTGTTGCCTTATAGAACATTAAAATATTAGATTACTTGCAAATAACGTAATCTCCACTTCTATAGACATTTTCTAGGCTTTGCCTTGCCCGTATATAAAACATTTGCAACTTATAAATTTTTGACCTTTTTGTTTGACGCTCTCAACTTTCTAGAGAATTTTGATTTTTCTTGCATACTGCTTGCGCAAATGCGACTGCTAAAAAAGATACTAAGGTAATTGCACGACAAAACCGAAAGTTACCTGCTCCTATTGGACATTTTTGATACTAATGTCGAATTAAATTAAGAAGAATCTATTGTGATGCAAAGGTATTCATATCATCTTTTCAAATTATTTTATGCAAAACTTTTGAGATATATGCCACGAAATAGCCGTATTTGTCCAAAAAATGTTTTCATTTTGCGCCACTTCTGTCATTTGTGCGCCAAAGGTGACCTTCCGTCAAATAACGGAGCTCTCGTTCGCGTCATTCGCGTTGTGTTTGTGGGTGTAGGAGGTTGTCTGGTTGTGCGCGGGTATTCACGGTGGTATTTTTATCAAAAGAAATAATTAATATTGCTGCTAGAAAATATAAACGAAATTATTCAGATTATTCTTACCTGTGGCATCGTGCGTAGGCAGAGTGGACTTGAACTGTTCGTTGTTCTCTGAACGTGAACCCGTCGTGATGGTTTGAGCGGATTCAAGAAGTTGGAGCATCTAGCTGCGTCGTCATACTGTAGCAGCAATGGACTCTGGCCATCTCTCTGCCAACCTTCTGAAATGGGTATGTTATACTCATTTTATCATAATAAGGCCTGGCTACACTATGCTGATGTGCTTTTTGCGTGTATTTTTGCAGTTTTGTGTGTTGTGCAGAATATCGTTATAGAAATAAACGATATTGTTTTGTGATGTTTTTATATAACATTTCAGTTAATATCACAGTTTTATTAACTTTTGTATTTAAATAATGTAAAATTTTTATCATTTATAATTTTTTCCAGAATGTTATTATGCTAAACACGTAAACCCACAAAAAACACACGCTGAAAGGGCATAGTGTATCCAGGTATTTACTGATAGGTTGTTATGTATGTTTATTGGTTGCATTATTGAACTAGTAACTTGGTACTAACCATTGTCATGAAATTTTGTTTCTGGACAATCCATTACATGCTTTATCATTTATTTATCCTATTGCAATTGAGTTTAGGAATCAGGTGTAGGTTATTAGAACTGTTGGCAAGTTATCAACCCACACCTGCTGAAATGTCAAAAGGTGCATACTGTTTTCTGACCATGAATCTGATTACAACTATGTATATGATGACAGAAGCTGAAAAAAATAATCCACTGTATGCAAAAGACTAGTGGGACAGATTGTTCTCACTTCAGTTGATTGCACTGATAGGTTTGCTAGGGCTCCAGTGTTGATTAAGGCAAGATTTTTCACCTGAGATAGAAGAGTGATAAGATGACTTTATTAAGTTTAATATAATGACTGAATATTAAATGAATGACTCCCTACCTATATCCTAGCTGCCTTTCCTTTTGCATTCATTATGATAGGTATTGTTTTTTAATGCTGCCAAATCTGGACATATTTTTAACCACATTCCCAAAGTGAGGACTGTGGATCATAATTCATAGTTGAGCTTTTTCTGACATTTTTGGTTGTGTGTTTTCAGTTGGCCACATTTCAAGCTGGGGCCAATGCCACTCAGCCTGAAGACATCAGCGATGGGGTTATTATAGCAACTGTTCTCCATGAAATGTAAGTGTTAACCAATGCAATGTTATTCAAGCATTTTTTTTTTTTTGCAGCTTCATTGCATCAAAATCTTGCAATGATGGGTTATGCATGTGTTTAGTGTATACTGTATAGTCAAGTGTTATAGAAGCACCTATAAACTTGCATTTGCATATTGGGTTAGCAACAACTTATAAGCACAGATTTAGTTTTTTCACAACATATTTTTGTATGATAAAGATGTATCATGGTATCATTGATGTTTGGGTGGCTCATAACCTGCTTTGAAATGTGTGTATCTCAAGACATCAGCTTGCAGGGATAGGTAGGAAATGGAAAATTTATTTTGGATTGTAGTTACCTACCTGATTTTATAATGGGACTAAAGCAGGTGAAAACTTTTGGCAAACTTAAGATTAAAGGCCTAGAAATAGTAAAAATTATGAAAAGGTGTGCAATGGATCATTGCTCTTTAACATTCAGCCATTGAGCAGAAACTGCTTATCAGGAAGAAGACCTGAACTGCGGTTCATTGACATAGCCGTGTGTAGCTGGAATTCGTAGGACTGGTCGCGGTGATCACGAAAGCAGAAAATGCGCGGACTTGTCTGATTAGCGGCCACAATTGCAGCGGCGAGCTGTCATGACTTTCAACAGCGGTGGACGCCGAGTCCTGTTTCACTTTTCCGCTTAGCGCCCAATGCGAGATAGGTGGTCTGGGGAGTCGGACGGCCACAGTTTGAGGAATGTCCACCGGTTCACCGTGAATGCAGCGACACGGGAATGACAGCCGGGATTAGATCACAAATACGGCTATCGCTGTCATTTGTGGCATCTATACTTCGGTCTAGACTCGGGGCCATTATGCAAATATGTTATACCGCGGCGCTTGGCCGATACTGATAGTATTGCCAGTATTGGTAAAAATAAAGCTGCTGCTGCTGATGCCGCTCCCTTGTGATATGAAGAATAACTTGTCGCTGACCATTAGAGTAAATAAGGATTGAAAATGGCATCAGGAGATTAAATACCGGTCACTTACGGATATATTTTTCGTTATTTACTACCTATCGTGCCACAATAATGCGCCGTTCTCCCCCCCCCCCCCCTCCCGGTGGTTGCTCCGGTTACTCGCGCTCGGCTGCCGTGTGCCATCGTGAGGTGAAACCAGCCTCTGTCCGCGGCAGGCCGGCCGTGCTATTGGCCAGATTTGATCTCCTCGCTCTTCTTCTTCTTCTTCTTTGTGGGTTAGGGCGCGCAGCCGTCAGGCCCTAGCGTCCAACTTCTTCGTTTCTTGCATACAACTGTCCGATCTTCAACGATGTAGTGTCGGGGTTTGTAGGTACTAAGCGGTAACTAAGCAGGGTTGTGGGTAGCCGGAAAAGGAAAAAACCTAAGGAAGGACAAATGCCAGGGGAGGAAATTGCCGGGGAAGGATTAAGCCAGAAGGAACAGACCTGAGTAGCAGTGTTAGTGTTAGTTTAATTGGGCAGCAAACTACAAAATGAAAGAAAGATCAATACTCTTCTAGTCAGAGTGTTACCAGGTAATCAGAGAAAGAGAGAGCGAGAGAAATTCAGACCACTCTACGAGCTAGCTATATATACTACCAAATACTAAAATAAAGGAAAGAAGAGAAAACACGAACCACAGAGGACATGTGCTCAGAGTGCACTGTTGTTTCACTTAGACCTCCCGTAACGTTCACATTAGACCTCCACAGAGACGAATCAGTAATCAAAACACACCGAAAGAAAGTTTCCAAAGCCTAGAATCACCACACAAAAACAGGCAAAAGCAACATCATCAGTGGGGGCGGCAAATAAGTAGCCGCCAATCAAACATTACACAGTTGTTAGAAGTACTGTCAATTCCGGTATATCAATAGAACCCGCCACATTTACAGTTTGTCAAGCAGCTCACAATCGCGCAAGAAAAGAAACACTGCGTCCAATACATTAGGTTCTGTATCACCGAGCAGAGTCGCCATTGTGAACGGGAGACCAGCATCTCCACATGTTCGTCGCAAACGTTGGCGTGTCGTGCGATATTGAGGGCAATCAATTAGGAGATGTTTGACATCGATAATGCATCGACAAAGTGTACACAACGGTGGAGGAGCACGATCCATGACATGCGAGTGCGTAAGGAGTGTATGGCCAAGTCTCAGGCGACACAGCACTACTTCTTCTTGGCGACTGTCACGAGCGCCGGACGTCCACCTTCCTATGGTAGGCTTAATCGTCTTAAGGTGAGTGGGCCGAAACTCTTGCCATAAGGTAGCAAATTGGTCTCGAACGCGCCGTCGGACCTCTGGGACATATTCACGATAACCAACTGCGACCGGTCTAACCTCTGGTTTGTCATGTGCTTTCCCGGCCCAATAGTCAGCTCGCACATTTCCAGCTATGCCGCTATGTCCCGGTACCCATATAAGAATGCACCTCATTCCATCCTCGGCAATGCGATGGTTTAATTCTAATATAGAGGTAAGTAACGGGTGCCTGGTGGTGCCGTGCGCCATGCCTAACGCTTTCACAGCCGATTGAGAATCGGTGCATATCAAGGAACGTGGAATGCGATGGGTGCAGACATACTTCAGGGCTTCTAGTATAGCTACTAGTTCGCCTGTATAAATAGAAAGACCTTCCGGTAACTTAAACGAAAAGAAAGCATTGTTAATGGTGAATGCACAAGCCACCGACTCATGCCGCTTGGATCCATCTGTGTACAGTATCCGATATCTCCTCGCTCGCACCCTATCTGGCGCAGAATCGGCCGCCGAAACGGAGCGAAAGGCGGCGCGGTGCGCAGCGCTCACATTGTGTGCGAGCGCTGGAGGGATGCCCAACTGCCAAAGTATCCCAGAGCGTGCACTGCGCGGAGAGAGGCCCGGAGACGGAGGGAGAGGGCCGGGAGGGTGCAGATGCCGATCTCGCCGCGCCTCGACGGCGATTTCTGCGCTTCAGCGCTGATTTCGTGACTTTGGGAAAGAAAGCTAAAGTGGTGCATGGGCGGCTGGCTGGCTCTGGGCGCGGGATCTCGTAAATTCGCCGATTGTAGCCCCCACCGCATGGACGATGGGAAAGGCAGGTCGGCGTGATGAGCGATCGCGGCGGGCACGCGAGCACTTGAGGCTGAGCTGGATTGTTTCGCGAAGGCGCCTTTCGTTTGGACACCACTAATGTGGGTCAATTGCGAATCGTCTGTGGAAAACTGCGAACGTGCTGAGCCGTAACCTTCGGAGTTTCGTGCTAAACATAATGCTCCCAAATCCTTGAAAGGAATGCTAGGATAAAAAATACACAATCCTCGGACAGATAAGCTAATTAATACATGACAGAACAGGGCAACGTTTTCCATCAGGCTTTAATTATTTGTGATCGCTTGCCCTTCAATACTTTTGGGAAAATATTACTGATTTCGCCGCAGTGCAGCGTCAAGCTGCGCTCAATGCGCTGGTATTTCGATGCTCTCCCTGTCCTCTGCCACCGCTGTGCGCTGGGACACTGGTCCTGGTGCTGGACACGTGCGACCATCAGGAGTCGTTGCGTCACCGGCGCCTGTCACTCCGACAGCAGCATACGCTCCCGTACCGCATGCGGGCTGAGGGCACTGAAATACGGCAGCTGACGCCACGCAGGTCCGCCCTGTCCCGACGTCACTCAGCTCGCCCTCCCGTCCCTTATCCGCGGTCCCCAGGTCGTCTGTCAGACCACCCTCAGTCAGTTTCACCCGTCCTCCGTCCCTTTCCTGTGCCCAGTCCCCTTAGCGCCTTTTCTGACGAACCATCTGCTATTTCCCGATCATCGAGCTATCTTTCCCACCTGTCCGGAGTTCTATCAAATAACCTGGTATAAGATAGATAGTTGGCACTGGGCAATGGACTTTGATTATTGGATAGTAAATATCGGACAGAATACCAAACACGGTGGAGAACGACACTGAACAGTGGCTGACGGTCTGGTATACATACTAGTCGGATATACCATCACTTTGTAGTTATATTTGCCGTTCCATCAATGCATGTCGTAACGTGGGCCGTGATCACGAATTCGGGTAGGCCCACTCACGGTACACTTGCACAACAGTCATGGCGGGCGGGTCAGCGGTATCGATGAGGGTGGTGGTGACCCATTGAACTATCAGGAGCAGGACTGATTGGCAGTGTTATCGGTCATGATAGGTGTCATGTTATCTGAGGGCGTGTTTGCTTGTGTTACGGTGCTTGATTGATCAGCATGTGGTGTGATACATTTTTTTTTTGACAGCGCTAACATAGAATGTAGCCAACAGTAGCATGCATAGACGCAGACATCGACAAGCGTTGTTGTCTCCCACATTTGGTATTTGGGTGCCAGCGAATGTATCCTTTGTAGTGTAGTGTCAAAGAGCGGGCGTTTTTCGAAGTTTCAAAGAGCGCGTCACCCTTTTCATCTGTCATTCGGACCGATGTCCCTCTCTCGCACTCTCAATACACGGACAGTTTTGGGAAGGTTTTTGCCCGCAGCGCTCGCCGCTATTGGCGCTGAATATGCATATCAAGTCCGTGAGGCGGTCGTTAACGCGGCCGAGTCCCACGATGTTGCATTGTTCCTGGTTCTTGTTGCGTGCGGCGGCAGCGTTTTGATGGAGCTAACGTGTAAATGATTCCGGAACTGCATCGCTCCAGGATATCCTTAGTTGGATCTGTACTTGTGGTATATTGCCTACAGTTATTCCACGCTGTAAAGTTGGTCTAAATGACTGGGGAATGCGGAGCTATGGGTCGGGTTGATGGGTCCGTAGTATCGCATTGGTGCAATACTCTGGGACTTAATTACTGCTTTTAACGAGTGGCTGCTATTTGTAAACTCAACAGCTACCATAAAGCTATAACAATAAAGATCGGTTAGAATGCTCGCAGTACTGCCCATTGGTGTTGTTATTTTTGTGTTCATTCATCTCTCGCCCGCTCTGTAGGGACCGTTTTGTGCGTGTGTGTGTGCCAGAATCCCCTCCCTCTAACCACCCCCCCTCTCTCCGCCAGAGAGCCACTGTGGTTCGACGATGCCTGGCTGGCCAAGATCAAGACGGATGCCGGCGACAACTGGCGACTCAAGGTGAGCGGCGGCCTGTCGCGCCGGGGGAGGGGGCGGGTGGGAGCCGACAGACGGCCAAGCGCCGCGCGCACGAGATGGCCGGCCCGCGGCAGCACCTATCTGCCGATCAGACACGTCCCTGCTGGGCCGATGGTTATCGACTGTCCTGGAACGGCCGCGGGCCCCGGCAGAATTGGGGGAGGAGCCGACTGGTTTGCACCGTCCTCCGGGGCCGCTCGGAGCGGGTGTTTCTCCAGAGGCCCTCGGAGCTCCTGGTCTACCCTCCCCCACCGCCGGGTGTCGAATCGTGCTCGCCCCGGGCTATGAGGCAGTTGGCGAGGGCGGGTCCACTAAATTCACTCGGCCGCCACACGGGGCTCTATAAACCTCTCCATCTCCATCCGTCGGCGCCGTCGAGTGTTTTGTCTTCCCGCCCGGCCCGTTTGTGTTGTTCCAGCGGCTGTTTCAAAGCACTTTCTGTTTTACTGCATTGGCGTGGGCCTGTTGATTTAGTGGGACGGGGTGAAAACCGGCCATTCACTCATAGCCGAGCAGCGCAGTCCAAACAGACATTGTTTGCGGCACGTTCGGATCAAGTCGTCTCCGTCCGGCTCGTGGGTGTGCTGGGGGCCCGCCCGTGACTCGGCATGGGTTTTTGTGACCGGTGTCAGGCACGCCATTCGCCACTCGGGTGGTAGCCGGTCTTCATCACTGCGCCGCCGTTCGGTGACGCTGCCGTCTGCACAGCCGGACTCGCGGGGGGGGGGAGTCCGGTCGACCCTGACACCAGGAGGGGGGAGGGGCTGCTAATTACCGGTCGGTCGACCGAGGCGGCGACAGCTACCAAAACGGGTTCACCACGCGTCGGTGTGAGGATCGAGTGGGTGCGTGTGGGTGGATGTCTTGGTGATCGCTGATCAACCTAATGGTCGCAGACAGATAGCGTAGGCAGTGATCGCTGATGCTACCGAAATCGTCAGCGGGAGAAATGATGGGTAATGTTTCACGAGTTATTTTCCAACTTTATTCACCTTGGTCATGTTGTCTTGTTCCATCCATCAAGACATTAACCTAGCAAAATTATGGACACTTACAGTGGAGCGAAGAAGATTCCTTAAATTGTGACTTGTCGGGTGTCACTTATCTCCTGCGTCGGACCCCTTCAGTTGACCCGTGTGGCCACTGAAGGTGAACGTGTTGCAGCCAGGTACCCTCAGACTGGTTAGAACAGGTTGGAACTGACTGATATTCCCGTCAGATTCAAACAGGTCAGGCGGGAAGGGGTGGGGGGAGGGGGAGACGGGTCAGCTGTTATGACAATGGGGCATGTCTGTCTGCCTGGGTGTCTGTCTGTCTGGATGTCTGTTTGTCCCGGTTTTCCTGGGTGTCCGTCTGTCTGTATTTGTGTCAGCACCGTGTGTAGAAAACCCTCTCCCCTATCCTCGCGTGAGAACGCCCTCACCAGTCGAATTAATCACTCCCATAGACCGCTAGACCGACGCCACATCACAACTACGGGCGCAATAAGACCCAACTGACTACACATACGAACCGAGGACATATCGATAACAGTAAATGCGGCGTCGGTGCCCCTGTCACCCGGCGGTGGTCAGTCGGCGGCAGACCAAGGCCGGCCGTTCTGATGTGATGACGTCGTCCTCAAACGTTGTAACATCGCTGCAGGATATGGTGTGACGTCATAAGGTGCAATGTTGCCCAGAATGTAGCGCTGGTGTGGCTCGAATTCACGATGGAGATAGCATTTCGCTTCGTAGTGGCACATATGTACATGATCAAGTGAGACTATTCGAAGCATCGGTTGTGACTGTGTGAAAAATCGGGGAAGACCACAGGATCTGCATTCCGTATAGGTGACTTTCTTTGGTGGTGCAGCAGTATGCTATCAAGGATCGTCATTAGCCGCCTCTAAACACGCCAAATTCTGAAAGCTCACATACCTACTACCGTTATTTTATCGGCGAAGGCCGTCCTCGAAATCTATCCTCAAAGGTTTCATGGTTTACCGTGCTGGGCCGCACCGTACCCCGTTGAGTCACACTCTCCGTGCAACCCCGCTCGGCACCCGGTGTCGGTCGATCCGATCAGTATTCCGAGGGGTGGTGCTATCGGTGCCGGCCGTCTGCCCCGGGGGCCGGTCCGGAGCCGGTCGGTGCACGGCTCAGGGTCAGGGCCCCGAGCTGGTGTCACCCGCCCACCAGGCACCAACCCGCCGACCGATCCAGGGCCATATAGACAGTGGACTCCCCTCTCCGCGGCAGTGGGGGTGGGCAGAGCGGCGGGAGGAGTGGGTTAGAGAGGTGGTTTGTTAGGGTATTTGTGGTGCATATGGCTGGAGACATCCCCGATGGGGTAGGAAGACGTTGAAATGAGAGACTAGACAAGGGCTAGATTCTTCGGAGGGTCCAGAAAAAGAGTACAGAAGTGACTCAGCATTTCATGAAGCTGTCTCTCTGTACATATTTATTCCCATGTGTTATTCACATTCCCCCATGTCTCATTGTGCGAAATTTGTCTTGTCAGTTTGCCCAGGCCTTGCTCAATCAGAAATGATTGCTTACACAACACCCCAGGTATATACAGTGCAATCTCAGGATCAGAATTGTAAACCTGAAGTCCATTGGTTACCTATTTGGCGTTGAAGCCACGGCCTTCCATTTTTTTCAGAATTGTGTGTACAAAATGATGCTAAGAACAATCCTGCGGATTCCAGTGACTGCAATTTCGAAGATTATTCATTATGAAATTCCAATAAAAATTCGCGGCTGACTTGCGGTGTATTTACGGCGACCGAATCGTTGCTGCGCCACTAAGTTGCGCTATTGTGGGTGGCCGCCCGAAAAATCCAAATTTATGTGCGGTATCACATTGGCAGTGATCTATTCATTGTCGCAATATTGTCAGCCAAAGAGCGGACTGTTTGCTAGTTTTTTTTCACTTGTGGACATTGCTTGCAATAAGTACCTACTTTCGTTCGCATCTGACGCCACACATTGACCCTAAGATAGCCTACCATTCTGCCTTGGCGGTGTTACCCTTCACCAAGCAAACTCATATTCGTCAATCTCTCAACTGATATTCCCGTCTTTGTGGTCCTTATAATGGTATTTCTAGTCACTGCACTGGGTCTGCAGAACATACTGCACTTACAGGAGAATGCCCACAGAGTTTTGCAACAAACCCTGCATTGTCAGCTCTTCATTCATGAATATCCGGGTTCCGATTCATTGATTGGATGCCGGTTGAAGTAAGTGTTATCGTTGTAGTTAGCCATGCGCTGGATCTATGGGTGGCTGCTGCTGTCGTTAGAGCAGGCATGCCGTGTAGCGGTCCGGTTTTTGGAAGCCGACTTTGTCCGGATTACCCTAAGCGTCCCATCCGCTGCATGGCCGGGACTCGTGATCCTATCATCCTTTCAGACCAGCCCTTCGCCGCCGCCGCTGTTGCTGTTTAGGTTTTGCCCACCCGTTAACTCGCTCTGACTTATCCCACCTCTAACCCTCCCGGACAGTCCGGAGGCGTCTGAAAACCCGTCCGGCCCCAAGTGAGACGAATACCTCGCCCATTGTCGCCGATCGTTTTTGCCGCTATGATCGGGGCGTGGGGCGGCGTCGGGCGCCCCCCGCAGTCCGCCGGCCGGGCTCCTTTGTGCCGGCGAAACTGCCCGTCGCACCTGGCGTTCGACGCGCATTATTTGCGCCCCCGATCGTCTTCGACGCGGCGCCGGCCGACGCTCTGAGGCGCCAGCTGTCGGTACTCCCACGCACCCAGTGTGCCGACGCGCGCCGCCGGGGTCCGGCACCTGGTTTTCACCGAGTCGGGTACCAGCTGTGGTCCGGCAGTCCGGCGGTGAAATACCGACAGAAAGTCTGCCGAGACGCCGCCAGCGCGAAATGCTTCATTGTGGCAAATTATATGCATAAAAATAGCTCCAAACGCTGCCATGGTTTTACTTTGCTTTATGACGATAGGATACCTATCCATATCGTTGCCGGTTCACTCGCGTACGGTTCGATCTCCACCAAGTCTCACTGTTCAAACGGCGACGTGCCGCGCCGTCCCACAGAGAGATCAGCATCGATCTGAGATCGTGGTGTGGAGACACACCTCCTCACAAAACTCCCCTGACTCCGCGTCTCGTCTCTATCACCGCGGCAACAGGCGGATTGTTGGCGCCATCACGCCTGTGAACAGGAGACCGAACGGGGAGGATGGAACGGCGTTTGGTGTTTTGAAGCGGACTCTGTGGACCGCGGCGAACCGGACTGGGGATAACCTGTTTTATTGAGTCTGCTGAATACGCGAATGTATGCCCATATAGACACGGACATTGTGCCGCGCGATGATGTTCTTTCGATGTTTTCACGCTCACTCGCCTTCCCGCCTTCACCTCACCCCCGGCCGTGGCGTTGATTGCGAGAACACCGGTTAGGTACCTACTGCCTTATTGTGCGCAATAAGCCAGCAACCCTTCTCGTGTTTTATCGTCTTTTCGTACGGCATCAGCTCGTCCGACGTCGAACGACAGAAACGAGAAACTCAGGACGGGTCAGTAAATCTCAGTTATTTCATTCACTCCACATTTGGGAGACGTCGAATGACAGCCGTGCAGTCCGAGTGGACCTGTCGATCAGCCCTCACATTTTCTTTCTTCCCGCTGTCGTGTGGTAAGCATAGTGATAAGCTTTCCCTCCCGGTTTGGCCGTTACAATAGAAATACCCGTATTTGTGCCGCCACTGCTGGATATGGACATGATGCTAAGATAACGCCATTATATGACCGCTCGTAACTTGGACCGTTGGTCAACCTGTGCACGGCGGTTGGTCCGGCTACGGTCAGTGTTGCACAACGGGGAGCGGCCGGCACCGGTCGGGCAGACACCCACGCTGACCCGCTACCCCCACCGCGCGGCCTTTGCGGGTACCCGGTCGGACACGTAGACTCGGTGACCTCCCACTCTGTCTCGACACCAACCTCCTCTCATCCTCTATCCGTGGGCCTC